TATATCATCGGTGAATAGCAGCCCGAAGAGTTGAGCAATTGCGGTAATTCGTTGACATATAACAAGAAAAGCAGGTGACTTAGGGTTGTTTTCTGAGGAACGCTAATCATCATAGGTTTCCACCTGGAGAGTGTCCCATTAACCCTCACTCAATGCCTTCTATTGCACAGAGATCCTATTCCAGGCTTTTAATGAAGCACCCAACCCAAAAGAGGAGAACTTTCCCAGTAATTTTACACGAGACACTGTCGAATGCTTTATCGAAGTCTATAAACACGTCTATTGGCAACTTGCAATCACAGGCTGCAACCCATTCCTCTCTCTTGCGATGAAGAAGTTTGTTGAATAGGAGTGTCCATTACGAAAACCGTATTGGTATGATGCCAAAACATTATTTGATTCAACATGGTTAAGTACTTTATCACGAATTAATTTTTCGAAAACCTAATTAACTATGCCAGTTAGACTCACACGGCGACAGTTAGCCTCCAACTGGAGACTACCGGCCTGATCATAGCATCCTTCCAGTCTCTAAGGAATTAAGGCAGATTCTAGAACCGCTAAAAGTAGATCATTTTCGAAGGAATTACCAGAGGCTAAAACCGTCCGGTTAATGTGTGGAGAGTTCTGATCGCCAACTACTAGGCATTTGTTGCGTCTACTACAGTTACGTAAGGGTTAGCACGAATTCATTCATTCAACGCTAGATGGACTATGGTAAATTAAGCCAATAGTACAGAAACTTTGCTTTGACTTCAGCTTAAAAAATGGTTACTTCCCAGGTGCTGCATTCATGTACTTCGGAAATGACTGATCGTATGTGGACGTCATCAAGAATATAGAGCAGTAAGACGCATTCCGCAACACTATCTGTCCTTATACAGTTTTACCCCGTATGTCAAAAGCGATGTAAAATCTAAATCCTTTATTAGCCAAGTTTCAGTATGAGCCATTACATCAGGACCTACTTCACAGACTAGTCCCGAGGTCTGTCATTTTATATCTTATGCTGGGGACATTAATGTAGATTATGTTTGAAGAGTTCCATGAACCATACATACAGGTCTTAGTTTCCAAGATCTCACAACCCGAAAAACAAATTCTTCCACCATAGGTTCAGGAATGGTATTCCTTTTTTTCCTGATCCTCGAGAGGCCAGTCGTGTGGGATGCAGATGTCTGAATTTCGAAATTTAGTTGCGTTACTGTGAAGTACATACATTTTATCACTGCTCCCTGGAACAGCCTTTAAAATCCATCTACATATCTTCGTCAAACGGGAATATGCAACTGAGTCGACGACAATCATGACCATTACTAACCATGTTACCCCCAATTAAGCTTAAGTTACCAATAGAACTGTACTTCAACTGAGGTATGAAGTCAAATTAAGCGGGAAAGACTCAAGCGATGATAACATAAAATCCAACCTAAAACAGTACAAAACTTCTAAAATACTGACTGAAGTCAGAGTTTATAATTAAGCTTAATTACGCTGCGAAAGCTAAAAATGCTTAAAGCATAGGAAAATCCACTTCGCATACTTACCAGATTCTTCTCATTCTTGTTTTACGAGAATCGATACTTCACACACTGAAGGATGTTTGTCATAACTGATTTAGGCTGCTAAGTGAAGTTTGGCCTCACTGAAAAATTTACAACAACCAGAATCACAGTTGGTACGCCTCAAAACCAATCCTGTTTGGTACACATGACAATATCTTAATACATACCGTCTGATCACCGACCTGATAACTTACGCAAAATACGCATCCTCAGTACGTGCTGACTCGACATCTGACAATAGGTCGACCAACTGGTATGTTCCAATCACAGTAGGAAACTGTAAGCTACGAAACGTCAGCAATTGAGAGCCAAGACAGAAAAAACCGAAGCACGGTGTAAAGATAGGTTTTCCGGGCAGATTCATACTGCATCAAAGCCTTTTACGCACAGATCTACGTCAGCCGAATCCTACGAATGTGAGCTGGAATTCGTTTACACCATATCCAGGTATTCACCTTCGGAATCTTCCGTAGGCCTCAACGAAGAGGGGAAATGGTGCATAGCAAGATCAAATCCAAGATTCATCCCGGGAGCGATGCTAACCTTTCATCACCTTCCCCGTAGGACGGGAGTCGCCCCTGCAAAGTCGCCTCGGTTACTGTCACTTCGCAACACATCCCAACCCAAGAGCTAGTCCCATATGTCGCGAAAGACTACGCTCAACTCCAAAATACATGAGACAATCAACAAATCCATAACTGACTTATACACTTCTTACCATAATACCAACTACACAGCAGCGGTTACCACATCAATTCAGTCAAAACGCAGTACCACCCCAAACTACCTAATGCAATGACAATGAAACAAGACAGAATCAGTTCGTGGTGGCCCTAAAAAGGGCCGTGGCATCGTTCTCTGGGTTCCCCTCAACTATCTACGCACGTTCACCACGAATGCGACGAGCAAGCTGAATATCCTTCGGCATTATCGTCACACGCTTCGCATGGATCGCGCACAAATTAGTATCCTCGAACAGGCCAACCAAATAGGCCTCACTAGCTTCTTGGAGAGCAGACACAGCTGAACTCTGGAAACGAAGGTCAGTCTTGAAGTCCTGTGCAATCTCCCGAACTAAACGCTGGAAAGGTAGTTTACGGATCAATAGCTCAGTGCTCTTTTGATAACGACGGATCTCACGCAGGGCAACAGTTCCTGGCCTGTACCTATGGGGCTTCTTCACACCACCGGTGGCTGGGGCGCTTTTACGAGCAGCTTTGGTGGCCAGCTGTTTCCTTGGGGCTTTCCCTCCAGTTGATTTACGCGCAGTCTGTTTCGTCCTTGCCATTTCAAAACACCGAGAGACGATGACAATATGATTAGCGTTCCTGCCAATTTTTATAGCCTTGTGACTAACAGTCGGCCAATCACAATCTTCCTCATTGTATTCGCACTTGATTCTCTGACCTAGTGGGCAGGCTAAATTTCATTGGTCATTTATCAGGTATGCCTGATTGAGCGTAACCTTGCATTTCTGCCCTATTTGTTTGTCTGGAGGCCATCAAGGCGTTGCGAGATATAGCGCAGTCATTTTGGCCTTGGTTTCTCGCTTTCTTTAGCTAATTAAGTCATTTGCTATCTAATAACAATTTCAAAGTGAGCGTGTGGTGTATATAGAAAGTCTGAACGCACTTCTTCAGCAGAAGCTCTTAGGTTTTATTCAAAACTGTAATATATGGTCAGATGGTACGATGGATGAGCGCGTTTTAAGTGGAGAATATTTGTACCTCAGGTGGATAATCTTGGTTGTGGTGTGTCCTCTGACCTGTGTGGTTAAATCGTAGGGCATTCATTTTCTTTATAGACAATTCATCAACTCTAACTTCCATATGAAGCGAGTTGTTAATATCTCTCTATCAATGCAAGCGAACAAACGAACCTCAAAACAGCAACCCGCAAAAGGTTGTGTGTGATAGACCTCAAGTACATGTCATACTGACTCTGGAGTGACACAGGTCTGTTTCTCTTCAAGTTACCTTAAGAAAAAACAGCCTTCTACGGTATGAGCATCTACGAAATGTCAACCACCCGTTAACTTCCCGTAGCCCATACGACCCAAACAAACATAACATATCCTTTGTACTTATCCTGACCGACGATGGATTGGACAGTTTAGAAAAACTCGATTCACCGTACATGGTTTATTTCACTTGTGTTATCGCGGCTAAATATATTAGAACACGACAAAATAAACAAACATTTTGTGTATTATTCCTTATCGTCTGACACTAAGTTTTCAAGGTTATGAAGGTCACCTGTACTGAACTTGGATATTTAACTAAAACGTAATGACATATTCATAAACAAGAAAAGGATCTTCGTAGCAAGATCGAAACGTTGATGTGGAATTATACACAAAATGTTTGTTTATTTTGTTATTTGTCCTAATGTACTTCGCCGGAACAACACAATAAACACCTTATACGACGAATAACCTACCCTCTTCAACTCAGTCTTCTCCTTTGCCTTCACCTCCTGATACTAATATGACCTCTCGTACACCTTACTTAACCTCTCACTCTGCAACCATTGTCAACAGTCAAAACCATCCAAACCTCATTTCTAGTCTCCTGAGACCCTGCTGGCTATAGATTTCACGTCGGTTCTTTTAATGTCTAAACTCTGCCAATTCGGACAGCAGATATCACTCACCAAGATTATGAGATCTAGAGCCATGGATGTGTGCTGTGTCTGTGAGATACATATACAGCACCTGAGTGTAGCTATTAAACTGACCTCACCTGGCCATAGCGGCGAATCTTCATAATTCACCTCAAGGGTATCCGGGGGCCCAGTGGCTAGCTGACGTGGACTCGGTGGTGTCAGCATAGCATTAGGCTGTTGGGCACAAAGTACGCTTGTCGACTAGATACCAGTAAACAGTCGTCTGTCTGTTATTCGATTGAATGCATCTGTAAGCACTAAGAAGGATCGTGAGACCAATCAATGCCAATTGGTAATATCCTCCTACGTACCGACCGACTGTAGATCGGATGATGCGAAGGATGAATTTTATGGGAAGCTGTCAATTTTGCCACCGTAAGCAAAACGTTCAGATGTATTCATGATGGCAGGTGATTTTAACGTTCAAGTAGGGAAGCTGATTTAGTCGGAAAGACATGTTGCAAGTATCTGCGGAATCGCGTAACAACGAACCGCCAACGGTGTTTGTCTGTTGCAATTTTGTTCTGACAATCACTTGTTGCTGACCAGCGCTAACTTTAAGCATAAGGAGAGACACTGTCTCACATGGCATCCACCGACTTCAAACCAACGATGGACACAGATAGATCACATTGGTATAAGTCATCGTTGGAGAGGATCAGTGGAGGACTACCGGTCTTTTTGGAGTACCATTTTGGATTCTGATCATACTCTGGTACGAGTCAGTGTATGCCTGCACCCTACTGGTCGCAGGAAACAAAAAATTGTAAAGCCCGTCTATTTTCAATTGAAAGATGCCAAGTACGTATATTTATGAAGGAGTTAGCTAAGCATTTATCTGAACGTGATAGCAATGTCAATCCTGAGGAAAGCTGTCGTGATAATATTAAGTCTGCTGCAGAAACCGTTGATAACGTACAGTCGAAGGTTAGCAAACGTGATTGGATTTCGGCAACGTCATCTGCACTGGTTGGTGCAAGGAGACTGATTCCAGCTGTTTCTGACCACGATGAAGAGCGAAAGCATCTCAAATGTAAGTTGATGAAAAGTCTTCGTATCGATGGTGAGCAGTGGTGGGCGAAGAAAGCAAGTGAGAGGGGGAAGGCACAACTGGTAGTTAACATTCGGTAACCATTTAGGTTCACTAAGAATACCGGAAAGAAGACGGTGGCAAGTGAAATCATTGGCGAAAGAATGGAAAGCAGATAAGCCCCCAAGACAGCCAGCTATAATGTTGGGCTGAGCACTTCGAAGCACAGTTCAACTGTCCGCCAGCAACCCTTCAGTTGCACCACATCAAACCGGTCCTCAAACTCTCATTGAAGTTGAGAAGCCTGTATCGAAACTGGAACGGTGCAAGGCAGCGGGACCTGACAGTTTTCTACCCTAGGTTTTGCAGGGAGGTCAACGTAAACTGCTTCTTAAGGTGTTGAAGGTACTAGGTAGTGTGTGGGAAACCAGTATTACCATCAGACTGGTCTTCACTGGTCGCCCCTGTCTAAAAGAAGGGAGAGAAGTCTTCTCGTGACAACCATAGGTGAAATCGATTGACCAATACTGTGTCCAGAGTCATTGGACCCATGGTAATGCGATGCCTAGATGCAGCTCAAGAGTCTGAATTTATTACTTGAAATTAGTAGGTTTGGTTGAGTACAAGTTAACCCAGCGGTCTTCATAATGATAAGATCAGGTCTGATGTGAGTGGGATTTGAAGCATTATCATGCGTCCCTACAAAACAGTAATAAAAAGTAAAAGAAGCTGATTGACTGCAGATTTAATTCCAGATGTACACACATCCCCATCTTAACTGCTATACTTAACCATACCAGTTTCTACTTCCTCCCTTTTAATACTTCGTGCTACTTTTCACCGATTTTTTTTTCCTTGTTCATCTTCCATTTTATTACCTTGTTACTTGATGTACCGATAAGAGGTGTGGCAACTTGGACCGTTATGTAATAATGCCTAGTCCCATGTTGATCTTCATGATGATGAAAGCATACACAAACTCCTGATGATGAAAATTTACAAATGAAAACAATGAGAATTTGAATGAGCAAAACATTTGGAAACGAACCATGATTGATAACGAAAAACTGAATAACTACTGTTTTTTGTTCGAAACGGTGACATTTTACATAATAAGCACAACACAATTCAACCTGGAAAAATAGGTTATACATCTTCAGCGTTGACAATCTCTATTTGATTCCAAAGTGACATTCATTGTGGATGGACATCTCCTAGTGAGCACTATACCATTCAAGCATTAGGTTAGAATCCGACAGTGCATATTTTCCTAATTCTGTCGATTCGCGATGCAGTGCAGACATTATACAATGCCATCGGTGAGTATTTCTTCTCACACATATATGTGCAGCGATGAACAACAAAAGGAGGAACTGACTACACCCTGTAAAACACTGAAAAAAGAAGTGAAGAAGAGTGAGTGGAGAGACAAAAGACACTTCTATGACACTCTTGCAATTGAAGCAGAAAAAGCTGCAGGTAAGAGAGACAGAGACATGACAACATTATATCAAATAACCAGGTTTCTATCTGGGATGCAAGAGATCAGCACAGATGAAGTCAATGAAAGATAGTGAAGGTAACGAAGATAGCAAAAAGGAGAAATAAAGGAAACAATGGGCTGACCATTTCAGAAAACTCTTCAATCGACCACCATCACCCACCTGCAACTCATCCAGAAATAACACCAGCAGCCCAGTCACAGAACTATCCGTCAACACAAGCATTCACACACAAACAGAAGTGAAGTCCTGAACACCATCAAGTTACTGAAAGCCGGGAAACCAGCAGGACCAGATGGAATTCTTCCAGAAGCACTGAAAACATATACAGAGACAACAGCAGACATGAACACACCACACCACTATTTCAGAAAGTTCGCACGGAAGGAAGGAAGAAAAGAAGGGCACCTGCCTATTGATTGGAAGAAGAGCTACCTTGTCAAACTCCCAAAGAAGGGTGAACTATGATAAGTCTTTGCAAAAACTGGCGCGGAATCACGTTCCACTCCTGTCCACCCCAAGCAAAATATTAGGCCGCATCATCCTGGAGAGACTAAAACATGCTCTCGACTGAAAATTACGACCAGAACAGGCTGGCTGGCTGACTGACTGACTGGTTTCAGGAAAAACAAGTCACATGCGGATCAAATTGCAACGCAACACTACACTACGCTGTGCGTCATCATAGAACAGAGCATAGAATGCCAGTCCACTGTATCTCCACCTCAACTTCATCCACTTTGAAAAGGCCTTCGACAGCGTCGACTGAGAAGTAATTTGACAGGCAACTGCTTCAACACTACGGCTTTAGTGCCAAAAACCTTTATCAACCCCAGTCAACACCAGCTGTATGCTATATGATGATGATGCATACCAAGTGATTGACAATGGAAAGCAGCTCAGTGATGCGTTTGAAGTGAAGACAGGTTGACATGTAAAACAAGGTTATCGCCTACTATCACCTATCATCTTCCTGATCGTGGTCAACTCGACTCGACTCCATCCATCCATCCAGATCAACCTAGGACCAAGCATTACTGTGTAACAGTACATGTCGCCACAATCTCATATCAGTACATCAAGTAAAAAAGCAATAAGGCGCAAGATGAAGATAAGAAAATTCAGTCTAAAGAAATATAAAGTACGAAAAGAGAGAAATGAGGAATGAGAAAGTGGTGAGATTCGGTATAGCGTCGTTAAGTAGAGGATAATGTGTATGAGGATACATATCCACCAATGACATCAGCTCTCAGCCATATCACCACCTAGAGTCAGTCTCCAACCACTGATTCCTCTTGTCCCACGGACCCCAACCACTTATTCTGCATCGCACCACATGGCTCAAACCAACAGTCAGAGACTTCATACATTGGTGCTATGTTTTTGTCTGGCCACCTCGGGCCTTTTTTCAGCCTTAACCTACTTCAGCCAACATTGTGTGACGAGGCAATCGGCGAGTAGACAGCCAACCATCTCAGTCGATGAAGGTTCACAACACCATCACCAACCGACTTACCTCTTCTCCCTTAAACTCTACACTTGACTTCTGTGTTACTCACATGGTTACACCATGGAATAGGGCCTATACTACAAAGTCAACAGTGTTGAAACACCTGAAGCCTTCTCATGTCTTCCACCTTCAATGGCCATGTTTCACAGGCATAGAACAGAGTGAACTGCTGTGCATGTGCAGTACACGCGACCCTTAGTAGACAATCGGATATCCCTGTGGCGCCACAGGTAGCGTACGTTGGCGAAAGCTAATCGAGCCTTTTTTATATGTGCAGAGATTTCACCGGGCACTGAACCATCAGGGCTGATCCTACTTCCCAGGTAAGTGAAGTGGTCAACACACTCAACTTCTACACTCTCTATTGTTAGCCGTGGTACAGTTGAAGACCAATCCTGGAGCAGTAATTTGCATTCGGGTGGTGAGAAACGCATCCCAAAAACTCAAATTGCTACTCGACTGGACTGGATCATGCAACAAACTGTGAAGAGCTGTGAGAAGAAAGGCATACACTGTCTGTAGTGATGGAAAGATCCCAGAGGAAGATTTGGATTTCGCCAACGATGATGATTTATGTCTCATATCTTGTCGCACAAACTCGAAGATGTACACAGGTGGAAACTAACAAAAGTTGGCAGAAGAGGCGACCCGAGGTGAGGCAGAGAAGACGCCACTTCCTTCATGTGAGCGTAGAGAAGACACAGGTGATGAAGATACCCAACCAACCAACAACAACAACAACAACAGGCACCAATCATCATCAACGGGAGAAATCTAAAGTAAGTTGTCTCTTTCACCTACTTACCTATCTAGGCAGCATCGTTTAAACTGCAGGCGGTGGCACACATGACGATGTCAAAGCCAGCATCGGAAAGACAACAAGACAAGCCTTCCTGCATTAATCTGAAATAATCAGTGTGGAGATCTACTTCACTCCACTCAGCATAAAGCGTGAACAAGATCCGGATTTTCAACACTAAGTCAGTCAAGTAAGTCAGCGATTCTATGTATGTGATGGTTGAGGGACTTGGCGCCTTATGAAAAGCATTTCCAACAAACTGCAGACGTACATCATCAACAGCTGCCACCTACGCTCGCTCGCTGGATACTGATTATCAGATCAGACGACCGGAATAGTAACAATAAGTAACAAGGAACTCATTGTGGTCCAGCAACAAACTAGCTGACCAAGAACCTCTCGCCCAATAAATATGCAGAAGAAGAAAGTTGAGATGGATTGGTTTGGTCATAGACTACTGGGTAGACCGTTCGGGGACATGACGCGTCAGGCCATGCTATGCCAGGGTGTCGAGTTGAATTCAAATAGGAGACGGCGAGTTGGTCGTTTGAGAGTGTCGACATTAAGCAGATGATGTGTGGGAGAAATGAAAATGTCTCACTAGTAACCATAGGGACAAATAGAACAAATTACTTGTAATTTACCTCAAAATGTTTGTTAACTCTTGGAGTATACTCATTTGAGTGATATATCTCAACCATATTCTAACATGAAATGAAGTGTACCCTTTCACTAGTTGAAATGAGAGGGCGAATATTCAGCTGTAAGAAGTCCACTGTAGTGATACATTCATTGTACTATTAATAAAAACTTTAACTTTACTAGTTTAATTAAGAGACCGAATTGTTGTTGATAATATCTGAAGTAACTGTGGTTCAAAGATAGTGATGATTGAAACAGGAATGAAAACTCAATTCACAACAGGACTCGAACTAGTGGCGGAATGCTCTATCGAATGCATCACGAGATCTGTTTGCTTACATTTATGTTCTCATAATGGAAGCTACTTCATTCAGAGCATATTACAATTAAATGCTTTTAAATCAATAGTCTATTCTACACTGGGTAAGTAAACGACATCAACGTTTATAAAAGCGGAAGACCACTTTATAATTCAGTTAAAAATCTTGATTTCGTTAGCTGTTTGTACTTCTTTATGAATAAAGCTATTTAGTAAACAATATAGAGTAACATAGTCGGTGTATTTTATTCCCATTATACTTAATTTCATACAGAACGCTTCCAATGTAATTAAGTTGACATTTGTTATTAATTTAAGAACAGTAAGTATGCATATGATAGCATACTAACGAAAAACCATAGAGAGGCCAATTCATCTGTGGCGCTGGCGACATATCCGACAATCTATCAAAGGACATTATTTTCTATTATGCGACTGTGAGACATGGACGTTAAAAGTAGAAGACATGAAGCAATTACTGGCTTCTGATCATAGATGTCTTCGTAACATTACTCGCTCTTATTGGAATCACACCACAGTGTGAGGAATATTGAAGTCAAGTGAAAGGTACCAGGTAATATAGGAAAATCGATTGAGATGGCTTAGGCATGTACTCCATATACCAGGCGAACCAACAACTACCTCATCGTTTCATGCTAAGAGAAGTTGGATCAGGTTGGAAGATGGTTCATCGTGGTCACAGCAACACCTGATACCAGTCGATGAATTCTCTTACTGTTGATCTGAGTTGTGTAGGACGAAATAGACTGGCTGGCTGGAGTCCCCGAGACGATCAGAATCAATGGTTGAGGACTCTTGGTGACAATGGCTCACTCCTTGATATCTTTTAAAGCTTAAGTTTTCACACTAATCGTTACCTTTAAATCGTTTATTCTCTCACACAGTTTTGTTTGCTTTGATATCCTTCTTTTTCTTTCCACCTGTTCTTTGTGTACTGCTATAAAGTGTAGTAAGCTGAAGTGACTCACTTGTGTGCGAGATTTCACGTTGGTTTGGAATTGCAATAAATGAAAACCTAACAATTATCAAGCCTGATCAAGGAACAGAAGTAGTTCTCTTCGATAAAAAGGCTTATATAAACAAGATGGATGATATTCATGAGGGTAGATGAAGATTTCAAAAACTTAAGAATCAAAAGAACTCAACAAAAAGAGAGGCAAAGAGGAAGAACTGTCCAGATCTTTGTAGAAACCTTTAGACCAACAGGTAATCTCTTCCAGTTTACATGATGAGATCAAATCTATGGGCACATACATGCCAATACTACTTGGACCACCTGAAATACATATAAACCAGTGGACTACCGTTAGGATCACTTCTTGGTATGTGTAACCCACTCTACCGTTCTGTTGTGAAGTAACTGGTACCTATCTTGAAACTATTACATGAGCAGTTAGTCAAGTACAGACAGTATGAAGGACGTATTTGAGTTCGTGGAAAAAATTAAAGATGTCAACATCAGAGATAAAACTACACGATATCACTGGACGTAACATCTTTGTGGAAAAATGTCCCCCTGATGGAAATAATCAACTATGTAATATGTGAGCAGATCAAGTAGGAAGCAGTGAATGTTGGAATCCCAGTGGACATTCTTAAAGAATTATTGCCTAAATGTACAATGGATGTAAACTTTTAATTTAATGACAAATTCTGTCGACAAGTGGATAGGATTATAATAGGTCCCATATTATTTATCATTTTTTTCCTTGGGTTCCTAGTGGAATATAAGGCTTGAGTAGCATACTTCCATTGCACTCTGTTCTCTGCAGTCTTTTGAACCTCGCTTCACGACTATCCACAAGCTTTCATTTCTTCCTCACATGATTTCCTCCATGTCACCCTCAACTGTGACGCCCAACTCGTCTTTTCCCCTTTGGATTTCATTCTATACTCTGTTCTATGATGACGCACAGCGTAGTGTAGTGTTGCGTTGCAATTTGATCCGCATGTGACTTGTTTTTCCTGAAACCAGTCAGTCAGTCAGCCAGCCAGCCTGTTCTGGTCGTAATTTTCAGTCGAGAGCATGTTTTAGTCTCTCCAGGATGATGCGGCCTAATATTTTGCTTGGGGTGGACAGGAGTGGAACGTGATTCCGCGCCAGTTTTTGCAAAGACTTATCATAGTTCACCCTTCTTGGGAGTTTGACAAGGTAGCTCTTCTTCCAATCAATAGGCAGGTGCCCTTCTTTTCTTCCTTCCTTCCGTGCGAACTTTCTGAAATAGTGGTGTGGTGTGTTCATGTCTGCTGTTGTCTCTGTATATGTTTTCAGTGCTTCTGGTGAAATCCCAATCTTCTCTCTTCATCCGGGCTTAGGACCGGCTAGTAACTAGTGAACTAGTTAACCAGGCGAGGTTAGGTCCCATTTTAACAGACATCTTTTTAACTAAACTAGAAAATCGTTCTCTAAATAGATTGATACAAAAGTTTTTCACTTTTACTGCGGATATGTAGATGATGCATTGATCCTTTACGAAAATGACTGGAATAAGTCTGTAATTACTCACCAAATTTAATGAAGAATATTCGGTATTCATATTGGTGACTAACAGTGGAATCCACTACACGCGTTTCGTCCTATTGAGGACTCTTCAGCTTGACGAATGTAAGTGCACCTTAATGAGTGATATTGTTCCCACTGAGAAGTGAAAACAGTACCCATCGCTTCAAATACCAAAGCGTTGTCCACTAGGCCAATGAAGCATATACAGTCATAACATTCACTCGTGAAGAGGAAACATAGAGTAAAATAACACTTTTGAATGTTGTTCTTTTAAGAAGACCTAATGGACTTGTGAAAAGGAACTTTTGTAAAGGGATAGGGAGATATACAGACTTGTTTAGCTTCGTTATCCTCATATATAAACGAAATCTAGCAAAGACCTTCAATTACAGTATAAGAGCTATCTGCTTTGAGGTTTCGATCGATGAAGAGTTGAGGATCTCATACAATAGAAACCGCTTTACATGAAAACAGAATTTAGAAGAGAACTACTATGCACAATACTAATTAACAAGTTGCAAAGATTTATTCAACAAACTTTTGATGTAGGGAAATCGTAGCTTGTGTTTTCTTCTATACGCCCAACTGTGTTAACAAAACTGGCTACTTCTTGTTATGTTTATCAATTCAACTGTTCATAAGGAACAATTTTGTAGAAATTTAATTTTTCATGCTTGTGAATACCTCCCAGTATGGCTAAGTAAAAGTTTAGTGATATTAACTTGCTTAGTTCAAACACACCGAACATTAGACGAATATGAATCAATTGAATTTAGGGTTTGCGAGGATATAGTGATTAATTCCAAGTGGGTATTCATCATGGACTGATATCAGTTGGAGGAACATTGGACATCTGGGGACAGTGGATAGCTATTTCCTCCTAGTATGAGACTCATCATCACTGCATACTCAATGATCCCACCAAATATCTAACCTAAGATGTTCAAGTTCCGGGACCAGCCATCCAATATCATCGTTAAGTGACTGTCCTCATGTTCCACTTGATTGGCACCATCGGTCACGACTTCTCATTCGAACTTCAGGAATCACCTCTCGAAGTGAGTCGCTGATGGATATATCTAACTGTAGACAGAACATAAGGAAGAAGTTATTCTGAAATACAACCAACCCATGATATACTTAAAAACGAATAGACATTGTGTAAAAACTGACGATTTCAAGTTGAAACAGGACACCCCAACAACATGAATCTGCGGTTACAGAAAAAATACTCTCCTTTTATAAAAATCTTGTTGTTCTGATGTGTTTTTTGTTTATAATAGTAAACATTTCAATGTGTACAATGTTTTACTGATCGTAATTGTTTTAAATAATCTACAGCATGCTTGTATTCATTCATTGCTGAACTCCATTCACTGTAGAAATAATTAGCATAATCCAATAATTGATGATATTCATACCAAGCTGAGATTTGTCTTGCAGTCCAGTGAAGTTCATTTGACTTTGAATGATTCTTTGTCAATTTCTCATTGTTTGCATCAATATCACTATGGTTACGATCATCACCATCATCGTCATCGTAATCGTTATGATTATGAGATTGACTGGCTTTCTGCTTATTCATTGAATAATCAGCATTATTATTATTATTTAATCTTTTCAAGTTTATCAATCTGTCCATACCATTTTGATGATAATCATTGACTAATTTCACTAAATATTTTTCCGTTTCCTCAATGTTACGTAATGATTTATTGTCCCAAGTGAGTGGATCCAATGATGACAGTGAGTCAAAATACTAATAAACAAAGCGAAAAAGAAAACAAAACAAACAATAGTGGTAGTAAAATGGATAGTAACGCATTACAAGTGTACACGGTAGTCAAGCAAAACTTTTGATGATTGAAGTGAAATTCAGATGTAGTCTGCAGTCGAGTTGATTAAACACTGAACCAGAAACCCGAAGATCAATAGTTGAAGTCGCACCGAAGCTCAAATTTCCATTTCACCAATCAATTATCATCCATTAATTCTTAAAAAAAGTATCAATAATTACCGTGGGTGCACGGAGGGTATTCATTCAGTAGAGAGATATTCATTAAAAAACAGATTAAAGTGAATATGCATTTTCGGTAAATTCTTGTCATTTGATATCAACATGGTTTAATAAATTCAGGTATATGAATTAGAAGATAATAAAAAAAAAACATATTCTCAGTATTTATACTAGATGATGATTAAAGGTGGAATAAAATTTGGATTGCAGACGGATACCAACCAGTCACCACTACCACCGGGTCTCTAGCCTGATACTCTACCAATTGAGCTATGAGGTCCAACTGCTGATCACATTTTTATTTCATTTCAATCGCCGAGGGGCCTCATCCCACTACCATGTGAATTCGTGACGTGTTATTACTGCATGGTCATATTCAAACTGGCTGTTGAGAAGTCAGGACTTCTCATCCAATCGAAATCTAACTGAATTGGAATGAGAGGGGGAGCGTCATATTGATTATCATTCTGACTGCTATTTGAGATAACCGTGGTTTGGCAGACTAGTATTTGTACTGGGTGATGATTGAAGAGGAAATTTCAAAATTTGGACGGCGGCTGGATTAAAATCAGCGACTATCGAGTTTCCGGTCCGATGCTCTACCAACTGAGCTACGAGGTAAAGCATCAGACCGAAAACCCAGTGATCTCTGGTTCAAATCCGGCAGCGGTTCAAATTTTCATTTCCCCTTCAATTATCACCCAGTATTAATATGTATATGATATTTCAAGACCTTAATCTGTGAGAAAGATTCAGTTTAGTTAACAAGAGATCGAAATAACAATAATGGTGGGAAGGGTTGTAATAATGGTGCTGGTCGATGACGTAATGACTGGATAATGACAAAAGGGGTTATATAAGATATTTTGAAATCGTTCATGGAATACACATAGATTACGTCGAATTGATCAACAATCAAAGATGATTAGGTTATGTGAATGACATAGCAGGTTAATTGAAATGAATTGGAAATGTTTTGTTCAAACTTGCAATTATTAGGAAGACCAAATGATATAACACCGGAAACAGTTAAACATAGAAATAAAATGATAATGACGATATAAGAGTACAAAGATAAATCTAACAAAAAAGGGGAGGGGTTAAACAAATGAAGAAGGAACGAAGCACACCAAGACCAACAAACGTTAAGGCCAAGGTAGAGACAAAGACTGTACATACTTGTTTTGCACATAAGGGTCAGACTGACTTCATTTCATGGATAGTCAAGGCCTCTGCTGTTTTTAGAAGCTGAACACGGATTAAACGTGAGGTGATGGAGCGAATTCGATGGACAACCCTAAAATCATTGTCAGCGGTCGGTTGAATGGTTGGAATTGATTAAGTGTTCAAGGATAGAACTTCTGATGGATTTTCTTCACCTTTATAAAACCAAGCAAGAATATATTCTTGCATACGTGTTGAAAGTAATCTCTGAGTACATTACTCCGTAGGAGTAGGTGAACTGGAAGATACACATGGATTTGACCTGTCGAGGGATATTGTCTTTTATACTAGCTTAACTAAGTAATGGTACACCGTATTGTAATGTTGGAGGTCAGTTGTAAGAAAGCCTTCAACCTATACACCATACTTATATCTATACATTATTATTCATGAAATTTGTAATTATTATTGTTATTATTTGAAATGATTAGTTCCCTTAATGAATTCATTATTTTCTTATTTGTTTTAACTGATGTTTCGCTATACTTTATGCTAGTAGCTTTATCAAAGTTATAGTAAACCGGGATTTGTAATATCTCCTAAGCTTATACATCTGATAACTTGTGTTCATTTGGAAGGATCACAAGTGTAGAATAAAGATGATATCCATTATTTAGAGTTAATTGGGATAAATTAAAAATGTTCGCTTTTAGGGTTGCAATTATTGTGAGCACACGAAACTACTAAATATTTAAGGAGATGAAACTGAGTTGATGACTAATTTCGCATATCTTTTTAAAAAAGATCAGTTCATCCACCTAGAAGAATTTAAAAGGGATGTAATATCATATATCCTGGAAAATCGTTTTTCAACATCAATTAGTAGGACTTTTTTCACAGGTAAACCTCATTGGACTGTTAACAGTCGTAAATTGTTCTCTGAAAGTGTAAAAGACAATATCCCTTGACAGATCAACTTCATATGTGTATCTATCAGTTCATCTGCTCGTCTGGAGCAAGGTATATCGACCATAATCAGAGACTGCTGTCACCATGTATACGAGAAAATATTTCAGCCTGGTTTTAAAATGAAATCTATTAAACGTTCGATTTCAACTATTCAAATGATCCGAACAATGATATGAAGGTTGTCTATCGAATTCTCTCAAACATTCGCTCACGTTTTCTCCGTCATCAACTTCGTAAAACAACAGAGGTCTCGTTAGGCTATTCATGAACTGATCTTTATGTGCAAAAGAAGGCTATACAGTCTTTGCTTTTTTCTCAAGTCCCCCCTTTGATAGATTAATTTTTGTGATTCCACGCCAGTTCTTGCAAACACTGAGGTCTCCCTACTTCGGGAGTTTGACAAGGCGAGCTTTCTTCCAATCACCAGGTACCTTCCCTTCCTTCCACACCTTCTGCAATAATGGTGTGAGCATGTCCGCTGTTGTCTCTGCAAGTGTTCTCAGTGCTTCTGGAGGGATCCCGTCTGGTCCTGCTGCTTTCCCGCATTTCCGTAGCTTTATGGCGTTCAGGACTTCCATTTTTGTTGGAGGATTTTTGTTCACTTGTAGTTCAGCGGCTGCAGGTGGTATTTCTGGACGAAGTGCAGGTGGTGGTGGTCGATTCAAGAGCTTCTTGAAGTGGTCGGCCCCTTGTTTCCTTTGTTTCTCTTCTTTTGTAATTAAATTTCCGTCACCACCTTTATGGGTTTCATCTGTGTTGATCTCCTCCTTCTTCCCAGATAGTAACCTGATTATTTGTTATAATGTTGTGAGGTCTCTCTTGCATGCAGCCTGTTCTGCTTCACTTACAAGTGTGTCGTGGAAGTGTCTTATGTCTTTGCGCGCACTCTTCTTCACTTCTTTGTCCAGTGTAGTGTTTTATACATTGTACTCAGTTCCTCTTCTCGTCGTTCATCCTTGCACTGGTTTATCCTCTGCTTCACCATCCTCCTCTCCCTGCTCTATCAGCTTCCATGTATCCGTCGAGATCCATTCCTTGTCTTGTTTCCTCTTCTTTCGTAATACGGTTATGCAGGTTTCTTTCCACATAGCTTTCAAAGACTTCCAGTGTTCTTCCATACAGGTTTGTTCAGAGATATTGCTCAATGTCTTCCGTTTTTCCCTGATGGCTGACGTGAAGATGTCACTCGTAGTTTCGTCCTTCAGTTTCTGTTGTGGGTGTTGAACTTGAACTGTGGTCTATCACTAACTTTCTTGAAGGCTTTCAACTTGATTTGGAAGGTTCCTTACACTAGATAGTCGTCTGAACCTACATCTGCTCCCCTTCTTGACCTTGTGTCAAGTAGACTGACTGCGTCTCCATTTTCTTGAGATTGAGATAAAGTCGATCTGATTTTTAGTGTAGTGTGCCCATCTGGTGAAATTAAATCCATGTCGCTTTGTGGATATCCTTGTGTTTGTACACTATGCCCCACCTCCAATCACCAAATCGTTGAATGCACAGAATTCTGCAAACAATTCTCCATTCTCGTTCACCACCTGACCGAGCGCTTCTCGACCCATGACATATGAGTTCTCTTCCTGTGTTGTCCGCTCCGAGTTTGGCATTCATGTCGCCCATCAGAATTTCGATGTCGCCAACTGATGTCTTGTCCAGTGCTGATTGCAGTTGTCTGTAGAATTCCTCCTTCTTCTCTTCATCTGAATTATTTGTAGGTGCGTAGCATTGAATGATTGTGACTTTCCTTCCTTTTGAGTTGAGAACCTTGCTGTTATGAGTCTGGAGGAGACTGGTTCCCACTGTATGAGAGCCTTCGATGTACTTGGGGACATCATGATGGCCACTGCATTCGTGTGCTCGTGGGTGTCGTCTGGGTGACAACATCGGAGTAGAATATTGACTTTCTAGTCGACAATTTGGAGAGTCCACTTCCATTCCATCTGTTTTCGCAGATTCCTAGCACTACAAAGCTGTACCTTCTCATCTCCTTCGCAATCTGGGCAACGTTGGTTGCCAACAATAGTGAGTTCCTTTCTGCTTATTTTTCCTGGCCTTCTGATCTTCAGTTTCGGGCGTAGGCAGTTGTTGATGAATGTCTGTAGTTTGTTGGAAACGCTTTCACAACGTGCCAAGTCTCTCAACCATCACATACATAGAATCGCTGACTTACTTGACTGACTTAGTATTGAAAATCCGGATCTTGTTCACGCTTTATGCTGAGTGGAGTGAAGTAGATCTCCACACTGATTATTTCAGATTAATGCAGGAAGGCTTGTCTTGTTGTCTTTCCGATGCTGGCTTTGACATCGTCATGTGTGCCACCGCCTGCAGTTTAAACGATGCTGCCTAGATAGGTAAGTAGGTGAAAGAGACAACTTACTTTAGATTTCTCCCGTTGATGATGATTGGTGCCTGTTGTTGTTGTTGGTTGGTTGGTTGGGTATCTTCATCACCTGTGTCTTCTCTACGCTCACATGAAGGAAGTGGCGTCTTCTCTGCCTCACCTCGGGTCGCCTCTTCTGCCAACTTTTGTTAGTTTCCACCTGTGTACATCTTCGAGTTTGTGCGACAAGATATGAGACATAAATCATCATCGTTGGCGAAATCCGGTTTTTGCAAAGACTTATCATAGTTCACCCTTCTTTGGGAGTTTGACAAGGTAGCTCTTCTTCCAATCAATAGGCAGGTACTCTTTTTTCATTGCGAAGCTTCTGCAATAGTGGTGTGGTGTGAGCATGTGCCATGATATCTTTGCGTATGCCTTCAGTGCTTCTGGCGGAATTTTATCTGGTCCTGCTTCTTTCCCGGCTTTCAGCGACTTTATGGCGTTCAGGACTTCGACCTTTATCAGACGCCTTGTGTTCACTGGTAGTTCTGCAGTTGCTGGTGGTATTTCTGGAAGAGTTGTTGGAAGTGGTCAGCCCATCGCTCTCTTTGTTTCTCCTCTTGGGTAACTAAGTTTCCTTCACTATCTTTTATTGGTTTTATCTGTGTTGATCTCCTCCTTCTTCCCAGATAGTAACCTGATTATTTGTTATAATGTTGTGAGGTCTCTCTTGCATGCAGCCTGTTCTGCTTCACTTGCAAGTGTGTCGTGGAAGTGTCTTTTGTCTTTCCGCTCACTCTTCACTTCCTTGCCCAGGTTTTTGTACATTGTTTTCAGTTCCTCTTTTCCTTGTTCATCCCTGCACTGCCCTGCACTGATTCATCTTCTGCTTCACCATATTCCTCCCCGTTCTCTACCAGCTTTCATGTGTCCGTCGAGATCCATTCCTTGTTTTGTTTCTTCTTCCTTCCTAACACGGTCATGCAGGTTTCTTTCCACATCTCTTTCAAAGAGTTCAAGTGTTCTTCCATGAAGGTTTCCTCAGGGATGCCGCTTAGTGTCTCCTATTTTGTCCTAATGACTGATGTGAAGATGTCCTTTGTAGTTTCGTCCTTCAGTTTCTGTTCTGAATGTTGAGCTTGAACTGTGGTCTATCACCAGCATCGCTGAAGTCTTTAAACTTGATTTTGAAGGTAGGTTACTTGCAGCAGAGAGGTCTGGTGGTGTGGCCCTACATCTGCTCATCTTCGTGATCTTGTGTCCAGTAGGCTGTGTCCCCACTTTCTTCAGATTGAAATGAAGTCAATCTGATTTTTACTGTGTCCATCCTGTGAAATCCATGTCGCTTTGTGAATATTCTTGTGTTTGTACACACTGCCTCCAATCACCAAATCATTAAATGCGCGAACAATTCTCCATTCTCATGCATCATTTCACCGAGTGCTTCTCGACTCATGATGGATGAGTTCTCTGCCTGTGTTGTCTGCTCTCAGTTTGGTATTCATGTCACCCCACCCATTAGAACTTTGATGTCGTCATCTGGGCTGTGGTCTTGTCCATTACTGATTGCAGCTGTCTAAAGAATTCCTCCTTCTTCTCTTGATCAAAAAAATTGTAGGCGAATAGCGTAGAATTATATGATTGTAAATTTCTTTCCTTTTGATTTGAATATTGCTGTCATAATCCTGGAGGAGATTGGTTCCCACTGCATGAGCCTGTAGGATCCTCAAAAAAGCTGGAATTAGTTGGGGTGTCATTTAAACCCACAAACTCACTCAGAGATAAGTTTTGTTGGATGGCTTAGGCATCCGATAGAACCAATTGAGGAAAATAATCTAATCTATCAAATTCCATGTAATGATTGGGAGTCAGGTCAAGTACATAGGTGAAACTTGCCGATCGGGGTCAGTTAGATTGGCGGAACAGGAATGTGGCTAAATATAGAATGACAAACCCGAATAAGATCAATAATCTAGAAGGAGACTCGGCTATTGCAATTCATACATCAGTACAAAACCACACTAGAGTATGGGTGGGATAAAACCACTGTAGTTATGGGAAGATAGAGAGGATGATTACTGAATCTTTGTTCATCAAATCAGTCAACACCTAACCTGTGTAAGAGGAACACGCAACACACCTATACCAGAGATATGGAAAGTTTTACTACCACTAGAAACAAAGAATATGAAGTGACAGAACCATAAAAATCGACTTTTGAAACTGGTGTGATAACATTGATATGTTCAAATCTGGCCAGTGTCCAGATTTTCATCTCATCTTCAATCATCACACAGTATAAATACTAGTCTGCCAAAACTACGGCTATCTCAGATAGTCAAATGATAACACTGATTTGACTATGAGCGATAATTATTTATGCTCGAAACATCATCCAGTAAATACTACTGTATGACACTGTGCCTATGAACGATTTTAAAATATCTTATATAACCCTTTTCTGCTATTATTCAATCATAACATCACCAACTAGAAACATGATTATAACTATATCCATCATAATCTCTTGTTAACTAAGCTCAATCTTCCTCACAGATTGCAGTCTTTAAATGATCATATACATATTACTACATAGGAATGTAAAGGTTGAAAAGAAATCCTACACATCGCTGAATATCTTGTCTTGAATATCACAATGGGAGTTAGAAGTTTATAACAAACAGATTTCAGTGACATTAATAAAAGGGTAATACTTTTCATAGGCGGCTTTTAGAAAAGGGAAAACTAGGGAATATACATCTGAGTTAAACATACTTCAGATTCCATTAGATTTGTATACTTCGATAGTTGTACAACTAAATCATCTGTAGGAGATGAATTGTCTGGTTGAGATGCTTTATTCCTGGAAGTATGATCACAATTGACATTCGTTGGTCCCTTCTTTTTCCTCTTTGTTGTCGTTATTTTTGTCATGCTTACGTGTCTCTCAGTCTCCTTTCCTGTTACTTCTCCTTCTTCTTCTTCTTCTTCTTCTCTCGATAAATCACTAGGCGATGATTCGATAACTTGTTGCGGTGTACTTAATTTTTTAAAATTCTTAACCACTGGACGCGGTTGAAGATCATTCATTCGATTGGTTACTGTAACCAGACGATCAAGTTCAACAGAAAAATCGGCTTTTGCTAAATCTGATGGAATAGGATCTGTTGAATAAATTTTGGAAAATGTCAATTTGAACATAAATGAAGTGAAAAATGAACAAATTGATGTTAATACAAATGGTAACAACAACAAACATTAAAAAAACGTGCCAAAAACGTAGTACATGCAAGAGGTTGGTCTTATGGCCTAGTGAATGGAACCTTGGCGTTCAAAGTGATGGTGGGTGCAGGGACACTAACACTCGCTGAGGTGCCGGTACAACCACCAAGTGACGAGCCCCAAGTGAGAAGAAACGCACATCTTGGATTCAACCATTAACCACTCAGCAAACCAAAAACATATACTTTGCCTGCTCACTTCAAAATACCACTGCTTAGGTAAGTAAAGCCCTACGACAAAAGTAGAAGTGAAGTCCTGAACACCATCAAGTTACTGAAAGCCGGGAAACCAGCAGGACCAGATAAAATTCTTCCAGAAGCACTGAAAACATATACAGAGACAACAGCAGACATGAACACACTACACCACTATTTCAGGAAGTTCGCACGGAAGGAAGGAAGAAAAGAAGGGCACCTGCCTATTGATTGGAAGAAGAGCTACCTTGTCAAACTCCCAAAGAAGGGTGAACTATGATAAGTCTTTGCAAAAACCGGATTTCGCCAACGATGATGATTTATGTCTCATATCTTGTCGCACAAACTCGAAGATGTACACAGGTGGAAACTAACAAAAGTTGGCAGAAGAGGCGACCCGAGGTGAGGCAGAGAAGACGCCACTTCCTTCATGTGAGCGTAGAGAAGACACAGGTGATGAAGATACCCAACCAACCAACCAACAACAACAACAACAACAGGCACCAATCATCATCAACGGGAGAAATCTAAAGTAAGTTGTCTCTTTCACCTACTTACCTATCTAGGCAGCATCGTTTAAACTGCAGGCGGTGGCACACATGACGATGTCAAAGCCAGCATCGGAAAGACAACAAGACAAGCCTTCCTGCATTAATCTGAAATAATCAGTGTGGAGATCTACTTCACTCCACTCAGCATAAAGCGTGAACAAGATCCGGATTTTCAATACTAAGTCAGTCAAGTAAGTCAGCGATTCTATGTATGTGATGGTTGAGAGACTTGGCACGTTGTGAAAGCGTTTCCAACAAACTACAGACATTCATCAACAACTGCCTACGCCCGAAACTGAAGATCAGAAGGCCAGGAAAAATAAGCAGAAAGGAACTCACTATTGCTGGCAACCAACCAACGGACCAAGAACCTCTCGCCCAAAAAATATGCAGAAGAAAAAAGTAGAGGTGGATTGGATTGGACATACACTGAGAACACCATTCGGGGTATCACGTGCCAGGTCAGGCCCTCGAGTAGGACCTAAAGGGAAAACGACGAGTTGGGAGTCCCAGGTGAGTGTGACATGGAAGAGATGGTGTAAGAAAGAAATGAAAGCTTGTGGGCAGTCGTGGAGCCAGGTTGAAAAGACTGTAGAGAAGAGAACAGAGTGAAATGACGACGTGCTACTGAAGCTGTATGTTCCACTAGGAACCCAAGGGACAAATAATAATCAGTATCACTCATGCACTGATTTGTAGATTTAGCTCACCGGATCAGAGTGGTCAAATGATTCCTTAGTTGATCATAACATTAGATATATTGGTTCCAGTAAAAAATATTATTCAGGTAGTATTCATCACGGATTGGCATCATTTGGAGAACCATTGAAAAACTGGAAGCACTGGATAATTGTTTCATCTTAGTGTGGGACATCTCAGCTACAAGCACCCATGTCCCTCCCCCCAAGGGTGCGCGCTGCTGAGGAGTTCCACACAGGAACGAAACAGCTATTCAGTGCTTCCAGTTTTTTTAATGGTTCTCCAAATGATGTCAATCCATAATGAACATATTTGAAACTCGATTTAAGTAAAATTGGTGGATACATGTGTGATCAACGTTCACCAGTTACTGCTTACTATTAGAGTAAGACTAAAATGTTATCGAAGCCTAGATTGACTATTCACCAGTATCCCACTATTATGTAGTCCCATTAGTTGTTTTCTACACAGCAGACAGTCATTATAGATATGACTTTAAATTACTTACAGTGGTACAAATTCATTAACACTTTGTATGTTACTGTTAATAGTATTTATTGCGTTATCCTTAAGTTATACCTCTCTGCATTATATACTATTTTGCTGTTCAATTCTATTGGTTTGATTTATTCATCCCTTCATATTTTGTCTAACAATTAAAATTATTTTGACGAATATATTACTCAATGAGTATCTGAAGTATTCCAGACAGTTAGCTCCCGAGTCCAAATCCCGGTGGGAACAACATTACTCACTGGGAGGCAGGTGCATCCAGCTGACGAGTTCCAAATAAGACGAAATGCTCATCCCGGATTCCAGTGCTAACCACTATCCATCATTACTATATAATTAAAAACACAGGCAATATCTAGGCATCCACACAGGAGTCTATATGCCAACAGAGATTGATCAATTCGGTCCAATCAACGACAGTATAATATTAAAACAATTATACTAAGTTGGCCAAATATGTTTGAAACTTCAAAATGGCACAAATAGACAGACAGGATCGACATAAAACCTCATACACGGGCGCATCAGTTCGTCTTGCCACACTTCACAGTAGTATACAAAGAAAAGGCGGACAGAAAAAGAAATAATATCAAAGAAGATAAAGTAGTATGAGAGAATAACCCATTTTAAGATGAAGGTTAGTGCAAATATTCAAGCACATTAGAAGATGTCTGCGCTCTTGTGACTGATTTTCAGCCATGTCACCAAGAGTCCTCAACCACTGATTCTAGTCTACCTTAGCTCGCCTGGCATGCAGAGTACGTGTTCAAGCCATCTCAGTCGACTAACGTTCATAACCTCAATAATCGACTTGCCCATCTTGCCTAGTACCCTTCGTTTGGCTCCAACATTCCTCACACGGTGATACTACGAAGACATCTATAATCAGAAGCCAGTAATCGCTTCATATTTTCTGGTTTTAACGTCCATTTTTCACAGTCATATAACAAGGCAGAAAAGACTATAGGCCAGTATACTCGCCTCTCAGTAGATAGTTGGGTGTCTAAATAGTCGGGGCCATAGGTGATGCAATTTATCGAATGGCGAATGTGCTTTCTGTATCCAAGCTAAGATTTCATTTCCAACTATCCTATTCAGTCTGATGCAACTCTTCAAGTAAGTGAAGTGGTCGACATGTTCCCCCACTTTACTCTCTATCATTAAACTGGCAGTCTTTGCAGCAGACCAGTCCTGAAGCATTATCTTACATTTGATAGATGCAAAACTAAGAATGAAACGGCATACTATGATGGTAGAGATACTTTTCCCAAGAGACATATTCATTCATGTATATTCTGCACTCAAGTAGATGAAGTAGTAACTCGTTGGTTCAGAGGCCTGATTTTCATGGGTTTGAATATGGCTCTACCTACCGTTAGTTAGTTTCAATAATTCTCATGCAAGAGATACACCCCACTGCCTAAAAGTCAAATGTGTATGTACTTTCGGGGTGTAATTTGATTTTGAGACTATTCTGTCACCCTTTTCAAAGAAAAATCATATTGATCTTGGAACCCAACAATCAAGCAAGTAACTCAGTAATAACTGGTAAACGTACCCATTGAATATGATGCTTTCAAACTGATTGATTACCCCACCCTGTGATGTGTATGACTAGTTGGATTGCTGTGCTATCGTGTTCAGATCTTTCATTGTTTTACTTACCTACCATTTTGTATTATTTGTCCCTTGGGTTCCTAGTGGAACATACGGCTTCAGTAGCACGTCGTCATTTCACTCTGTTCTCTTCTCTACAGTCTTTTCAACCTGGCTCCACGACTGCCCACAAGCTTTCATTTCTTTCTTACACCATCTCTTCCATGTCACACTCACCTGGGACTCCCAACTCGTCGTTTTCCCTTTAGGTCCTACTCGAGGGCCTGACCTGGCACGTGATACCCCGAATGGTGTTCTCAGTGTATGTCCAATCCAATCCACCTCTACTTTTTTCTTCTGCATATTTGTTGGGCGATGGGTGAGTGACACTAAGATATTCATGTTATTCATTGGTATGTTTTTATATATTATGACACTTTTGGATCAGAGATGGCTGTGATGCTGTGATGCCCCAGCTTTGTATCAAACATTGTTATTGATCTGAACGTTTTAACGCGTCATTCGTACACCATTTTTACGGTATGACTAGTAGTCTACTTTCTGCCCTCATTGTAATGTAAATCGCTAATTGGTTGAATCTTTACTCTTACTATGCAAGTGTCTCAAATTGAGGACAAGGTCATTTCCATGTATATAGTTATTCACGTGTTTTGGATTGAATTATTATTATTTTCTCGGAGTTATGCACTCTCCCATCATCCAGCTTCAGTCTTCTCTCTATTCGTCTCGGGGTTGCAGTCAGTGCATCTTGCATACTAAGTTAGCTGTCAGCTAAGCGCGCGTATTGTATTCGTTTCGGAATATATATATATATATATAACCATTAGCCTTCGAAAATATAACAGTTTTTGAGGGAAACTCTGGTGACATCACAGTTGGACAGTTGAAAAGTGTGAGGAATGTCAAATGGACCGTGAAAGTTGAGAATTGATCATACTGTATGAATAATTTCAGCGTTTGAAAATAATTAGTCAATCAGTCAATCTGTGATCGCCTTTAACCTTTCTCCAGTCTACATATACTTCGGATAAAATTGTATGGAGAGGGAGACAGTGACTACAGCCATGCACGGATAACATATATCACAGCCATTTGAATTGATGCAGGTTTACAACCTTATCAAAATTGGTGTTATTGTTTGTATTACACCGTCGTTGGTTGGACCGAATTGATCAATCTCTGTTGGCATATAGGCTCCTGTGTGGATGCCTCGATATTGCCTGTCTTTTAACCATTTATAGTAATGATGGGCAGTGGAGTTCAGGATGCGCGTTTCGTCCTATTTGGGACTCGTTAGCCGGATGTACCTGCCTCCCAGTAAGTGATGTTGTTCGCACCAGGACTCGGACTCGGGAGCGGTCGCTTCAAACGCGACTGATCAATGCGGTCCAATCAGCTACGGTGTAATACAAGCAGTAACACTAAACATATACCCATCGCACAAGAAGTGGCTATCATCCCTCGGTATAGTGGTGGATAACGCTCTCGCGCTTGAAGCGATCGCTCTCGAGTCCCGGTGGGAACAACATCACTCACTGGGAGGTAGGTGTAACTGGCTGACGAGTCCCAAACAGGACGAAACGCACATCCTGGACTCCACTGCTGGCCCGTACCGGTCATCACTATGCGTTATCAAAACCGATTGACCCTTTTTTTACGTAGAACTGTACGTATGACTTCTGTGTTACTGATATGATATTTGTTTGGCAGATGATCTAGGCTACAACATCAGAATTCTTGTGGAAAATTTCAGTATTCGAGAATTTCAATGTAGAAAAAAAGTTACTTAGTCAACAGGGATGTTTGAAACATAGTCAGTCTAATACGAATTAAGACAATATTTACTTCTGAAGATTTTCTATGTATATAATAATCACTCACGTAATACTTACCAGGTAGTTCACGAATTTGTGTTGGACACTTGGATTGCAATTTTTTCAGTAGATCACATTCATCACCAACATCTGAGACAATGATTATTGAAGCGCCATAACTACCTGAAAATTATATAGGTGGTCATCAAGATTAACATAGGACCAGGCATTGCTGCATAACGGTCCAAGTTCCCACACCTCACCCCATCTCATATCAGCATATCAAGGCAACAAGGCAATAAAATGGAAGATGAAGAAGGAAAGAAAGAATGATCAAAAGGAGTGGAAGTAGAAGGTAGTAAGAGAGGAAAGAAGAGTGAGAAGATGGCGAAATTAAGTATAGCGGTTAAGAAGAGGATAATATGTGTGGGGGTACGTATGCGCCACTGACATCGGTTCTCAGCCATATCACCTAAAGTCTCCAACTACTGGTTTTTTAGTCCCGCCAACCCCAACCTGCTAGTCTGCATCGACCTACATGGTTCAAACGAACAGTCAACGACTTCATACATTGACGCCATGTTTTACTTTGGCCATCCCGGGCCTTTTTTCAGCCTGAACCTACTCCGGCCAACATTGTACGACGAGGCAGATGGTACCTAGGCATACATACATAACACATGCCCCAGTCATCTCAGTCGGTGAAGGTTCACAACAGCATCAAGTGACTTACCTCTCCTGTCTAAAACTCTACGTCTGACTTCTGTGTTATTCATGTGGTGACACCACGAAACACGGCCTATGCTACGACATATTCGTGGTAGTAGTAGTAGTAGTAGTAGTAGTAGTAGTAGTAGTAGTAGTAGTAGTAGTAGTAGTAGTAGTAGCAGTAGTAGTATGGAAACTCTTACAGTAAACAATACATTTTCAGATGAAGGTGGATTCAACACTTTAAGTGTTGGTAATCAGATGTAGATAAATAAATGACTATTTTATCCTTTGTTGAGGTGTTTCCCCTTAGATTTAGTTTTTCAGTTTCACACACAAAATCTTTAAAAATTTGAAATAGATCTGACCTAATCATTCCTAAACCGAACAAGAGATCGGTTAGGTGTGTATAGACGACCAATAGCTGCTACATTGATGTGGTAGTCGGGTTTGTATGCCACAATAACCAAGCGAACTATGTTGGTGCAACGCTTTTTCTTTCAAGGTTCTAGCATACCAGAAAGGTTTATTGGATAGTGGTTAGATAAAATGCAGCTACCATTATGGTGTACATTGCTGAGTCTGAGGGCGAAGTCGTATTGTTGTTAGCTGGATAGGTGTGACAGCAGTATCATGTTAATGCTGTCTTCCCAACGGTAGAGGGGAGTTACAAAACGTCGGCCGCAAAAATAGCACACTTCCATGGCATGTCGATGCTTGCAACAGGGGTAGATAGTCGGATTCAAAAACAGCCTCAGACAGATGTTCCTTGATGTCTGCGATCATGTACTATCCCTTCTATTTTAGGTAGCCTCTAATGGTTTGTGCAGCCGGGAAGTGTCAACCCTGCTCACGCTTCCAGTAGTACACACAAGACACAATCAAATGGTCAGATGTGGTAATGATGAACCAAATGATGTCCATGCCTATGGATGGAAGTAAATTCATGGCTAATGTTTCATTGGATTACCATACAAATGTAACATCTAATCTGGTAAAACTTTTGAATATGAATGTTATCAGTAGGGAAAAATCTGCTTGATTCAAACCTACAGTAAACGAATCTGTATAGATTGTCTAAAAATTAAACTGACTAACAATTCTTTATGAGTTAGACTGTGTCCAAGTGTCCTTAATCTACACATAAATTGATGAAATAGTTAACCAAAATTTTAATTCCTATTCAAAAATGAATCACTTAAATTTTCTCTGAAAGATACACTTGGAATATGTTGTTAATCTAAGTGTGATATTAATATGAAAGAGACAAGACTTTATATTCAATAAGGTGCCTCTAACTTGGATCGTTAGCAGTCTCTGTGATTATATATAGTTTCAAAGAAAAGTGTTTATACTACTTTAACCATAGGAGAGGAGAATATTATGGCATAATTTTAAAATGAAGACTACAGTCTGCCATCAACAAAACTTGTTGAGGAAACCAATCATACATCTCATCATTGTATAAACGATTACTTATCATTTCATTACACCTACTAATTCAAACATCATCATCATCCGCTGCAAAACATATCATTTATAAAGTTCACAGGATGGATATTAAAACAGCTTTTATAATGTTGTCTAGAAACTCTCAGAGGTGTAAGCCGTACTTCTTTTGTGACTTCAAAAAGCAGTTTTTTCTTACGATAAACCTACCCTGGTAATGCTGATCTTATCCTGCCACCAAGGTTGACTTCAAAACTTACACTTCCTACCTTACATTTCTTATTATTAAATTCCTTTTGAGATGAATAGAGATTTTTAATTTAGAGGTAGTAGTATTCATCACAGACTGACATCAGTTGGGGAACCATTGAAAATTTGGGAGCACTAGATGGCTGCTTCGTCCTAGCATGGAACTTCTCAGCAGTACATACCCACGACTCAATCATAGGTCGAACTCAGGACCATTCACCCATTGGTTCAATTTTCAGTGGTTCACAGTTTCCAAATTCTCTCAATTCACGATATAGCGCAACTATCACCTAACGTCTTCAGTTAGCATCCGCTTCCCTTCCGACTGGTTGACCATACAGGTCAAGACTTCCCATTAGAACTCCATGATAACCATTTGGAAGCATGTCACCTCTAAATTAGAAATCCCCGTTCATCTCAAAAATACATTACTGTATAAGTGCTCATTAGTGATATGCTTCCAAATGAGAAGCCGTGACCTGTAGGGTCAACCAGTCAGAAGGAAAGCGGATGCCAACTGAAGACCATCGGTGATGTCAATTCATGATATAGCGTATATCATGAATTGACAGAAGTTGGAAACTATGAACCACTGACCCGACCTGATCTTACCCAGTGGGTGAATGGTTAATGGGTTCGCCTTGAAACTTGAACGTCCTAAGTTCGATCGTTGGTCGAGTCGCGGGTGCGTACTGCTGAGGAGTCCCATACTAAGATAAAACTGATGTTGTTCAGTCCTCCTAGATTTTCAATGGCTCCCTAACTGATGTCAGTCCCTGATAAATACTACCTCGAAATTAAATTCTTTTATTTCATATTCATCCTTCGCCCATTTCCAGTTTTCTTATAGAATGCTTTGGGATAAGTGAATGTACGTAACTAGACTTCTTGAAATGTATGGCATAAATACTAAACATTTCTTTTTCAAGTTAACTACATCTTCTAAGTACATCATAAAATATAACTAGTTGTTTCAAAGTCACATCTTCCCTGATTTATGCTAAGCAAAATCTCTCTGTCGGGGAAAATACATTGAAGTCATCACAAGCTATGCTTTATCATCGATAAAAAAAATGCATTGAAAAAGGTGTGTTAAAAATTGTAAGTAATAGCTTGAAACGGAATGAGTCTCTTTGCTACACATGATAGATACAGCAAGATAACACCTAAACTAATAGTGATACGTTTGTCTTTTTGACAATTCCTGCCTAAACAAGACAAGAATATCCACAATTATATCACGTTATTGACTTTCTAAAGATACCCTGAGATAATGTCAGTTCATGATAAATATCGAGTTAAACTGATATTGTACTGAAATATTCCAATCTCAGTAATATATTTCTAACTATCAAGATGCTTGGTGAACTTTGAAGAGAAGAGATTCAACCTTATGAGAAATTTGTTGAAACACTGAATATCTTAAAGCAAGCTATGACAGTGTATTTTCAACAATTCAACCAAACCACTAAAGAAGTGATTTGAATTTAGTGTTTGACTACAATGATTACTAACCGGTAGGATTTAAGCTTGCTAACCAACTCTTTCTCGAGTGTTGTTGATACACCTGGGCTATGTTTAACTGTAGTAAGAATTTGTAAATTTCGTAAGCAACAATAAACAAGAATACCTTGGATATATTACCCAATATTTATTGACTAAAAGTAGCCTTCATCATGAGCAGGAATCAAATGCAAAACCACTGATAGCCTAGTAGCATCGGGTAGGTGTTTCGTCAGTCGTGTTCACCTGTGAAAAATTGAGCCCACGACAACCAGTTTTGGTAGAGAGCATGTTACAATTTAGCTGCCAGGTGAGTTCAAGGTCAGGGTTTCAGATAAAGTGACTAGACATGGAAACGCAGGATACTATAGTATTCCTCCTAATCAGGAAAAGAAGCAATTATAAGAGAGAAAAAGAGGAACCAACTAGTTTACACCATAATATTAAAAACCCTACCAAATCTTCCAGCGCGTCCCACCCGGTGTACATAAGTCTCATGCTCCCAGGGTACTTCTAAACTGATCACAAGATTGACATTTTCAGCATCGATACCACGTGATGTCTAAAAGTTTAAAAAGCAAAGGAAAAACAGTTGAGAATATGGTGAAAACTACCTGTAATCTAAGGGTATTGCTGTTCATACTGAGTTCATCTTTAAGTATAAGAGTTGTGCAATGAATTGAATCATGTACAGAACCGAGTGGATATACTTCTTGAAACTGAAACACTTACATTCCATTAGTCCAATTAATATACTGTTAGAAAAACTGTTAAAACTAGTTGCAATCATTATAATTTTATAATAAGTCTTGAAGATGGTTCTGATGCTGAATACAAACACCAACAAAAGTTCGTGAATCAGATATTTCAAAAAAAATTATTCTATTTTCATAGCCTGATAGCAGTGTTGTATAAGCTGAAATTCACGTTACGAAGTATCTCAGTGACGTATTAACTGTCATTGTTACATTTTTGCTAACCTCACATAGTGTGTACATCTCTACCTTTTTACGTTTAAATGTCATGCTACTTATTATTGTTAAGTAGTATTGAGACATTACTTTCGTTTTTCTGAATTTTTGGATGATGATATTGCCTATGAGCATTGATAGCGATTATCTTGGTGTAAGAGGTTCTTATCGCAGGGATTTCGTGCATCTCCCTCCTTCTCACCTGATTGTTTATCTCTGATTACCTTAACCCATTCTATGCCGCATATTTCACAACTGACTGTCGTTTAGCACTTGACACAGTTCTGAGGTGTAATTTACTACACACACTGTATAATTGTATTCTTGACCGTGTGACAAATACCCAAACTTTGTTAGTATTAATGTTATGTAATATTGTAATATCTTATTAAAGACACACCTCATGTTCTTGATCCTGAGGTTTTACGCATTCCTTCGACGAAATCAACAGCCATCCTTCTTTGCCTTTTCAATCGTAATGAATGTCGAAGACTTCTAGGGAGTATTAAAAATCGAAACTTTCGATCTGACTTACAGCTTGAGTTGGGTATGATCAGCTAAAATTTAATTCTGATTGAATTTGGAGGTCTGTATTTATCTACTGATTCCACGGTAGTATTCATCACCAACTAAATTCAGTTGCGAAACAAATGAAAACCCAGGTGTACTGAAATGCGCATCACACTTGTGTGGGAGTAATCAGCATCACGGGTCACGCCAGTGACCGAACCCAGGGACTTCAAGGCCGCTATCGGTGGGCTACTACTGACCTGCAGAGCTTCACATGTCTTTACTCCTATCAGTTCGCTAAATCGCGCGACCTCTACCCGATAACGTCGTAAAGTAACTATCCTTACGTTCGACTTGGTCTTCCCGACAGGTCAGGACTTCTTATTAGAACTCCGGAAATTTTATTTCCAAGTAAGGTAGTACTTTTTACTGTTATTATTTGTCCCATGGATTCCTAGTGGAACATAGGGCTTCAGTAGCACGTCGCCATTTCACTCTCTTCTCTTCTCTCCAATCTTTTCAACCTCGCTCCAAGACTCCCCATAAGCTTTCATTTCTTCCTCACACCATCTCCTCCATGTCACCCACACCCGGGATGCCCAACTCGTTGTTTCCCATTCCGGTTACACCTGACGGCCTGGTCTGGCGTGTCATGTTCCCTAACGATTTTCTCAGTAGTGCGTGTCCAATCCAATCCTATCTATCTCCACTTTCCTCTTCTGCATATTTGTTGGACGATAGGTTCTTGGTCGGTTAGTTCGTTGCCAGACCACAGTGAGTTCCTTGTTGCTTATTCTTATTATTCTGGTCATCTGATCTGATCTTCAGAATCGAGTGAGCGAGCGTAGGTGGCATCTTTTGATGATGTATGTCTGCAGTTTGTTTGAAATGATTTTCGCAAGGCGCCAAGTCTCTCAACCACCACATAGAAGCACTGATATACTTGACTGACTTAGTGTTGAAAATCCGGATATTGTTCACGCTTTATGCTGAGTGTAGTAGATCTCCACACTGATTTCCCGTTACTGAAGGCCTGTCTTGCTGTCTTTCCTATCCTGGTTTTGACATCGTAATATGTGCCTGCACCACCTCCTGTGGTTGAAACGATGCTGTCTAGGTAGGTAGGTAGGTAGGTAGGTAGGTAGGTAGGTAGGTAGGTAGGTAGGTAGGTAGGTAGGTAGGTAGGTAGGTAGGTAGGTAGGTAGGTAGGTAGGTAGGTAGGTAGGTAGGTAGGTAGGTAGGTAGGTAGGTAGGTAGGTAGGTAGGTAGGTAGGTAGGTAGGTAGGTAGGTAGGTAGGTAGGTAGGTAGGTAGGTAGGTAGGTAGGTAGGTAGGTAGGTAGGTAGGTAGGTAGGTAGGTAGGTAGGTAGGTAGGTAGGTAGGTAGGTAGGTAGGTAGGTAGGTAGGTAGGTAGGTAGGTAGGTAGGTAGGTAGGTAGGTAGGTAGGTAGGTGGAAGAGACAACTTACATTAGATTTCTCCCACTGATGATGATTGGTGCCTGTTGTTGTTGTTGGTTGGTTGGGTATCTCCATTACCTGTGTCTTCTCTATGTTCACGTGAAGGAAGCCCTGTCTTCGCTGCCTCATTTGTCAACTTGTTAGTTTTCGTCTGCAGATTTTCGAGTTTATGTGACAAGATATGAGACATAAATCATCATCGTTGGCGAAATCCGAATCTTCCTCTGGGATCTTTCCATCACTACAGACAGTGTATGCCTTTCTTCTCACAGCTCTTCACAGTTTGTTGCATGATCCAGTTCAGTCGAGTCGAGTCGAGTTGACCACGATCAGGAAGACGATAGGTGATAGTAGGCGATAATCTTGTTTTACATGTCAACCTGTCTTCACTTTAAATGTATCACTGACTTTTCCATTGTGAAACCCTCAGCATGTGGCGCCTTCATATAGCTGATGAATGAGGTTGATAGAGGTTTGTGTCAGTAAAACCGTAGTGTTGAAGCAGCTACCATGTTACTTCTCGGTCGGCGATGTCTAAGGCCTTTTCAAAGTGGATGAAGTTGAGGTGGAGATACAGTGGACTGGCATTCTATGCTCTGTTCTATGATGATGCACAGCGTAGCGTTGCAATTCAGTCTGCACATGATTTGTACTTCCTGAATCCAGCCTGCTGAGATCGTAAGACTTAGTAGTTTTCCCGACAGGTCTTATTTTATTTGTCCTTTGGGTTCCTAGTGGAACATAGGACTGCCGAAAGACAATAATTGGTTGATCTGTTTTGTATGATTCACACTGATATCTCTAAGAACTGAGTAGTTTGTCAAATGCAAAACTGTAGGATTTCCATTGGAACTTGGCAAAATAGTCAGTCGATCTGCGCAAATAATGATGTCAAGTAAAACAGAGCGACAATATTCTTACCATACGATTATGAATTGTGGCTGTTGAACATACACAAAGTGGGGCTATAGCGTATTGGTTTAGGGTAGTGAATTTCAATCAGCGGGCCGTAGGCTCGAACCCTGCTCTTCCGACCAAGTCTTAGTCAACTAAGTAGTGTACCATTTTAGCGCTCATATAATAGGTGTAACTGATGGCCTTTTGCATGAATATGCACAACGTTGCTGAGTGGATTTCGCTTTTAATCACCTTCTACTTTGATACTTAAAAAGGGATGGAATAAATTGTATCGGTCTCAAAATAGTAAGGCTAATCTAAACTGCCGATGAATGAAGTTAGTAAGAAGGTCACTGTTTAACATATATTTATTTACTTTCTTTAGTACCATTCTAATCCTTTTTCATCTCTCTTGTCTTTTACTATTGCGTTTCATTAAAGTTATGCTTTGTATCGCTAAATTCGCATTTGCGATTTTCACCACCGCAATGCAAATTTTTGCTCCAGGACTGGTCTTCAGCGGTCCCCCACCGCGGCTAACAATAGAGAGTGAAGTGGTTGAGTGTGTTGACCACTTCACTTACCTGCGAAGTAGGATCAACCCTGGTGGGTTAGTTGCCGATGAGATTTCTGCACGGATACAAAAGGCTCGATTGGCTTTTGCCAATTTGCGCCACCTATGGCGCCGCCGTGATATCCAATTGTCTATTAAGGGTCGCGTGTACTACACAGCAGTCCGCTCTGTTCTACTGTATGGCTGTGAAACATGGCCATTGAAAGTGGAGGGTACAAAAAGGCTTCAGGTGTTTGACCACCGTTGCCTTCGTAGTATAGGACGTATTCCGTGGTGTCACCATGTGAGTAATGCAGAAGTCAGGTATAGAGTTTCGGGGAGAAGAGGTAAGTCAGTTGACGAGGTTGTGAACCTTCATCGACTGAGATGGTTGGGACACGTACTACGTATGCCTAGTCACCGATCGCCTCGTCACACAATGTTGGCTGAGGTGGGTCCAGGCTGGAAAAAGGCCTGAGGTGGCCAGACTAAAACATGCATCAATGTATGAAGTCTCTGACTGTTGGTTTAAGCCATGTAGGACGATGCAGACTAGGTGGTTGGGGTCCACGGGACAAGAGGAACCAGTGGTTGGAGACCCTAGGTGATATGGCTCAGAACTGAAGTCAGTGGCGCAGATGTATACACACATTATCCTCATCTTAACAACGCTATACCGAATCTCACCATTTTGTCACTCCTATTTCCTTTCTTCTCGTACTTCATATTTCTTTTGACTGCATTCACTTATCTTCATCCTTCACCTCACTACCTTTTTACTTGATGCGCTGATATGAGGTGTGGCAACTCGGACCGTTACGCAGTAATGCCTGGTCCTATGTTGATAATGATAATGATGATGATGTATTGCTGATTATTTAACTCAGAAGGTGGTATTATATACTGTGACGATGTGAATTGAAACACATTTCTTATTAACTTTTTCAATCAGTTAGTCAACATTTCATTATTAGTACAACAAGCGAGAAGGCACAAAACGAAATTAGGTAGGAAAATTAAGATTATGGTGCTAAGATGAATCTATACCATCGCAACCTATTCTGAGTTATACTCAGTTACTAATTACAACCAGGAAGTCTACATTTTCCAATACGGTTCAGATCAACAGTCCAAGAATTCATAAACTGTCATATCTTAGTCTAACCACCTCTAACCTTTCTCTTCTCGACAAAGGTTTACAACATCATCAAGTGAAAGATTTCTTTTACCTAAAACTACACAGCTTATATTTATCTAGGCTGCCGACGAGGTGGCGATGAAAAAAATGGTGACAGTAGTCGAACACTTGAAGCCTTTGATATCCCCTACCTTACATGGCTTCAGACTGGTATAGCATCATTATCGATGTACATTGAGAACTATTATTATTTTTATATATCCCTTGGATTCCTAGTGGAACATAGGGCTTCAGTAGCACGTATCCAGTGCACTCTCTTCTCTGAACTCTTTTGAACCTGGCTCCACGACAGCCCATAACCTCTCATTTCTTCCTCATACGATCTCCTCCATATCACCCTCACCTCGGACGCCCAACTCGTCACCTCCCATCTGGGTTCCACTAGAGGGACTGGCCTAGCGCGTGATGTCCCTGGTCGGCCTTCTCAGTGTATGCCCAATCCATCTACACTTCCTTCCAGTGCATATTTGTTCAGCGATAGGTTCTTACTTCGTTGGTTCGTTGCCAGTCAACCAGAGTTCCTTGTTGCTTATTCTTATTATTCTGGCCATCTGATCTTCAGTAACAAGCCAGCGTAGGCAGTTGCTGATGAATGTCTGTAGTCTGTTGGAAATGCGTTTCGTAACGCACCAAGTCTCTGAGCCATACAGAAGCACTGACTTGATGTTGGTGTTGAAAATCCGGATCTTGTTCCACATGCTGAGTGCAGAATATCTCCACACTGCTTTCAGACTTGCTTTTCCGATTCTGACTTTGACATCCTCGTCTGTGCCACCTGTAGTTGCAACAGTGCTTCCTAGATAGGTGAAAGAGGTTACTTCCTTTAAGTTTCTCCCATTCATGGTGATTGGTGTTTGTTGTTGGTTGGGTATCTCACTGAGAATTATAAGTAACATTACTAATTTCATTTATGCACAACTATAATACTAATTACTTCTAAAGGTATGTTGGTGTGTACTTTTTTCCATGATAGGCAGATTACCAGATTCGCTAGACAGCCTAGATATCATGCTTGTTGAAAGGTGCCAGTAGGAGATGTATTCAACATCTAGACAAGTGATGCTAGTTCAAGTTGTTGGAAACTATGACTGCGTGGTTAGCAGACGCTATCATACAGGCATTCGGTTCGTGAATCATTTATGTTCAGTTGTATGAACGATATCACTAAGTGGTATCAGAAGAATGGTCAAGCTTACAATCCATCAGTAATATGCACGTTCAATCCTGTACGTGTATATACTGCTTACTAACAGATTGAGTAGTATGATTATCAACACCTGAAATTCAGTGTAATGTTTCCGAAGGTGTCTGGAATGTTCTTAGTGCCAAAATGAAAATGACAGTCAGGTGAATACTAACTGTGAGACTGTATTAATAATAGAAGAGTAAAAGATGTACGTAGTGCTAAGGTATGTATGAACGCTAAGCTTACTTACTTAATGAGTATGATTTATTTGTTATGATTTGGAAGACTGCTATATGCTATGGCCGCTAACGATGCACAGATATCAACTGTCAGCCACCAACATTCAACAAATTCCTAGTTGATTCCCGACCCGACTAATTAATGGAGAAGACATGAGAGACGTGTAGAAACGTGTATTACTGTCCGAAAGATTGATATAACTTTCTTCCCATCAGTATCACCTTGATAGAACTGTTCAGCTTTTGTTTTACCCTGAGCAACTGGACAGATTGCTTCCAAATCATAACATTATTGGATAAAGTGTTGAACAAAATTTATTATCCATTTTCATATCAAGATAACATCATAATTATCGTATACATTACGGGTTGATTTAATAAAGAAGGATTCAGATTGAAACAGTAATAACAACTACTACTGAATTTCTGAGCAAGTAATATATCTGTCCATTTATGTCCGAAACATTGTCCAGTAGATAATACTATTTTGAAGAGCGATTAACTTCATGTTGTCTAGTCCTGAATGCTTACTGAATCCTGTTGATCATTTTGCAATTCGGCAACCAAGCTAGGCGACTTAGCATGGCAATGCACTTTGGTGGAAGGCAATAAGCAGGGAGCGGTTGTAAACGCTCATCAAGAAAGCATATCTGCAACCTCCAGGGAAGTGACATCCCTCTGAAATTCAAACCCGTATCATCCACTGTTGTAGTCAGTAACGTTATCATCACTGATCTATTTAAGTCACAACTGATTCTCTGTAGGACTGAGTTAGATATAATGAATGGTCACTGGAGGGTAACAAATTCCATATTGTCTAGTTTCTGAGTACTGATCAATTTCTACCAAACAGTTCGCAATTTCGTCACAAAGGGGGGGGGGGGAGGAAGCTCATCATCGTGCAAATATATTGCTAACAGTAAAGTACTTGGGTTTTATGCTGCAATAATAAGAATCAATGATAATATGCAGTTTCGTAAGCAAAGCTATAAACTTCACATATTGTATGAAGATGAACGGAAGTGGTGGAAGACATCGGATGACAGTTATACCGTGTCACGAATCGATTGAAGCTAGAAAATATAGAGCATTGGGAACACATTTAACGGCTAAATGAAAACATGCTTGCTGGAATTGCCGGAGGGGACATAGAATCAATCCAATCACTGATTCCTATTGTCTCGAGGATTCTAACCAGGTAGCCTACACTTCCCTGAATGGTTGGTACCAACAGTAAGAGACTTCATCAACTGGTATCATGTATTAGTCTGGTCATCTTGGAATCCCTTCCAACCTAATCCAACATCACCTAGCATAGCATATGGAAGTAGGTGGTGGCTTGCCCGGCATACGTAGTACATGTTCAAGCCATCTCAGTCTATGAAGATTCACAACTTCATCAATCTACTAACGTGTCTTGCCTAATACCCTTCGTCTAATCCCAATATTGGTTACACGAAGATCCCACCAAACACGAGCAATGCTACGAAGACATCTGTGATCAAAACTATGGAATAGCTTCAGGACTTCTACTTTTAACGGCAACAGCTCACAACCAAATAACGAGAGAGAAACAAACTGAAGTGCAGCATAGTCTTCATTTAATAAGTTGTCGGATGTCTCGCCAGTCGGTGTCACAGATCATGCAAGTTGGCAAATGCCGAACAGGTCTTTTGTGTCCAAGCTTTGGTCAGGAACCATTCCTTTCGGGTTGGTGCAACTTCATAAGTAGGTGAAGTGGTCAACAGACTTCACCGCTTTGCTTCCGACCATCAAACAGGGAGTGGTCGCAGACCAGTCCTGGAGTATCGTCTTACATTTGACCCGTGCCAGTGAAACGTATGCTTAGATTTCTGCTCAACGAGTCCAGAATAATCTGCATTGGGTTAGCGTCTTCACCTAGCATGACACAATATATAGTCTGCATACTCCAAGTCAACCAAATAACCTCCAGGGAGTGAAGTTAGGTATACCTAAGCTTATGTCCATTAGTGCATCTATAATGAAGTTAAATGAAAACAGTGACAGCAGGCATCCCTCACCAAACTACGAGATATTGTGTATTTACATGACAACTCCCCCACAAACTAACCCTTACACAGCTGCGTGAGTTCGAGCAGAGCGCTTTGATAAGCATTAAACACGTGCTCGGTACTCCCTTCAAAATTAGACACTGCCACAACACCTCACGGTCTACAGAGTCAAATGTCGCTTTCAGGTCAATAAAAATGGCAAGTGTCGGGCATTTGCCCGTAGGTATGCCTGTGTTACAGAACCCTTCGGAGGGTGAAAATATGATCGATGCACCCTCGACCAGGTCTGAAACCCGCCCGATATTCCCGAGTTTGCTGTTCTTGAGCTCCAGTTAGGTGTCGGATAATTATGAAGCCTAGGATCTTGGACACAATATTAGTCAAACTAATTCTCCTATGGTTATCACACGAAGATTTCTCCCCCTTCTTATAGACTGAGATGGCCAGAGAAGTAGACCAGTCTGACAGCACTAACTCTGATTTCCATACACTACCTAGTACCTCCGTCACTCTAATTAGCAATTTCCTACTTCCATCCTCGAAAACTTCAGGTTTCAAACTGTCAGGTCCTGTTGCTCTCACTCTTCGTGGTGGTTAGAGTCAGCTGGAAGCAGTCTTTTCCTGTCACTCTGGTCAGTTGCAGAAATCCAATGATGTTTGCAATCCTTCGGGTGTAAGTTATTAACGGTTTCTACAGCAAACTTTTAATACCACGTCAAGTTTCTTCAGGATGAGTACTGGTATCATGTTCAGATAAATGCTTAGCTAACTCCTCCCTAAGTACGTACTTGGCGTCCTCATCTACCAATCAACCACAGACGGCCTCATGACCTCCTTTTTCATGCGACTAGTAAGGTGTAGACATACACGAGCTCGTACTAACGAGTAATTGGAGTTCAGAAAGGGCAGCAATTCGCCTTCGATCCTTTCCAATGATGGTTATAGCAATGTGATCTATCTGTGTACATCATTAGCTTGAAGTCGGTGGACACCATGTGAGATAGTGAAACGTTCAAGAACAAACCTCAAAGCCCGAAGAACAACAAGCAATCATCAGAGTGATTTCATTTGGCAGACGTCTATCACTGCTATTACTATTGACATGTGATATAAATGAAAGGAAAACTTTTCGATAGTTACGAAAATAAAATCATTGTGAATAACAATCATCGGATAGGATAAATAATAATAGAATAGAACTTACTAAATCGGTAGTAATGAGAATACGACACTGGAATAAACGCAATTTATTGAATGTACGAAATCGTTGTTGTTGTTCTAAACTACTCGATATATAACAAACGGGCCAACCACGTGAACATAATGCACTGCATAGATCTTGAGCACTAAACCAAAGAAATTACTAAACGATAATATAAGCTTCTCATACAGACATAGACAGACAGACAGATAAAAGTGCATCAGTATAATTTGATACACTTCGCAGCATTACACAAAGTGGAGATGAATACATAAATAGGTGATGAAACGCTTAAAATTCCCAAGATGATAGAGTACATATAAAATTTGACCAATCTTAAGCCATATTATAAAGAATCTTCAACCACTGGTTCTTATAATCCTCAGATCTCTAGCCATATAGAAACTATCCTTCCCCACATAACTCAGATCAACAAAGGCTGTGGCTGAATGGTAACATGCTGGCCACGGGACCTGAAGGTCGCGGGTTCGATCCCTGACAGAGTCGTGGGTGTGCACTGCTGAGGAGTTCCATACCAGGACAAAACAGCTGTCCAGTGCTCCCAGGTTTTCTTCGTTCCTCCAACTGGTGTCAGTCTACTATGAATACCAGATTGAAATCTCTCTAAATCCCCACAACCCCCCAAATCCAATTAGTCTAGTGCTCACTGGTGACTAGCTTCGAGAGGTGATTCTCTAAGTTGCAGTGAGTTGTGACCAGCGGGACAAACCTGGTGGCCGGGAGGAAAAATACTCAATGATGACATTGGGTGATCGTCACGCTATGTCATGAACTGACAGAAGTTGGAAATATGGACCAATGGATTCAGGCTCAGTGGCTCAATGGTAACGTGCTGGCCACGGAACCTGAAGGTCGCGGGTGCGCACTGTTGAGGGGTCCCATACTAGAACGAACCATCAGTAAAGTGATCCTAGGTTTCCAATATTCCTCCAACTGATGTCAGTCTACGATGAATACTAGCTTGAAATATCTCTAAATCCCAACAACCCTCCAAATTCAAAGACTGAATTGTCTTGATCTAGTTATTATCTTTAGCACTTTTCAAAAACCTAAACCTGTTGTAAGATACATTTATTGTGTGAGAGGTTTATCATACAATTCAGTTGTCCAGGTTGAATAAAATAAGTCTAATGACAGTTCAATCAAAGGATCCGTTGTTTCAAAGTTGACTTGGTTAAGTTCATGAGTTACATCTCCATAAATAGCAAACACTAAAAATTAGCACTTGATTACTGTGTATTGATCGTGAAAGAAAAGGGATTTTTATAAAAAAATACAATATATAGATCAATTCAAACCTGGAATATGATAACTAATGCATTTTGGAATTGACTAAAATCTACTGAAATTAGGTGAAGGGTATTATTAAGTAAGACAGGTAAGTCGATTAATGAGGTATTGAACCTTCAGCAATTGAGATGACATGGATATGTACTGAGCATACCAGGTGAGCTACCATATCTCTATCTCAACGTGTCATGTTAAAGGAAATTGGATTAGGTTGGTAAAGTGTTTAGTATGGTCAGACAAAGACCTGGTGTACTAATCAATGAAGTTTCTTCTCATCAAGCACTGAGAAAGTATTGTTCAGCAGAATTAGGTCAACTCATAATATGAAATAATCATTCTTCAATATAACAAGGTGTTAATGTATGTTCACATTCGTCAGGTCATAATATAATCTCACAGAAATACTAAAGTACTTAAAATTGCTAAGACAAAATTACATTTAAAAGCAAACAACAACAACAAAATGAACAACAATATTATCTTCTTACTTGTTATGAAAATTTGAAAAAATTAAACATTGCTGGAATTCAATAGCACTGAGTAGTTTGCACAGAAATTTTATTTTCGCTTCAAATACTGAGGTTGGAGAACGTGTAGCCGGTTGTATAAGGTAGAAGAATTGACGAACACCTATTGATACAACCATGTTGTTTTTTTATTTATTTTAAAGTTAACGCGATATATTACTATTGGGTAATACAAATTATAATTTAAGTAATATTTAAAGCTTATAGCCCCCCCCCCCCAATAAAGAATGATTAATTTGGACATTTATTATACATGTGGGTCACTTCTATTTCAACTGCTTAAATATTATGATATCAATAAGAGTTTCAATTTGAAAACTAATTAGATGAAATGAAAAAAAGAATAAGATATGACCAGTAAAAGAAAATTGTCATGAACTCAATGCAACCAAGACTATCTCCACCTGAGTTACAAATATTCTACACTATTTCAAAAGTACACTTCATACTGAAGTTAGTGCTGATGATGTCGTCTAGAAAGACGATGAAAGCTTCACGATTAAACAACCCAGCTCAGAGAACACAATACAACCAAGACTATCCCCACCTGGGTTACAGATATTCTCCACAACTCAATAAAATGTTTGCCAATTAGTTAAATTCGGTTGATTTAAATAAGAATTCGATAAATATGAGCTAAATAAATTTGCTTGGGTTGGTCCATTGACGAACTTGACAAATAGTAAACGAGTAAAATATCCATAGAATGTTTTGTTAGCGAAATTTGCAGATCAATATCAATTCTGGATTTTTATTGTCCCCCCAGTGATTTATACAAAAGTTGATAAATTTTAATGTTCATTCAATTAGGCATATTCGTTCCCAAATAAGTTTGAAATTTCAAAGTATACTGAAGGTATTTCTGTTTAGTGCGTGCTACTGATATGAATGGGTTTTGCATCATAATATTGTTTCCAATCTAGACAAAGGTGTTAAATATGTTCGTTGTGTCTTCTTGGATTACTCATCAGCCTTTGACTCTGTTCCTAGACCACTCTTGTTAAATAAGCTTGCCACTGCTCATACTGAGCCATGGGGTTGTATTCTTATTCTTCTTAAAGGAAACAGTATACTTTCTATCAAGGGAAGTGCTCGACTTCATTGCTTACAGAGGCTGGTATGCCTCAAGGTGATGTACTTTCTCCCTTTCTGTTTTCGTTCTTTCTGCACAATTTACCTTATTCTGGTGAAACTAATTTTATTCAGTATGCTGATGAACTGACGGTGTCTATTCCAGTTAACTCTCACTTAGATTGCTCTAAATTAAATAGATTATTGTCTGTAGTTGATCAATGGTCTCAAGTTAAACCCTTCTAAGTGTGAGACTGTTAATTTTAGCCTCAGGCGAAGTAAACAAGACTTGTGTGAGCTGCTTAAGTCCGATGACGTCTATTGGATTGATGTTAGTTCTGCAGAAAGCAAGTCAAGTGTCAACTATCTTGGATTGAGATTTAATTCTGATCTTTATTGGTCGTCTCATATCTTGTTGACTTCCAAGAAAATCATTCGTTTAACGCATTATATAAAGAAACTGAGGCTCTGTGTTATAACTCAACCTCTTCTTTTACAATGTATTAATTCCTACATTTTACCTATTCTTTTATATTGTTCCCCATTGATTGATCTTTACTGGTCTCCTAAAAAAGACAACGTTATTTTGCATAGGGCTTTGAAAGCCGTCAGTAGGGTGAGTGGTATACCTCTGGTTCAGCTGATTAACACTGTAGTTGACAGACATTTAAATTCCAACAAGCAACTAGCTACAATAATCTTAACTGACACTGAAAAACCACTTCATTCACAGCCCTTTCCTTCATCTCCTGTCAGGGAGGAAAAGAAGAAACTAAATAAGACTGTACGCTTGTACACCCAAGTATAAGAATTTGACTGTACCTTACCTAGCACGCACATTATGTGAGGAGAAGCGAGTTAGAACAGAAATCATATATCAACTTTGTAACAGTTAAAAATCTCTATTCAATAATTTAACTAGTTATGTAAAATTGTCTCGTTATCAATATTCTTGACGTTACTTAAATTTTGAGGGAGTTGTGGAGATTTGGAAATATTTCAAGTTGTTATTCATCGTAGACTGACATCAGTTGGAGGAACAAAGGAAACTTGAGAGCACTGGACAGCTGTTTCGTCCTAGTATGGGACTCCTCAGCAGTGCGCTCCCATGACCCTGCCAGGGATCGAACCCGCAATTCGAAATGTTGTAAAGGAGGATAATGTATGCGCATGTATTTTGTTGTTGTTGCAATGTACCTTGCTGAGAATTCTAAATTGTACTACAAATTGTTCGGAATAAAGTGAATTATTATTATCGTATAAGTAGAATATGTTGAGAGGTTGGGAGAAATCAGGCAATTATCAGAGATGGGTAAATATTCTGCCCAGAGGAATACAAGAGATAATCTGAGTGTATTAAGAACAAATGGAGATAGAAACAGAAGAGGAAATGAAACACATTGTGCAAATAACTATTTTAATGCAAGGTGTACAATATCTCATCATCTCATAATGTACATTCCGTCCTGCGTCTCAGCCCTTTCTTACATCTGTAGTTGTTTCCTACCGGTAGTTGCTTAGCTCAAATAAAAAATAGGTCATCGCTCATATCAATTCACGTGAATAAAGTATTCAAATGAATTCAACTTTTTTATTGTAAAGATCTTGGACAGAGGAAACACAAAGAATGTCAAGGAATTCTTGGAAGCTTGGCATTCAAGTCAGTCAGAAATCAACTACAACTTTATAAGGTCAGAGGTCAGGCAGAGAAACAGCCAACAATCAATGACAAAACAATCAATCATAAACCACTTGAAGACAAGTTTTTAAATCCTCCACAGAGAAATAATGTTGATGTCAAGATAGACGATGAAAGCTTCATGATTAATTAAACCAACTTAGAGAAGAGGAACACAACCAAAGATCCTTCATGTGAGCTATAAATATTCACCACCATTTCAAAATGAGCATACAGTTTGACATTAGGTAATTACGCTAGCTATATATGAATATCTCTACTTGATATTGCTCACTTTTAAGTGTTTGAAAATTGAGAAACTCTTTATAATATTAACTAGGTGCATGTTTGCATCAATTCTATGATGATGTGAAACCGATATCGATCGCCTGGAATATCTTTGAACATCTCATCAATTAGACTATTAGGTTAGGATAGTTATCAATTTTAAAACAGATGTCAGTTATTACTATTCATTGATATACTTGAAATTCTCCGTTTGTTTTATTAGATCAAATTGTTCAACCTTTATTGGCATATGGGTTCCTGTCCGGATGCCTCAATATTACGTGAATATTAATTATGGCAATTTAGTTTCGTTGTGGGTGGCAGAATAATCTAAGGTGCGCGTTTCGCCCTATTTCCGACTCGTCAGCCGGCTGTGCCTGCACCATAGAGAGTGATGTTGTTCCCACTGAGACTCGAGCTTCGTACCAAGCAAATTACTATAATTAACATTGTGGCAATACCGAGGCATCCACATAGGAACCCATATACCAATAGGGGTCGAACAATTCATTGCAATAAGACAACGGACAGTTACAAGTTTATCAATGAATAGTAATAACTAATACCTGTTGTAAAAGAAGTGGCTATCGTTCCTCCGTGTCATAGGAGATAACACCTTGGCGTTTGAAGCGATGGGTACGAGGCTCAAGTCTCAGTGGGAACAACATCACTCCGCATTGGAGTGCAGGTGCATCCAGCTGACGAGTCCGAAATAAGACGGGACGCACATCTTGGGTTCTTCTGTTAGCCACAACCAAGCAAGATATCAGTTGTGTCTTAGCGCATATGAATTTCCTTCCAAGAAATTTGCGACCAAATTGATTCTCCAACAATAAAACAAAAAGCTCAAGTTACGCATAAAACCCGAAACAGAATTTGTTTGAAATACAGTTCTTTATGAATAAACATTAGTGAATAATGGACTACAAACCTCGAATCTTCAGTTATGTGTAGGTTTATCAATGTCAAAGTACCCTACGCATTCCCATTTATTGATATGGGGATAGAGAGAAATGACCAGTCGCGAGAGAGGGACCAATCAAAATGTACTTTATGTTATTACGTCTACAGTAAGAAAGACAGGCAGACAGACGGATCGGCCGACTAATAAGATTATTTTAAACAGCGAACTGTCTCCTTTGTTTTGACCCTTTTGGTCTTTCGACTCCAATACACGTTTTCACACGTCCATCGTGTCTTCTCCGCTAATTAGTCAGGTCGGGAATCATCTAGGAATTTGTTGAATGTTGGTGGCTGACACTCGATATCCGTGCATCGTTAGCGGCCACAGCACATAGCAATTTTCTGAATCATAACAGTGGCGATGGAAATGGGATATTGAGAAGCAGACTCTTCGGTGTTGAACAATTGCCTCGAACAACAAATGATTATCGACATACCTATGTAAATCCAAAGCTTCTGGTGCTGAATCTTCACCTAAAACACCAGTTTTAATAACTCCTTCAGTTGATTGAATTGCCAATAGCATCATTTAATTTCACTGCGATCCTCATGCCAATGAGACTTTTGATAGTTGGTTTAGGTGTAACGAAGACTACTTCAAAGTAGAATTTACTAGCCAAGATGATTCCTGGAAGGCACGTCTACTTGGACCTACTCCACTTGAGCTAGACCAATACTTCAACATGATTTCGCCTCAGAACCCACTTGCTCACACTTTAGATGCCACAGTTCAGACACTGAATGATATATCTGCAGAATATCAAGGACTGGGTAACCTGCAGTATGATACGAGTTTAGCCCAATCCGGAAGCCAGGGTGGTTCTGAAGTACATGCAGTTCGCCAGACATCTCACTCCTCCACATCATCCTCTGGTCACACATACCCGTGGCCTTATCTCACCTGTTTCATCGGTCAAGTAACTCATGCAATACCAACCAGCTCTCAAAGCAGACACCCCCATCAACTTGTTGGCAATGTGGTGTCTGGCGATTTGTCAAATCTTGCCCACCTAAACAGCGTCGATGATGGGACTGTAATGCTGCGGGCCATAAGGACGGTTTTGTCGCCAACACACACAACGACATGTATAAAGGTCATCCTCCATATTTCACCGCAGATTTCATTCTCGTTCGGTAGATAAATCTATTGGCTTGTTAACCGATTTTCGTGCCCATTCACCTGCCCACCGAAAGAATATCGAGGAGACTATTGATTCCCCAGTCAACAAGGAGACACTCCTTCTGCGTCGGTCAGATAGATGTAACAAAAAGACAGTGCGGCGCAGTCTGACCCCAAATAACATTCTTCCGAAGAGGGGGGTCATATATATATATATATATATATATATATATATATATATATAATAGCCTTGACTATTTATAGGCCTTTCTAGAATAGCGGGATGTCCTAATTCTTTTTGCCTTTTCAATCAATGTGATACCTAAACGCATGATCACACGCTTTTTCTCGAAATTTGGAGGCAAAATGATTGGTTATGAATGGCTTCAGATATAAAGTTTCCAATCATCAATTTCGGTGTTGACATACAATTTTCCAGGAACTTAATAATTTCAGTTAAGAATCTCGAAGGTTGATTGATATCTTTTGAAAAAGAGGTGTGTTTTGCGTGAAATACTCAAATGAGGCGCAATTTTTCTATCAGTTGCACATTTTTAAGATGATACACAAGTAATACAAAAGTTTAATAGTTAGCTGTAAGCAAGAGACCCACAAAACCAACGAAGAACATTGCATACAAGTCGATCGGTTCAAATTGTCAGACTTCACCCAGTAGTATACAATGAACAAGTTGATAGAAAAAGAGTGATACTAAAGTACACGAAGGTGAAATCTGAAAGTCAAAGTTCATGGAAATGTTCAAACTTTAGAAGACATCAAAGAGTTAATACATCTCAGATGTTGTGACCAATTTTCAGCCATGTCATTGAAAATCCTCAACCAGCCAGGTAAACTACACTTTCCTATAAGAATCAAATTCACAGTTAGGGACTTCATGAACAGGTGGTACGTTTTGGTGTAGCTACCCTCAACTCTATTCCAACGTAATCCAACTACAACTGGCAAGGCACGCCAAGTTAGGCGGTGGCTTAGCATAGTGGCACATTGTAGACGCCTAACTATACGGTTGTGAGACATGGTTGTTAAAAGAAGTGATTACAGGATCTTTGTAGTATTGCTTGTGTTTGCTGGAATCACCGCGTGAGTTATGTTGAGGTCAGGAGAAGAGTATTAAGCAAGAAAGGCTAGTCAATTGATGAGGTTGTGAAGCTTAGTCGACTGAGATGGCTTGGACGTGTACTGCGTATGCTAAGCGAGCCACCACCTACTTCGAAGTTGGATTAGGTTAGAAGAGGATTCAGGGCGGCTAGAACAAGATGTGGCATCAGTCGATAAAGTCCTTGACTTGGAGCAATGCACTTCTATAGAAGGTTCTACGTTAATTCTATCGATGTCTGCTTGTCTGCAGTATATTTATCTATACAAAGTGTAACATTCATATTAATAATTATCCAAGGGTAAGACTACTAGACAATTTGTTACCCTATTTTATTCAAATGTAACAACATATATATATATATATATATATATATATATATATATATATATATATATATGAAGTTTATAACTAACCAATTAAAGCTGGATCATTGACTGCTAAACGTATAATCGCTGGACTATTCATATAACGTGGTAGATGTTCATTCACTAGATAATCTGTATAGGTAGCTGATAAAGCTAATACTTGTTTGCCTTTTGGTAAACTCCACCAGATATAATTAATATCAGCCGGAAAAGCATTATTAGCACTGCCACCAGTTAATTTGACATCAGCTCCACCAGATAACAATAAATCAGCTTCATCCAATATCAACTGCCTTATATATTCTGTGGATAGATAACCAGATTCTAGTAAATAACGTATACGACCAGGTGTACCGACAACAATATGGCAATTGGAAAGATGACATAAATCATCAGCTAAAGGTAAACCTAAATAAAATGTATATAAATATAACAAGATTAAAAAAAAAATTAAAAATTAACTTATAGATGGAGAGTAAAATTCAAAGGATTCTGGTGTTCAAAGCGGTCGGTCCCTGGTTCGAGTCTTGGTGGGAACAATGTCACTCACTGGGATGCACGTACATAAGGCTGGGGAGTATCAAATAGGATGAAACGCGTATCCTGGATTCCCTATCATCAAAGGATTCTCTTTACCCTTTAAAGAAAATTTTCAAGTTGGTATTCGTCATGGATTGATATTAGTTGAAGGGAGATTGGAAACCTGTTTCATCCCACTAGTATAGGACTCTTCAGCAGTGCACAACCACGACCCCACCAGTAACCGAATCCATGGCACTCAGGTTCCATGGCCAGCACGTTATCATTGAGCTATATTTAGAGAAATGATAATTATTTTGATGGTCTTGTCTTTTCTGAGCTGAATGATTCAATCGTGTAGTATTGATTCTACAACGAGGCCTCTTTATGAAGTTTGTATCTAGAATGATAATGAAATCCAGCTTAAAGAGAACACAACACCATAACAAATATTCCTTATCATCTCACGTAGGATAATTGTGCTAAGCTGAATCAAACCAATCAGACAGTAAATGAGTATTCATCTGATTGTTAGAAGTGGGGTAATATGTTCCTCGAACTTCATTTATTCACCTAATTGATTAGATATTTATGTATAGTTATTGTAACCTACAATTGACTTTAGGCCAGATCAAAAGCCACATACCAGATTGAACTAGTAAAGTATAACAATAATTCACGGTGGGATGAGATTTCACTTTCTTGCATTCAATAGTAATGATTAGTAGTAGTATTCTAAGGTTCAAGAAGTAAGGAAATGAGAGTGTTAATAGCTATTTGTATTCAAGTGAATATGCCAATGGTCAAGAGATCTAGGATGCAAGACTTAAGGGTATTCTGATAGAACTGTGACTCGCTGGTTGACCTCAAATAAATGGGTCACGGGTCCGAACCCCGCTCCATCTATCAACGCTTACGTATTGCTCATCGCCTACTACACGAATGTACACAGTTACACAGTGCATACATAGTGTTGATAAAATCTTCAGGTCAAAAAAAGTGATTTTAAATCGTACAACTGACTGTAAGCTAGCTAAATGTTCTAGAAAAAGGAAACAAATCGTTAGCTGAAGAGTTTTAAGAGTATTGTTGTCTTCAAATCACTGTGCTTCGTTAAACATTAATTTTTTCACACTATAAGATAGTTGATTTTATAGACTGACATCAGTTAGAGAAAAATTCAATATTTGAGAGTAGTAGACCACTGTTTCGTCTCATTTTAGGACTCATCAGTAATGTACACCTATAACCCTATTAAAAATTGACTTCACAATCATCAGGTCAATGGATGAGTTAACCATGATCCACTTTTCCTATCTCTATCAATTAAAAATACACTATGACCATCATTCTACTGTTATCGGTGAGCATCCACCTCATTTCTGACTTGATTGACTATTAGAAGTTCAAGGAATCTATTTCATTTTTTAGAAATCACTTCCTTATTTTATTTTACGGTGACTAGCAGTGAAATCCAAGACGCGCGTTTCGTCCTGGTTAGAACTTATCAACTAGATATACTTGTACTCCAGTGCCTATCGCTTCAAACACCAATACAATATCCACCAAGCTATTGAGTCACGAGAGCGACCACCTCTTGCACAACTAGTATCAGTTGTTATTGATTGATACTCTTAATTTCAAGTTATCTGCTGGATTGAGCCATCTGTCAACAGAGGTCAAGCCATTCAGTTTGTTTTAGTTACCGTCTGACAACCCTAACCGGAAGTCCAATCCAACATTTTATGAACAATACCACGAGAAGTATTCAGATATGAAACGATTAACACACACATGTATTATGTGTATATGCCTATATATGTATATGACGGTGTTTCGGCTTTCTCTAAGCTTCGATTTTTTGTTGTAAATGTTTCGTCACCAAGTTCTTTAATCTTTAGTTCAGAGCTGTGGTTTATTGGTTTACGGGAACGACTGTTAACTAGTGGATCACGGGTTCAAACACCACTCCATCTACTAAGATCTGAAGAGACAGGGAGGATCATTAACCTTCACAGGATAGACATGACTCATTGAAAACTGCACGAATGTGCATAAGGTAACTAAACACGTTTCGATTCAAGTTATAATCCATTTAGGAAGACTTCAATTCTTCGTGAAGTTAATGCTAAGAATGTCAGCAGCAATCTTGGTGATGAAATATTTACGGTTAAATGTCAAAGTTTAGAGAACACTGAACTAGTATCATGGGGCTCATTCTGAGTTAAAAATCTTTCCCATCATTTCCATAGATAAAATATCAACTTACCACCAACGAATAGATGACATTTTAAACCAGGTATATGACAACCTAATCGTTCAATAACCATTTGTGATTGAAAAGCAATTTCACGTGTAGGTGATAATACAAGTGCTTGAATAGCTGATTGTTTCACGTTAATTGCCTCCAAAATGACAACAGCAAATACAACAGTTTTTCCTGTACCAGATTTAGCCTATTGACAATAAAAGGATAATACATGGATAGATATTTGAAAGACAGAGGCCTACTATGATAATGTTGTCTAGCAGAATAACATGAACTTCAGAGAGTCATTCATCTTCGACAGAAATCATTCCCACTCGTCATAGTCTAGCCTTGAATGCTATTAATATAGAAATCTGCATCACTAATTTCTCTAGTTTGTGTTCCCAACTGATGGTTGCTACCTTGATATGGTGGTCGAGTTTGCATATCACAGCGACCCAAAGAGGTAAGTTGGTAGAACGCTTATTCCTTTGAGGTTCTATCATACCAGAAAGGTCTGTTGGATAGTGGTAAGATGAAGAGCAGTTACCGTTGTAGTGTAAATAACTACACTGTGATGGAGGTCCGAGGGTGAAATCGCATTATTGGCCGAAAAGGATATGAAAACAGCAACATGTTTCCCTTAGATGATCAGCAGTACTACATTGATGTTACCTTCCCTATGGGAAGGAGGGCGGTTAGAAAAGGTTGACCCCAACAATAGCACACTCCTGCAACGGTTTTAACCTGATATCCTCTATCTACGAGGTGTTTGGGGATTGTATTGGTTAGGACTTAACTTCCTTTCAAGTACAGATTCTTGGGAATATGTTCAACCAACCGAATGGACACCCTCTTCTCAGTTCTTATAATGTGCTTGCTACCACAAGTGCTTGTGAATTCATAGATACAGTTAAGGGTGACATGAGCAGGTTAGTTATCCAGTTTTGACTGGATCGGCTAGCATGCGGCATTATAGACTGACACCAGTTTACCTGCAGGAAAGCTACATCTCAGTGCTTCTTGGATTCTTGTGTCTACTCTCTTGGATATTGCATCAACCTTGAATCTAAGTTGAATAAGAAACGTTCTTCTATGTTTCAACAATTGAGGGCTTATTTCTCTCCATCTGTTCATTTCCATATATCACAATAAATCTCTTATGATATCCATTCTCTCGGAGATACTTCGCAAACAAGTTTAGTTACAGTTTTTAACTTGTTTGCAGAACATAATATCCTAGCCTTGCTGTAAACTGGTTTGACTAATCCAAACTAGAAGCTGACAGGACAGAAACTGTTAAAGTTAAGGTATTGTCCGGTTCATGTGTCTTTTCTATGGATGGTTTTTTCAGGTATACCGTAAATTCTTCTTATGTTCAGGTCAAAAAAGCCGAACTCATTGTCATATTCATGACACCTTCAACTGTATTCATGAATTCACAAGCACTTATGGTAGCAAGTACATTGTAAGGACGGTGATAAGGATGTCCATTCAGTTCGTTAAGCATTTTCTTCAAGAAACTGTGATTGAAAGGAAGTAAAATATTAGCCAGTGCAATACCCCGAACACCTCTTAGACACAACAGATCAAGTAAAAACTTCGAGTACTTTTAAAATAATTACATACAATGGTATCACATACTATTCTGCAAAATCCATCTTTCTTGCTTTATCCAAATTTATCGAGGAATTTAAAGGCATACAACTAAAAACTTATAATTTTTTTCAGCTATCAGTTCATACTGAACAGTAAGTAGTATACGATGTAACAATGGAAAAATATAAACACTAACAATAATAAAAATAATATTACTATTTATTGATATACTTGTTATTCTCCATTGTTTTATTGGATCGAATTGTCCGATCTCTATTGACGTATGGGTTCCTCGATATTGCCTGGATGGTAATTATGTCAATTTGTTTGGTTATGGCTAGCAGAAGAATCCAGGTTGTGCGTTTCGTCCTATTTGGGACTCGTCACCTGGATGTACCTGGACCCTTGTGCGGAGTGATATTGTTCCCACTGAGACTGAAACCTCAAACATCTATACGTTATCCATTATGCCAAGGAGGCACGATAGCCACCTCTTGTACAACGAAGATAGTTGATAACGCCTTGGCGTTTGAAGCGATAAATGCGAGTTTCGGGTCTAAGTGCGAACAACACTCGCCAGAGTGTAGGTACATCCGGCTGACGAGTCCCAAATGGAATGAAACGCAGGTTCTATGTTCCTCTGCTAGCCACAACCAAATAAATAACAATAACTTTTAAAATTTATTTATACGTTTAAATAAATATGATTACCAGAGGGTGACCAATACCCAGAATTGATTAAAATCCTTATCTGAAGAAACGTACCTCAACGGGGTGCTCTATATTTCGTGTTAGACAACTGTCAGTTGGTTACTATGGGAGTCAAAACTTTTTTGTATAGCGCTATTCATTTCATTCGATGAATGAAATATATTTGACTTTTGCTGATGTCTTGAAAAAGGAAATTTAAAAGATATCTCTTAAAAAAGATGTTTAAACTTATCCGTTCCACAATAAGAAAAAAGAACAGCTAGAGAAAGTCTCAATGAAATGGACACATCATCGATAAACCTACAGATAAGCTAATTGATATCGTTGTAATATTGCTCACGTTTGATGAAATCACCAAGTGAATAAAGTTGAGGTCAGGCGAAATGTACTAGGCAAGACAGTTAAGTCGATTCATAAGGCTGTGAAAATTCATACAGGCGTAAAACTTGAACATTCTGATAGAATATAATTCCATATTAGATTTGTTGGTTTGATTTATAACACAAAGTGATCTAGTATTATTTACGTGATGACAACGTTTCAAGCATAAATTATTCTTCATAATCATATCAATGTAATCATACTACTTTCAACATCTGACATTTATAGTCCTACCACCACTTCGTATTCTTTGCTTTCATTGACAGTAAAGTTTTCCATATCTGTGGTATGGGTAGGTGTTACATCATTCCTCTTAAATGTGCTGGCTGGGTGTTGGTTTGATGAACGAACAAAGATTCAGTAATCAATCCACGTCTCTCTCCACTTAATTATATTGTTGCACCTAAGTAGAGTGGTTTTATCTCATCCATTCTATTGTGTGGTTGCAATAGCTGAGTCTCCTTCTAGATTATTATTCTTATTCGGGTCTATCATTCTATATTTAGCTAAACTAACACACCGACTGGCTAGTTTGATCTATGTACTTAACCTCACAGTCATCACATGGAATTCGATAGATTAGATTATTTTCTTCAATTGGTTCTATCGGATGCCTAAGCCATCCAACAAAACTTATCTCTGAGTGAGTTTGTGGGTTTAAATGACACCCCAACTAATTCCAGGTTAATTAGGGATCCTACATAAAGTTTCTGATGTACCTTCCTTATAGGGATAGGGTAACACAATGGAGGCTGTGAACTACTTCCCACTCGTGTTGTCGTTATTATTCGTAATCGTGTTACTGTTATTATCTCGCTTCTTATGTGTTCGTACGAATTTCCAAATAAACTGTAGAGGATAGCTGTTGATTAAGGGTGCTTCTTTTGTGTCCTTCAGCTCCTTGTTTAGGTCCTTGTACTGACTCGTGAGTTTTCTAGCTCTATCACTTAAACATTTGACTGAGCCCATCTTAACTGACACTGGATGGGATGATTTGAAGTCTAGAAGCCTGTTAGAATGTGCTGATTTTCTGTAGACTCTACCACCCACCTCGTATTCTTTGCTTTCACTAGCAGTAAAATTTTCCGTATCTCTGGTATAGGTATTGCGTCATCCCTGTTACATGTGTTGGCTGGGTGTTGATTCTATTAACAAAGATTCAGTAATCAATCTCTCTCTCTCTCTCTTTCCACCTTATTATATTAGACAAATGAGATTATTTCAACAATATTGACGAATATATCCAAACAGGAGCATATGAAGAGACCAAGAAGCCTTTGGATACGATCATGAGTAAAATTAAGAAATCTGCAGCCAATATGATAGGCCGAATAAAGCCATCTCTAGGTGAGTCTAAATGGTTTAATTTAATGCCCAAAACTTATAATCCTAGCAGAATTTATGCCACTATAAGGTTCATAAACCAGGTTATCCGATTAGACTCATAGTTGACTTCAGAAATACCCCAAAATTTGAACTGTCAACGTACCTAGCATATTTTATCCCATTAGAAACCGTTCAAATTCCAAGCTAGTAAACTCTTACGAGTTAAAACTTAGGCTGAATGACCTACACATAGAAGAGGATGAAAAAATGGTTAGCTTCGATGTAACAAGTCTTTATACTAAAATACCAATCAGTATGGCACTCGAGGCAGTCAGAAATCAACTAAATATTGACTCAGAACTTACCTGTATGATTAAGATATTGGTTGACGTACAGTCGTGCTTGACCTACACACTTCAAGTTTCAAGACGAAATATATATATAGAGAAATGGAAGGAGTGGTATGAGATCGCCGATATCTGTAATCGCAGAAGATAAATTTATGAACAGTTGGGAAAACATGGCTTTACGTACGTGTAATCCTACACCTAGGATATAGCAGCGATATATGCTGAAATCGGGACATATCGACAGTTTCCTAACACATACAGACTCAGTTAAGGACGCAATCAAATTCACTTACGTTGAGATACAAAATGAACAAGCAGAACTGTCTATGTTGGATTGCTGGATAAAACGAAGGATAGATGTTGGTTTGGATACTATCGTCTACAGGGAACCGACACATTTCAACAGGTTTCTAGACTTCAAATCATCCCATCCAGTGTCAGTTAAGATGGGCTCAGTCAAATGTTTAAGTGATAGAGCTAGAAAACTCACGAGTCAGTACAAGGACCTAAACAAGGAGCTGAAGGACACAAAAGAAGCACCCTTAATCAACAGCTATCCTCTACAGTTTATTTGGAAATTCGTACGAACACATAAGAAGCGAGATAATAACAGTAACACGATTACGAATAATAACGACAACACGAGTGGGAAGTAGTTCACAGCCTCCATTGTGTTACCCTATCCCTATAAGGAAGGTACATCAGAAACTTTATGTAGGACCCTAATTATTGTTATTAGTCCTCTGGTTTCCTGGTGGAACATAGGGCTTCAGTAGCACGTCGCCATTTCACTCTCTTCTCTTCTCTCCAATCTTTTCAACCTCGCTCCACGACTCCCCATAAGCTTTCATTTCTTCCTCACACCATCTCCTCCATGTCACCCACACCCGGGATGCCCAACTCGTTGTTTCCCATTCCGGTTACACCTGACGGCCTGGTCTGGCGTGTCATGTTCCCTAACGATTTTCTCAGTAGTGCGTGTCCAATCCAATCCTATCTATCTTCACTTTCCTCTTCTGTATATTTGTTGGACGATAGGTTCTTGGTCGGTTAGTTCGTTGCCAGACCACAGTGAGTTCCTTGTTGCTTATTCTTATTATTCTGGTCATCTGATCTGATCTTCAGAATCGAGTGAGCGAGCGTAGGTGGCATCCTTTGATGATGTATGTCTGCAGTTTGTTTGAAATGATTTTCGCAAGGCGCCAAGTCTCTCAACCACCACATAGAAGCACTGATATACTTGACTGACTTAGTGTTGAAAATCCGGATATTGTTCACGCTTTATGCTGAGTGTAGTAGATCTCCACACTGATTTCCCGTTACTGAAGGCCTGTCTTGCTGTCTTTCCTATCCTGGTTTTGACATCGTAATATGTGCCTGCACCACCTCCTGTGGTTGAAACGATGCTGTCTAGGTAGGTAGGTAGGTAGGTAGGTAGGTAGGTAGGTAGGTAGGTAGGTAGGTAGGTAGGTAGGTAGGTAGGTAGGTAGGTAGGTAGGTAGGTAGGTAGGTAGGTAGGTAGGTAGGTAGGTAGGTAGGTAGGTAGGTAGGTAGGTAGGTAGGTAGGTAGGTAGGTAGGTAGGTAGGTAGGTAGGTAGGTAGGTAGGTAGGTAGGTAGGTAGGTAGGTAGGTAGGTAGGTAGGTAGGTAGGTAGGTAGGTAGGTAGGTAGGTAGGTAGGTAGGTAGGTAGGTAGGTAGGTAGGTAGGTAGGTAGGTAGGTAGGTAGGTAGGTAGGTAGGTAGGTAGGTAGGTAGGTAGGTAGGTAGGTAGGTAGGTAGGTAGGTAGGTAGGTAGGTAGGTAGGTAGGTAGGTAGGTAGGTAGGTAGGTAGGTAGGTAGGTAGGTAGGTAGGTGGAAGAGACAACTTACATTAGATTTCTCCCACTGATGATGATTGGTGCCTGTTGTTGTTGTTGGTTGGTTGGGTATCTCCATTACCTGTGTCTTCTCTATGTTCACGTGAAGGAAGCCCTGTCTTCGCTGCCTCATTTGTCAACTTGTTAGTTTTCGTCTGCAGATTTTCGAGTTTATGTGACAAGATATGAGACATAAATCATCATCGTTGGCGAAATCCGAATCTTCCTCTGGGATCTTTCCATCACTACAGACAGTGTATGCCTTTCTTCTCACAGCTCTTCACAGTTTGTTGCATGATCCAGTTCAGTCGAGTCGAGTCGAGTTGACCACGATCAGGAAGACGATAGGTGATAGTAGGCGACAACCTTGTTTTACATGTCAACCTGTCTTCACTTCAAACGCATCACTGAGCTGCTTTCCATTGTCAATCACTTGGTATGCATCATCATCATATAGCATACAGCTGGTGTTGACTGGGGTTGATAAAGGTTTTTGGCACTAAAGCCGTAGTGTTGAAGCAGTTGCCTGTCAAATTACTTCTCAGTCGACGCTGTCGAAGGCCTTTTCAAAGTGGATGAAGTTGAGGTGGAGATACAGTGGACTGGCATTCTATGCTCTGTTCTATGATGACGCACAGCGTAGTGTAGTGTTGCGTTGCAATTTGATCCGCATGTGACTTGTTTTTCCTGAAACCAGTCAGTCAGTCAGTCAGTCAGTCAGTCAGTCAGTCAGTCAGTCAGTCAGTCAGTCAGTCAGTCAGTCAGTCAGTCAGTCAGTCAGTCAGTCAGTCAGTCAGTCAGTCAGTCAGTCAGTCAGTCAGTCAGTCAGTCAGTCAGTCAGTCAGTCAGTCAGCCAGCCTGTTCTGGTCGTAATTTTCAGTCGAGAGCATGTTTTAGTCTCTCCAGGATGATGCGGCCTAATATTTTGCTTGGGTTGGACAGGAGTGGAACGTGATTCCGCGCCAGTTTTTGCAAAGACTTATCATAGTTCACCCTTCTTTGGGAGTTTGACAAGGTAGCTCTTCTTCCAATCAATAGGCAGGTACTCTTTTTTCATTGCGAAGCTTCTGCAATAGTGGTGTGGTGTGAGCATGTGCCATGATATCTTTGCGTATGCCTTCAGTGCTTCTGGCGGAATTTTATCTGGTCCTGCTTCTTTCCCGGCTTTCAGCGACTTTATGGCGTTCAGGACTTCGACCTTTATCAGACGCCTTGTGTTCACTGGTAGTTCTGCAGTTGCTGGTGGTATTTCTGGAAGAGTTGTTGGAAGTGGTCAGCCCATCGCTCTCTTTGTTTCTCCTCTTGGGTAACTAAGTTTCCTTCACTATCTTTTATTGGTTTTATCTGTGTTGATCTCCTCCTTCTTCCCAGATAGTAACCTGATTATTTGTTATAATGTTGTGAGGTCTCTCTTGCATGCAGCCTGTTCTGCTTCACTTGCAAGTGTGTCGTGGAAGTGTCTTTTGTCTTTCCGCTCACTCTTCACTTCCTTGCCCAGGTTTTTGTACATTGTTTTCAGTTCCTCTTTTCCTTGTTCATCCCTGCACTGCCCTGCACTGATTCATCTTCTGCTTCACCATATTCCTCCCCGTTCTCTACCAGCTTTCATGTGTCCGTCGAGATCCATTCCTTGTTTTGTTTCTTCTTCCTTCCTAACACGGTCATGCAGGTTTCTTTCCACATCTCTTTCAAAGAGTTCAAGTGTTCTTCCATGAAGGTTTCCTCAGGGATGCCGCTTAGTGTCTCCTATTTTGTCCTAATGACTGATGTGAAGATGTCCTTTGTAGTTTCGTCCTTCAGTTTCTGTTCTGAATGTTGAGCTTGAACTGTGGTCTATCACCAGCATCGCTGAAGTCTTTAAACTTGATTTTGAAGGTAGGTTACTTGCAGCAGAGAGGTCTGGTGGTGTGGCCCTACATCTGCTCATCTTCGTGATCTTGTGTCCAGTAGGCTGTGTCCCCACTTTCTTCAGATTGAAATGAAGTCAATCTGATTTTTACTGTGTCCATCCTGTGAAATCCATGTCGCTTTGTGAATATTCTTGTGTTTGTACACACTGCCTCCAATCACCAAATCATTAAATGCGCGAACAATTCTCCATTCTCATGCATCATTTCACCGAGTGCTTCTCGACTCATGATGGATGAGTTCTCTGCCTGTGTTGTCTGCTCTCAGTTTGGTATTCATGTCACCCCACCCATTAGAACTTTGATGTCGTCATCTGGGCTGTGGTCTTGTCCATTACTGATTGCAGTTGTCTAAAGAATTCCTCCTTCTTCTCTTGATCAAAAAAATTGTAGGCGAATAGCGTAGAATTATATGATTGTAAATTTCTTTCCTTTTGATTTGAATATTGCTGTCATAATCCTGGAGGAGATTGGTTCCCACTGCATGAGCCTGTAGGATCCTCAAAAAAGCTGGAATTAGTTGGGGTGTCATTTAAACCCACAAACTCACTCAGAGATAAGTTTTGTTGGATGGCTTAGGCATCCGATAGAACCAATTGAGGAAAATAATCTAATCTATCAAATTCCATGTAATGATTGGGAGTCAGGTCAAGTACATAGGTGAAACTTGCCGATCGGGGTCAGTTAGATTGGCGGAACAGGAATGTGGCTAAATATAGAATGACAAACCCGAATAAGATCAATAACCTAGAAGGAGACTCGGCTATTGCAATGCTTGGATTAACACACAACCACACAATAGAATGGATGAGATAAAACCACTCTACTTAGGTGCAACAATATAATTAAATGGAGAGAGACGTGGATTGATTACTGAATCTTTGTTCGTTCATCAAACCAACACCCAGCCAGCACATTTAAGAGGAATGATGTAACACCTACCCATACCACAGATATGGAAAACTTTACTGTCAATGAAAGCAAAGAATACGAAGTTGGTGGTAGGACTATAAATGTCAGATGTTGAAAGTAGTATGATTACATTGATGTGATTATGAGGAATAATTTATGCTTGAAACGTTGTCATCACGTAAATAATACTAGATCACTTTGTGTTATAAATCAAACCAACAAATCTAATATGGAATTTATGAACCTTGGCTGACTGAGATGGCTTGAACATGTACTCCGCATGGGCGGCTATCGCTTATTTCAACGTGTCATGCTACGAGGAGTTGGATTAGGATGGAAAAGTGTTGTGAGTGGTCAGATCAAGACATTACACCTGTCGATGAAGTTCGTGTCTGGTTGGGAATGAGTGGTTGAGGACGTTTGGTGGCATGACTGAAAATGGGGTGATGACAATTGCGCAGATGTATTTACTGCATTAATATCTTCTAAAGCTTGAATATTTACACTAACCTATATACTCAGATTGTTTATTCTCTCATACTACTTTACCTACATTGATATGACTCCTTTTCTATCCACCTGTTCTTTGTGTACTTCTGTGAAGTGTGTCAACTTGAGCCAATACAATGCTGTGTCAGGTTCTAGGTTGATTTTGTCCGTCTGTTAGCCATAGATTAGAAGATATTAAGTAGCAGTTCAACTGGTCCTTTACGACATTGCGAATGTCAGTTATCCAGTGAAAACCAGTAAGTACAGTTGAGAAACATATAGCGGACAGAGTAAGCAGAACATCTAACGGTTGTTTTGTCAGTTAGAGAGTATTCTTAGGAGAGCACGCTAAAAATTTACTGCAATGACAATTTCAAGTGTCAAGCAAATGTCAATGAGAAAGTATACCATTCTCCACACAACTCAGATTAAGGGTTGAGGGGAGGGAGGAAGGTTAAAGTCAGAATTTGGTTGATTGGAAAAGTTTTGTTATGAATCCCTACCAGTTAAACAACTATTGAAAGACAGATAACGAAACTAGCGTAGAATTGTGCCACTGAGTGACGCAGGTTGGAATCTCACACAGGATATCAATCCCCTCGAGGTTTCAGATACGCCGGATACTGATGGGTACCAACAAGCAAGAAACCTAGGTCTAGGGCTTACCGCCAATTGCTTCCAACCAACAGTTTCGTTAGTGGATATAAGTTTTATAGAGAGGATATTATCACTGCATCGTTTTAGTGATTCCATACTATAACTTTACAAACTTCCAATATTCATCATAGCTTCACTATTTCAGCGATATATATACAACAATACCGCTACATAACTTACCTGAACAATCAAATCCATTCCTAATCTACCCAAAGGGATAGCTTTAATTTGTACAGGTGAAGGTCGGATGAAACCAGCATCACGAAGTCCATGTAACACTGGAGCAGATAACTGCAAGTCGGCGAAACAAATATTATCAATATAATTACTGTTATCATGTGGATTTTCTTTTAAAACATCAGAAGTTCTTTTTTGTTCTTTAGTTAAATCATGAGCTAAATAAATACAATCTTCAATGATTGTTTCATCAGCTTTTGTACTAATTGATGATTGAACATTGTTGATATTCGAGTCGTCCACTTCATCATTCATTTCTAAATACACTTTTTTTGTTGAAAAATTTACAAGAAATAGAAATTAAAAATCAGTCTGAATATGTTTCATAACAATTTCAAATTGAAAAAACTGGTTCACATGTCAATGTTACTAATTTCTTCTTTGATATCATACGCTAACAGAATTTACTGCTTATCGTCTTTGGCACCGGTGAGATATCATCGTGGCATTGCTCACATTTAATGGAATCACTGTGTGAACAATGTTGAAGTCAGGTGAAGGGTACTAAGTAAGACAGTCTAGTCGAATAATGAGGTTGCGAACCTTAGTCAACTGAGGTAGCCTGGACATGCACTCCACATGTCGAGCCACAGCCTACCTCAGCGTGCTATGCTAGAAGTTGGGTTAAGTTGAAAGAGAGTGGTCAAAGCAAGGCCTGGCACTAGACTAAGAAGTCCCTAACTGGTGGTCTGAGCCATGTAAGCTATCTGAGTGAGGTACGCGAGACGAAAAGAATCAGTGATTGATGATTCTCAGTGACATCGCTGAAAATCGGTCACAAAGGCACACATGTATTTTACTACTTGACATCTTCTAAAGTCTGAATATTCATACTAACCGTTATCTTCAGATTGTGTTGTTCCATCACACAACCTCGATATCACTCTTTTCCTTTCCACCTGTTTTTTATGTACTCCTGTGGATTGTGGCAACTTGAGCCGATGAATTTCTGTGGCAGCTTCTATGTTGACCTTGTCTGGTGGAGTGGAATTCCAACCCATGACCCGTTGATTGGAAGTCGGGTATCTAAAACGATGAGTCATAGATCCAATGACAACAATAACTATGATTAAAACGTACTGTGAATATAGCAAACTTATGTCATATCAACATACGCCCACATATTTCTATTTTGTGATGAAAAATTTTTAAAGGATTCCCGTCTGTTCGCATTAATGTGGTGGCTTAGAGATGAGTCGATTGTTTAATTGAATCCATTGGAGATTGTACAAGCACTGATGAAGGTTTTGTTCAACTTATACGTTTTGGTTGGGAGATTGACTGTTTCCAGGACAGTATTCATCATCAATCGAAGTCAGGAAATACTACACAACTATTTTGTCATTGTTTCAGACTCCATAGAAATGCTGACACGCAACTATAAGGATCAGATCTCAAGTGTCGTGTAGGACAAAAAATTGCTATTCAGTTACTAAGATGTAATTCAATGTTTCATATTTTCTGACTATTCACGCATATATAAGGACTAGCATCCATGATGGAAAATGATTTGAAAAATATTACAACCAGTATCCATATAGTTCATTGTTATGAGGCAATTGACTTGTTGACATTCATCTATAACCTCGAGGGAGCTGAAGTCCTCCTCAAAGATCCGAATACGTGTCACCTCTCAGTGCTACAATCAGAGCCAATATCACTGAGCTGTTCAGGTGACAATAAACCTACTGTACGACTGAACTAGATAAGCTGGTCGGTCATTGGAGAGTAACCAACGTCATGTTGTGCTGATCGACTTCCATCGATCACTTCCAATGTTGCTACGAAACCACGAGACTCACCATAGAAGTGCACTTTGCTAGATCTAGAAGGCTAATTTGAGGTGGAAAAATAATTAAAGGACAGTTAACCCGTACTCCAAAAAACAACCTAGTAGTCGGTGATGTGCATTGACAGAATATCCTGAATAATACTACCGATTGTAAAGGAAATAAGAACATTAGATCTTCTAAACATTTACTCCTCTGCAACTTACTAATTCAAGGTTGGTATAACAAAGCAGACAATGATGCTGGAAGCTAATTTTATTGCTTGGGCAAACAGTTTAACAAGAAATTAGACTTCTATACACCTATTATCGTAGTCTAGTGTACTAGTTTCTGTTTGACTTTACACGACAGTGTCATACAGATTAAAAAAATGATCTTACATGTTATTCGGTAGGTAAACTTAACGACTGGTCGCATGAAAACTATTTCATGAATTTGTTAGTAATCGCATCTGTTCTTAGTAGATAATTTACACAGTTAGTAACACAAAACGGCATTACTACGTTAACGAAATCATAGTGAAATTCACAACTGGGCATCAACGGTTAGATAAACAGACAGATGAAATCAACGTAGAACCTTGCACACAAGTGCATCGGTTCAACCTGCCACACTTCACAGTAGTACATAAAGAACAGGTGGAAAGAAAAAGGAGTGATCATAGTAGATGAGGTTGTGTGAGGGAATGAACAAATTATCATCGACTGATTTTCAGCCATATCATCAAAAGTCCTCAACCACTGATTCCCTTTGTTTTGCGGGCCCCAACCAGGCAGACGACATCTCCCCACACGACTGAAGCCAACGGTCAGGGACTTCACCGAGTGGTGTCATGTCTTGGTCTGACCACCATGTACCCTCTTCCAACATAATCCGACTTCCTTTAGTATGGCGCGTTGAGGTAGGCGGTTGCTTGCTTGGCAAGCGAAGTATATGTTCAAGCGATCTCAGTCAACTAAGCTTCACAACCTCATCAATCGACTTGCACAGTACCCTTCACCTGACGTCAACATTGCTCATACGGTAGTGTGATTCCACCATGCGCAAGCAATGCTATGAAGACGCCTGTGATGAAAAACTTACGCAGATAATAGCCTTACAGAGACAATGAGTAGTTATTAGTAAATTCTCAGATTCTAGGACAACAAAGGTGGATACTTGCAGTAGAATTCCGCTGATGAAAATATTATTTTAGTTCGTTGCAAACCTTCGTCAACCTAAATTAGGCCATTTACATCGAGCTGCTCCAATTTCTGGCGAAGATGAGAGGCATCTTGCAGAGTGAGAATGGTTGGTTAGAAAGTGTCGTTAGCATGATACAAAGACATTTTTAAAAATTCCCATTTAGTCTGACTTGCATTAGTAAATTTCTTCCAGCTAAGACGGAGAGACAGAATCAAAGTAGAAACTTGCACAAAATGCATCAGTTGAAATTACCACACTTCCCAATGGCATGAAAACAACTAGTCGATAGACAGAGATTGACATCGGTGTCATTGCGTCCAGTTTTCGGCCATATAACAAAGACTCCTCAACTACTGATTCCTATCAGCCCAGAGACCTCAATCAAGAGGTCTACGTCTTCCTAATCAGCTCATAGAAACAGTCATAGACTTCATAGACTGTTGCAACTTCTTTGTCTGGTTACCCCGAACTGACTTCTAACCTGATTGAGCTTTCCTTAACATGGTACATCACGGTAGCTCCAAGTACGCAGTACTAATAGGAGATACACACTGCAAATCTTTGTCCCTGGTTACTTCATTCACTGAATAAGGCAAATAATGTCTCCATGAGTATGCCATTGACTTTCTCTTTTTCAGTGAAAGTCGTTTATTGATAGTTTTAATCTTTTGTTGTTATACTGAATTGAATTACTCGACCTTTAGTGATAGATGTGTGAAGGCATCCACAAAGAAGCTGATTAGCCATCAAAAGCTGATCAATTCAATCCAGTATAGTGACGGGAGATTACAAGTATCAATAAATAACAACGGATACCTGTTGTACAGGTGGTACCTATAACTCAATAGAAGAAGTGATTTGTCATGGGTTAGAATTCCGTTGGGAACAATGTCATTCATTTAGCTGACGAGTATCAAAAAGAGTGAAATGTACGTCCTGGATATCACTGCTAGCCGCTATATATCGTTAATATTAAATTAGAACTAGTTAGTGGAATATAACTTCAGCAACACCTAAATTGCAGTCTACAAGATTATTATCAGTTGTTGTAATGATACTTGTAATTTCCAGTTATTATACAGGGCCGAATTGATCGACCTCCGTTGGCACGCAGATGGGCTCCCATGCGAATGCCTCGATACTGTCAGAGTCGGTCTTAATTGTAATATCGCTCATCTGCCAACAGAGATCGAGTGATTCGGTCCTGTATAGCAACAAGTATATCATTACAATAGTTCGAAATACTTTACTAACAAAACACAGCTAGTATATTTAAAGTGACCATCACTACCCTACGACTGGGTTAAACAGAGTGACTTTGACCCAAGGCCACCTTACTCTTTCTATGTAGAAAAAACAACAGCACAGACAGTGAACGAACAGACACAGGGTTCACACGATATGGCGAAATAAAAGAAAAATCGTGAAAACATTAAAAAAAACTCTATTGAATAGTAGTAGTAATCGTAACAATGATAATAGGAGTGCATATATGCATGTATACAAATAGGGTAAGAGTATATTATACACATACGAGATTGCTGAAATTGTAGGAAGGAACAATTAAGAACTGGGGTTATTGTTATCAGCAGAATATTCAATATCAACGCAGCTTGGGCGTTTGTTAAAACGAAGAAAATGATGATGATAACGTTGTACAATCAGACATGAATATTTAGTGATATCAACCAAGTGGAGTTTAAAACCGAAATGCAAACAAATATAGTATCAGAATAAGAAGGAATATATATATATATATATATATATATATATATATATATATATATATATATATATATATACATGGTGATGGCTTTTCTATAAAAGAAAAACGTAGCATTCATTCACTTATATAGTTACTGACTTTTGGACGGCTTTGTTGAATTGTGACGTAGTCGAAACTGAATGAGGTTTACCTTCATATCTTCTTCTCTCTCTCTGCCTTATTTATTGCATTCACTCGCTAATATTTACTCATTTGTTTATTTCAAGTAGTCATTTTCATCTTTGGTAAATTTACTGCCAAGTTATAGTATTTCAAAAAGAGGAAGGTATTCGACTGATGTTTCTCATTCATTCATACACACACATGCGCTGGAGCTCATATCCTCGTGTGTGTGTGTGTGTGTGTGTATGAATGAATGAGAAACATCAGTCGAATACCTTCCTCTTTTTGAAATACTATAACTTGGCAGTAAATTTACCAAAGATGAAAATGACTACTTGAAATAAACAAATGAGTAAATATTAGCGAGTGAATGCAATAAATAAGGCAGAGAGAGAGAAGAAGATATGAAGGTAAACCTCATTCAGTTTCGACTACGTCACAATTCAACAAAGCCGTCCAAAAGTCAGTAACTATATAAGTGAATGAATGCTACGTTTTTCTTTTATAGAAAAGCCACCACCATCACCACCACTAAGAACAAAACACACATCTAGAATAGTCAAGATAAACTGATGATGATGATATTTATTATCCTAACAAATGTTGACCAGCAACAAGTCCTATCACATTAGATTCTAATGCAGTTGAAGAAGAGTTGTTCAATATATCCATGTCTGTAATTGTTGACAATGCACCATCAATTACACCGGCAGCTGTAACAATAGCATTATTAAGAACGGTTAATTGGTTGCTTGTATGCGGAACATTTTGATAGGCTGAAGTTGTTGTTTGTTGAACGATTTGAGGATAGTGTTGTTGTTGTGGCGGCGGTGGTTGTTGCTGTTGCGGTGGAGCATATCGCCATATACATACAAGATTATTATCAGTCACAGCAGCTAGATAATAACCGTCGGAGCTCATTTCAACTGAATTGACAACAGGATTTCGAAAACCTGATGTAATACTTTCTTTGAGTTGTTGATCTTCATCACGATTCCCCTGAACTGAGCATTCTGGCCATTCAAGAATCTATGGAATAATAGTAAATTAAAAAATTAAACTAAGTTAATGTTTATGATAAAAAGTTCAAGAAGGATTTACCAATACTGAAGAATTTGCTCCCTTCAAGAATGGGAAAATAAAATTAACAACATAAAAATAACCAATGAAAATTTAAGTAATTAACTAATTAACTAACGAACTGGAAATGTTTTTGTATGAAATGAAATTGTACAATTTATAAATTCTAACAGTGAGAAGGATATTCCCCTTCGCCCTCATTCTTATCAAGAAAAAAAAGTTGCATACCTTAATTGGTTTAACATGGAAACGTTTACGACTAGATGAGTGTAGATCATCTAAATAAGGATCTAAATCATATATCCAAATTGAGCCTTCATTGTCACCGCAAAGGACAGCACCAAGATTTTGTCTAACAGATACATTAATATAGATTTCATCTGTTTTCTGCCATAATAAATGTCCTCTCATTTCGATTGGAACAAGACGTTGTAAACCTATAGAGAATAGAAATTATTACAAATAGACAAGTTCAAATCAACAAACTAGTTCATTCAAATATTACGTGTCTAAAGGGCTGTGTGTGTGTGTGTGCCTTTTTTGCAACAGATACCAAATGAACAAGACAAGACAAAATCAACATAGAACCTTGCACACGCGTGCATCGGTTCAAATTCCTACACTCTACAGCAGTACACAAACAATAAGTGGATAGATGAAGATTGTTATCAAAGTAGATAGAGTTGTGTGAGATAATAAACAATTTGAAGATAAAGGCTAGTGTGAATATTCAAAGTTTATAAGATGTCAAGGAGTGAATACATTTGCGTGTCATTATGACCGACTGATTTTGAGGCATATCATCAAGAGTCCTCAACTACTGATTCTAATCGTCTCAGGAACCACACTCCAACCAGGTAGTCTACATCTCTTCACACAACTCAGATCAACGGTTAAGGACTTCATCCATTAGTGCCAGCAGACTGACGAAACTCTTTCCAGTTGAGATCAGTGCAGTACTTTTTCGTCTGATCAACAGAATGGTAAATCGATACCCCCGTGTTTGGTTTTATGAATTTATTGATTTCAGATTGGTATACGTCACGAATAGACATCTCCAAAAACCTCTAAATTGAATAACTCTCTAGTGTTCATTAGTGAGTGGTTTTAAGATGAGATTCTTGAGGTCTTTTTGAGAAGTTATGACCAGTGGGGTCAACCAAATCAAACATGAAGACAGGTGCTCAAAGATGGCATTGAATGAAGGTTACGCTATATCATCAATTGACAGAAGTAGGAAAAGTGGTCACGGAACTTGAAGGTTTTTAGTTTCATCCCTGCCAGAGTCGTGTGCGCACATTGTTGAGGAGTCCCATACTAAGGCGAAACAGCTTTTCGGTGCTCCTAGTTGTTTCTAATGCTCCTCCAGCTAGTGTTAGTCTATGATGAATACCATTCTGAAATCAATAAATGTGCGGTCACACATGCACATATGGAGGAGTAATCGAGCAGTACAGCAAGAGTAGGGGAACATATACCTAAATGGAGTGCGATAAGTCTTCATAAATACCTAAATATCTTATTGAAACAACTTTTAAAGTTTTATGTATAGAGACAGTAGGCAATGCATACTGAGAAGCTTGCGGAAGCAATAGGCAGACACAAATTGTAACCAACTTTGTGTGTATAGAAATAACTTGTTCCTATACACACCAAATATACCTTGCTTGGTCAACTTTGTTTTTTATGAAGATAAGGATCAAATATGCTGCTCTTTGGTTTTTTATTTATTCTTGTCTTCCTTAATTTTATTCCCCCTATCATCGCATTTTGTCTGTTTACCCTCCGATTATTCATCCTTCAATTTTATATAAATTGACTTGACAGGTAAATATGTATGATGAGATCTGTTCTGAATGGATTGAGCAAGTATTTCTTATATTGTTCAGATGAACTTCGTCTTCTGAGTTGTTGGTTTGGACAACAAAATGAAAAGAAACTTAACTATTCCCATCTAGGTGACCAACATACAGGTCAGTTAGATAAGCATAATCAAAGTCATATCGAAACATTCCTCTAGTGTATAAGTTACAATTAAACTGTAACTTTAAGCAAGATTACCTATCCTAACCAATCATGTACATTGGATAATAAACTAGAGTAAAACAATCCCCACCCCGACCGATAGCTGCTACGTCGACGTGGTGGTCAACCTTGCATATGACAATGACCCAACAAGCTATGCCGGTGGGACACTTCTTCCCTCGAGGTCCTACCATACCAGAAAGGTCTGTTGGATAGTGGTTAGACGAAAAGTAGTTACCGTTGTGGTGTAAATTACTACACTATGATAAGAGTCTGAGGGCGAAGTCGTACTGCTGCTAGCTGGATGGTCTGTGACAGCAGTAAGGTGTTTCCCTTGGATGACCAGCAGTGCCATACTGATGCTGCATTCTCAGTGGAAACGGGTGTTAGAAAAAGTCAGCCCCGAAAATAACACACTTCACCATACCCCACTGTCTGCCGGGCCGGCGGTGTTGGTTCATTTGTCGTTTCCTTTCGACCATCAGGCCCTAAAAATACAAAAGTTCAAAATAATAATACTCAAAAGACTACGTGTGACAGGCCTCAAGCAGACATCCGATGGGCTCTGCAGTCACACAAATCTCTTTCAGGTACCTTAAGAAGAAATAGCCTTCCACGGTGTGGGCAGCCGGGAAGTGTCAACCAACCTCACAACTCTGTCAGCACTCAAGTTTCCCTAACACCTTTTTAAGAAGTTTTACTCATTGACATCTCATAGTGACATTAAAACATCTAATTAAAAGTTATTTTTATGTATTACCTGGGTGAGCTGTGACTTTCGATCAATGAACGAGTTCGAACCCGTAACTGGAGCTACCAAAGTTTGTGCAGCTAGGTTGTATTATTAACCCTCGCACAATAGATATGACTAACTGCCAACTGTACGAATCTGCACAAGGCTGATGAATACATTTCGATATGTACAACACAATTAAAACTCCCTCACATCAATAAGTAATGATCATGATCCAGATGAAAGTAGGTAGGTGGTTCATATAACGGAAGATTCATAGACAGCCGACCTCATCAACGTGCGGTGTAACCAAATTGATTCAAAGTTGCACATGCACTTCTTCTTGTGCTAATCTTGGTATCCAACACATACCACAGTTTGTTGTCTAAATATTTTGCATATCAAAGCAAACTATAGAAGAACGCATGATGCACAAACCATTGAAAACTAAGTAAAAAATTAATTGAGATGCAACTAGGAACTATCGCCTAAGGTAATTAAGAGGTGAGGGACGCAAGCATCTCTCTCTTTCTCTCTTCAAACACAAGGCAGTTCATACTGCCTTACGAAAAATGCAGCTTACAATAGTGAGGAAAAAGTCGTCAAGAAAACATCATTTCCATACTAAATTCCATTTTGGCAATATCAAACAAACCAAACCACCACCAATAACAAGCGCTAATCATCATCAATGGGAGAAATCTAAGGAAAGTTGTCTCTTCCACCTACCCACCCACCCACCTACCCACCTACCTACCTACCTACCTACCTACCTACCTACCTACCTACCTACCTACCCACCTACCTACCTACCTACCTACCTAGACAGCATCGTTTCAACCACAGGAGGTGGTGCAGGCACATATTACGATGTCAAAACCAGGATAGGAAAGACAGCAAGACAGGCCTTCAGTAACGGGAAATCAGTGTGGAGATCTACTACACTCAGCATAAAGCGTGAACAATATCCGGATTTTCAACACTAAGTCAGTCAAGTATATCAGTGCTTCTATGTGGTGGTTGAGAGACTTGGCGCCTTGCGAAAATCATTTCAAACAAACTGCAGACATACATCATCAAAGGATGCCACCTACGCTCGCTCACTCGATTCTGAAGATCAGATCAGATGACCAGAATAATAAGAATAAGCAACAAGGAACTCACTGTGGTCTGGCAACGAACTAACCGACCAAGAACCTATCGTCCAACAAATATGCAGAAGAGGAAAGTGAAGATAGATAGGATTGGATTGGACATGTACTACTGAGAAAATCGTTAGGGGACATGACACGCCAGACCAGGCCGTCAGGTGTAACCGGAATGGGAAACAACGAGTTGGGCATCCCGGGTGTGGGTGACATGGAGGAGATGGTGTGAGGAAGAAATGAAAGCTTATGGGGAGTCGTGGAGCGAGGTTGAAATGATTGGAGAGAAGAGAAGAGAGTGAAATGGCGACGTGCTACTGAAGCCCTATGTTCCACTAGGAATCCATGGGACAAATAATAATAATAAATATAAAACAAAAGCACATGTATGAGTCAACTACTAACCTTTACGTCGTTCAAGAATTGATGCAAAATCAAACACCATAATCTCGCCTGACTCCACCACTTTCAATACTAAAGCATTATCACTTAATTGAGCTAAAGCATCAATGCAAACTTCATGATTAAAGTCCAATTTTAACTCCATGTCTGGTTCACGTTCACGTTTCTCTAAACGCAGATCGGTTATCTTCCAAGCGAATAAGCCATCTTCACAACCAGCTATTAAATAAGCATAGTGTGGAAGGAAGACCAAATTCAAAACTGGATTAACATCTAATCTGGGACAACGTAAACGCATCAGTAGTTGATATCGTGTTTTATAGTCTGGTACAGAAGGAACTCCAATATCCCAGACTATAACAGATGCCTAAGGAAAGACGATGATGAAAAAAAGCAGAATAACAATCTTTGTAAGAGATCAGATGCATAAAAGTCTATAATGTAAGGCAAGGAATACTACTACTCGATTTATACATGCACCACAATGTTGTAAATACAGATTATCCATTCTAGTGCTCCAATTACCAATTTCACTCTATACACAGATAAGATTTTCTGAAAATGATAAGGGACAAAACATATACAAACACTCTCATCACTATTCATCATTCGTTAGACTGTTACTGGTTGTTTATCATTTAAACAAAACACGTGACTGAGCCATATCCATTGGTGACTTCAGTCATAACAAAAATTAGACAAGTAAAAGTAACTTTTAAAGATGTTGATACAATATTACATAATAGGTCAAGCAGGTAGATAGAGAAAATTAACGTTAAACCTTGTAAACAACTACAGCAGTTCAAGTTGCCACACTTCTTCGTTGCTTATTCTTATTATTCTGGTCATCTGATCTGATCTTCAGAATCGAGTGAGCGAGCGTAGGTGGCATCTTTTGATGATGTATGTCTGCAGTTTGTTTGAAATGATTTTCGCAAGGCGCCAAGTCTCTCAACCACCACATAGAAGCACTGATATACTTGACTGACTTAGTGTTGAAAATCCGGATATTGTTCACGCTTTATGCTGAGTGTAGTAGATCTCCACACTGATTTCCCGTTACTGAAGGCCTGTCTTGCTGTCTTTCCTATCCTGGTTTTGACATCGTAATATGTGCCTGCACCACCTCCTGTGGTTGAAACGATGCTGTCTAGGTAGGTAGGTAGGTAGGTGGGTAGGTAGGTAGGTAGGTAGGTAGGTAGGTAGGTAGGTAGGTAGGTAGGTAGGTAGGTAGTTAGGTAGGTAGGTAGGTGGAAGAGACAACTTTCTTTAGATTTCTCCTGTTGATGATGATTAGTGCTTGTTGTTGGTGGTGGTAGTGATGGTTGGGTATCTTCATCATCTCTGTCTTCTCTACGTTCACCTGAATGAAGTCCCGTCTTCTCTGCCCTGCATTGCCTCTTCTGCCAACTTGTTGGTTTTTGCCTGTAGATCTTCAAATTTGTGCGGCACTGAACATAAATCGTCATCAGCGAAATCCAAATCTTCTAGGATCTTTTAATCGGTCCAGCGTATACCACTCTTCTCGCTCCTCACAGCTTGTTGCATGATCTAGTCCACCACAATCAGGAAGATGATCGTTGATAGTAGGCAACCTTGTCTTATTTCTGTCTTCACTCCAAAGGCATCAATTCAAGCTTTAGAAAATATCAAAGAGTGAATATATCTGCGCCACTGTAATCGATTTCCAGCCGTATCATCAAGAATCTGCAACCATTGATTCTTACCATCTCAGAGACTGGTTAGGTAATCTACACCTACATACACGGATCAGACCAATAACCGCAGATTTCATAGACTGGTGGCAAGTCATAGTCTAACCACCCTAACCCTACTTCCAACATAATCCAGCTTCCCCTAGTATGGCACGTCGACGTAGGCGATGGATCAGTGTGCGCAGTACATTTCCAAATTACTTTAGTCGACGAAGGTTCATATCCTCATCCACCAGCTAACTGAAAATAAGACCACAATTGATGTAATAATAACCTCTACACAAAACCACTTCTTAACTCATCATTAGTTGATGCTTTGAATTCGAAAATCAAAGTAAACAATGATAACCATTGAAATAAATCTACTTTACTAACAACACAAATGTCGATTGGTAAGGATTTTAAAATATGAGAACTGAGACTTTACGAGTAAATCTAAAGGTCGCTCTATCAAATACTGAAATAACCAACTTGGTTCAATCATATTACGAAAAAAAACCTTTCCAATCAAAAGAAAGTGAAATGATGTAAGTAGTTGATATAGGTGTGGACTTTTGAGTAATAAGCTTTCGACTTCACCCATAGTTGTTCGCTTCTTCGAAAACATGAAGGAGTTCCAGAACGATAAAAGGGTTTATTAGGAATTCAGGTCAAGAAATATCAGTAATTCTCTACCTCCATCCTTGAAAAGGTCATATGAAAAGCTGTCAGGTCATGAAGCTTGCTTCCGTAATTTCAGGTTCAATACAGCTTTCTCAATTTCAAATAGAGTTGGACGACTGACATCTACGTCACACTCAAGTTCAGACTGGATGTTGGGCAACTGAAGCGTTGCTATGGGTCACTTGGGGACTCTACTTCAGTGTTCCGCCCAACGTATCAGCCGCCTGTCCTGGGAGGTTATCAGCGTCCCATCCTTCAATAAGCCTAAATAGTTGTCGAGTGTTAACCAACGCTGATGTCTTCTCAACCTCCTTCGGTTTCGTCACCCTCCACTGCTCGTGATCGACGTGAAGATTCTTGTTCAATTTACGTCCAAGTTTCTTTCGCTTTTTATCGTGGAATCAGTCTTCTTGCACCAATCAGTTCAGATGGTGTTAAGGAAATCTAATGGCGTTTTCTTACCTTCAGGTGCAGGCTAACAGCTATCTGACTACATCTGAAAGTTTTTCTTCCTGTAGAAAAATTGACAGCATCTCATAGAATTCATCCTTTGCATCATTCGAACTACAGTCGGTAGGTGCGTAGGCGGAGATAACGAATAGGTAGTTGGTATCATGATCCTTCCTGAGCCTTACAGATCCATTCAATCGAACAACACGTAGATGGCTGTTGACTGGTATTCAGTCAAGAAGCGCACTTTCTGCTTTACAACTCAATCCTATGCCTACACCTGAAAGTCCATGACAGTTAGTCATCGAGTCTCCGGATACTCGTAAGGTGAGTTTTGAAGATTCACTACTTCAGCCAGGTGAGGTCAGTTTGAAAGCCACTCTCAGGTGTTGTATATTTGTCTCAAAGACACAGCAAACATCAGTGGCTAATGATTTCAGAGTACTGGCGAGCGATGATACTTGCTGTTTGACTTGGCACAGACTTCGGGCCTTGAAAGCTCCTACAGGAAATCGATAGCGAACAGGGTCTTAGTAGACTAGGAATGAGGTTTCGATAACTTTGAGACCTGATAATGGTCACAGAATGAGAGGTTGGGTAAGGGGTAAGAGGCTTAATATTATTTTCAGGTGATGGCAAAGGAGCAGACAGGGTTGAGGACATCAGGTTATTTTTGATTGGATCTTGTGTGCTGCTGGAAGCGTGCGGACGGTTGACACTTCCCGGCTGTTTTAAGGTTTGGTTGTTTTAACGCCAGGTAACGAGAACCCATGCCACTCGCACCGGAAGACCGCATGCTATTTTTCTGACCTACCTTTACTTAAGTGCCACCCCATTCCTATAGGGAAGATAGTATCACAGTGGGACTGGTGATCATCGAAGGAAAATATCATACTGCTGGCACACATTAGTCAGCCAGTAGTACGATTTTGCCCTCAGACACCTATCATAGTGTAATAGTTTCCACTACAACGGCAACTTCTTTTCGTCTTACCACTACTTAACATAGATTTCTAGCTTGGTAGGACCTCGAGGGGACAAGTATTCCACCAGCATAGCTAGCTCATTAGGTCATTGTGATATGCGAGTCCGACCATTACGTCAGGATAGCAGCTATCACCCGAGCTCTTAGAAGGAATTACCAAGTAATGCTTTATTTTGCAACAGAAAAAGAAGCCTGACTAAGTGGTTAGTTTAATAGATACTAGGATGATATTTAATATCGCATGAAACCCTATGTTGTACTAACTGCCTATGCGTTTTTCTGATTTTATCATTAAGGCAATCATTAAAATAGCTTTTCTGTCTGTTTTAAACATAAATTGATATACAATTAAAAAAGGCAATCACCTTAGAATCCCCACTGAATAAAACTGTAGACTGTGTCTGATGAAATATCATTGCTGTTACATCTTCTGTATGACCTTTCATTTCAGCATAACAAACTAATTGTTCTGGATGAAGTAGTCTAATCTCGTGCATACGACCAGCAGCAGCCAATATATTGGTACGTTTACCGCCTTCCACTTCAACAGTTGTCCATGCAATAGTGTAAAATTCCTGTATTTAAAATAAAAAGAAGTAAGCGCATATCAAATTGACTATATATACATGTCAGAAATAAGTTGAATGGATAGGACGTGAACAATATAGATAAGTAAGTTAGTTACAACCGAATCGGAGTAATTGTTTACAGGGTTCACAGTTTATTGGTGAAAATGACATTATCATTTTACTACTATCTTAGGTAGCCATGGTTTGGTAGACTAGTCTTGGTACTGGGTGATGATTAAAGGTGAAATGGAAGGTTGAACCGCAGCCGGATTGAAACCAGCGACCATCGGGTTTACCATCCGATGCTCTACCAACTGAGCTAAGAGGTTCGACTGCTGACCAGATTTTTATTTCACTTTAATCACAGGCGGAATTTTGCCCAACCACGATGTGAATTCGCGATGGATTACTATCGCTTGATCGTATTCACACTGGCTGCTACCGAGTCAAGACTTCTCATCCCAACTGAAATCTAACTGAATTAGAATGAGAGAGGGAGCATCATACTGATTATCATTTTGACTACTGTCTGAGATAGTCGTAGGTTGGAAGACAACAATAACATTGTTGTATCCGTAGCCAGAAAGAATGATAGCCAAAATTATGTACATCTTTAAAGTTTTGTCCACTATGCATGTATATTGCTGAATACAAATAATAATTGTGCATTGTATAGGTTAGCCATCTAACTTCTCTGTGAGTCAGCTGGTGCGACGTTAGTGGTTGTAGCATCAATTCTTCCGTACCTCGGAGGGAAATTTCACTTAGTTTTTTAATCCCATAACCGCATAGGGAAACTTAAACCGAGGTTAAGAGCAGAACATTGACCAAATCGTCAACACAGCAACATAAGAGACATAATCACAAGGAAATCCACTGATAAATTCCACCGCATTTCACTTTAAGTGTAAAGAGTCAAGGCATGGAACCTTATACGATAAGTAATACCACTCAGTGACTCAATGCAGATTCATGTTTATTAGGTGGCCCAACATTTGATTTAATAATTTACTGTCTAAAGAGACAGGAGAGGGAAGCAAACTCAGTGACCATTTGAACATCCATGCAGTAGGCAATGCACCCCAGACCTCGGTAGGTGGGGCGGGGCTCAAAATCCGAAACCTAAATCACTGAACCATAACTCCACACAGTCTGCATGATGAATGCCAAAGACAGTGAATCACACCTCTACATGAAATATGCCGGAGGTATACATCAGAAGCTGTAGAAGGTTCTCATACTAGCCAGCAGTGATTGACGGGTGAAGCGACTATCGGAGTGTAATCTTGAGGAAAATCACAAGAATGAATACATATTCCACACTTCATGCAAGGTTTCTTAAAAAATTATTGATTGATAAAATATTCAGGACCACGAACCAAGAAACGAATAGTCACGAATACATGGTTATACCTTTACTGCACTGATGTTATATCCATCCATCCAAATCAGCATAGAACTAGGCATTACTGTGTAACGGTCCAAATTCCCACATCTCATCTCATATCAGTACATCAAGTAAAAAGGCAGTGAAGTGGAAGATGGAGAGAAAATTCAGTCAAAAGAAATATAAAGTACTAAAAGAGAGAAAAAGAGAATGAGAAAATGGTGAGATTCAGCATAGCATCATTAAGATGAGGATAATGTGAGTGCATCTGAGTCACTAATATCGGTTCTCAGCCATGTGATCGCCTAGTCTCCAACGACCGGTTTCTCTCGTCCCCAGACCTCCAACCGGCTATTCTACATCGCCTTATATGGTTCAAACCAACAGTCAAAGACTTCATATATTGGTGCCATGTTTTAGCCTAGCCACCTGGGGCCTTTTTCCGGCCTAGACCTATTCGGTCAACATTGTGTGAAGAGGCAGACGGTGGCCAAGCATACGTACCACATGCCCCAACCACCTCAGTCCATGAAGGTTCACAACAGCATTATCAACTGACTTACCTCTTCTCCCTAAAACTTTATGCCTGATTTCTGCGTTACTCACGGGGACTGGTGTTATATATTTTATGGTACCAACTTGAGCATTCTTTAATCAACTGTTAGAAAATTTACACTTGTGTATTACATAATACTGATACAATCGGGCATTCATAGTCAAAATCTACGGAAGAGAATGCAGTCACTATCCTGATATATACAATAGGTTATATAAACAGGCGTCTTTTATATTTAAACCAGGAAACACTGATTTTTTAGTCAGGTGCTCTACCCAACTGAGCTACGAGACTCGACTGTCAACCAGATTTTTATTTCGTCTCAATCACCAAAGATTTTGTACTACTGCTATGTGAATACGTGACACACTACCGGTGGTCGCTGGTTCGAATCCCACCACGGTTCAAATTTTCATTTCACCTTCCATAATCATAGCCCGGTATGAATACAAGTCTGTCAAACTACGACTGCTATCCCAGATAGTCAAAATGATAATTTTTTATTATTATTTCTTTATTCTCCTGATCTATGTCGATCGTAAACAATCCATCTACACATTAAAAAAACAGGTCAATAGTTTGGGAATGAGAGGAACTGTCACAATGGTGTGTGTGTGTGTGTATGTCAGTGATGAGTGAATAGACCTTTGATATCTGTAAGAGTTTCGATGATCAGATGAAAAACCTTCAAGACGTCACTATCAACAGTTAAGTATAGGATCTGACTTCTAAGGCATAGAAAGTCTAAGTCAGTATCAGAAGAAAAATAAAAATATATTTGCCTAGGTTAATTTTTTTCAAAACAGGAGATACATTTGAATTAAGCGTAGTCTACAATTTTCGATGTAATGCGATCGTTCTTGAATGATGTCAGTAAAAGTGAATTCTTATTCTTCATTACCTGGTTCTATTAGATTTTAAAAAATCTTTATGTAAGAGTAAGACTTTGGCCCCGTTGTAGAATAGAACTTCGTATTAGATTGTTTATTCAGTATCTCAATTTATCGACTATATTCAGTGTGCTGTGTGAAATATAAAGTCTAATATGGAATTAGGAAGTCTTGTCAAAAGGAGGCATTACAGACAACTGAACAGATGCAGAGTTTCATGTATCATGCTTACCGAGGACAATATTAGATCTTGGAGAAAACTATTTATTGATTTATTATTTCTACATTCATTAATTTTAAGTAGGTGTGTAGGTAGGTACATATGTACGTACGTACGTATGCATAACGAATGATTCTTCAGTGGACGTCAACTTGTGAAAATATATTCATGCTTATTTGATTTCGGAAATAATTTTTATTAGTTGATACTACAGTTATTTCGTTTTGAACTGGTTTGAGAAGGCTGTATTAATTTATAAAGTCTACTCACATAGGATGTACAGACTAAGTAGACCATTATAACAATTTGAAATTTGCAAAAATTAACTGACTGTAGTCTGTTGAAAGGAAATATCTAGGGAATTCTATTCATACATGGTAGAGATATCTGAAAAATTTTGTATTCACCTCTTCCATATGTTTAAAACGCTTCATAACTTTTCCAGTTTCACAGTTGATCAAGCAAACACATTCACCGCCACAAGTGGCAACAACATGAGTTGTTTCATCTGGTCGCATGGGATTTGGTTCAAAAAGGCAACGCCAAACTTTTGTTTCACTATCTCCAGCATCATTATCTTTAGCATGACAACGTATAAAGTGTAATGGATCATAGTCAATAGGAGTTGAATCAGATCGTGGGCCACCGCCTACTGTTGTTGTATTCGTTGAATTATAGGCATCCGCTGAGAAAGTTGTATCTGAACAAAGATCTCTTAAACTTCTAGAACGTAAGAGAGAAAGGAGAAAATTAACAGGATATGCAGAATTAGTATAAAACATGCTTGTAATGAACATTAACACACGAGATGGCGTTATTTGATAATTCCTTAAAGATGGTCGACTCATTATTATTTGTCCATTGGGTTTCTAGTGGAACATAGGGCTTCAGTAGCACGTCGCCATTTCACTCTCTTCTCTTCTCTCCAATCTTTTCAACCTCGCTCCACGATTCCCCATAAGCTTTCATTTCTTCCTCACACCATCTCCTCCATGTCACCCACACCCGGGATGCCCAACTCATCGTTTCCCATTCCGGTTACACCTGACGGCCTGGTCTGGCGTGTCATGTTCCCTAACGATTTTCTCAGTAGTACATGTCCAATCCAATCCTATCTATCTCCACTTTCCTCTTCTGCATATTTGTTGGACGATAGGTTCTTGGTCGGTTAGTTCGTTGCCAGACCACAGTGAGTTCCTTGTTGCTTTTTCTTATTATTCTGGTCATCTGATCTGATCTTCAGTATCGAACGTAAGCAGCTGTTGATAGTCAACTAGGATTCCTAAAACCATTAAACTATAACATGAAGTCAAATGTTGTAATTGGCTAAGGTTATGAATTATGCACTTGAAGTTATACTAAACATATTCCAGTGAGTAACTAAGCATAAACAATTTTATGAAATACACGTGTTTCAACCGAACCCGACAGTTCAGAATAAATCAAGTGATTTAACCAGTATTAGATCACACTATTACAAGCAGGTTTTCAGTTATTTGACATTGATTGAATGATCAATTCGCTAATGACTTAAAAATTGCATGTTCAACGTCGATATTTAACACATCTGTGTAGTTTTCTTTAATTGGCGAAATGTGATGTTAACAGGCTTTCTGTAGTTAAAAATCCCTCAGGCTAATCTGCAGGTTTGCAGCGAAATCCTGTTGACAGCACAGCTGGGTAGTTGAAAAAACAGATCAGCTGTGAGAGACGCCAATGTAGACCATGCAATCGACTGACAGACATCAACGTAGAACCTCGCACACAGGTCCATCGGCTTAAGTTACCACACTTCACAGTAGTACAAAAAGAACAGTAGGATAGAAAAGGGAGTGATATCAAAGTAGATAAAGAAGTGTAAGAGAGTAAATAATCTGAAGATAAAGGTTAGTGAGAATATTTAACCTTTAGATGTCAAGAAACGAATACATCTGCACCACTGTCAACGATTTTCAGCCGTCACTAAAAGTCCTCAACCACTGATTCCTTTAATCCCGACGATCATAACCAGGCAGTATAAATCTCCCCGCATGGCTCAGACCAACAGGGACTTCCTCAACTGATGCGGAGTATTTGTCTGGACACGCTGAACCCTCTTCCAACCTAATCCAATTTCCCTAGCATGGGACATCGAGGTAGCCGGTGGGTCAGGATATGGAGTAAATGTCCAAACCATCTCAGTTTATGGAGGTTCACAACATCAATCGACTTGCCTGTCTTGCCTAGTACCCTTCGCCTGACCTCAACATTGCTCACACGGTGGTGTGATTCCACCAAACGCGAGAAATGCTACGAAGACACCTATGATTCAAACCCTGAAACCGCTTCGTGTCTTCTACTTTTAACGTCTATGTCTCACAGCAATAAAATAGGACAGATAGTGTTGTAAGAATTTCGGTTGTTAGAATTTATTGTGAAATGATGTGTTCCAGCTTATTGTGAAAATCGACTGAAAAAAGGAAACAATACATTGCAAAACCCAACCATATTCGATTCGTTGTACAAAAAGTGGTGGTTATCGTGAATCCCAATTGCCTAGCAGATAACAACATTACGGCGTTTGAAGCAATCAACTCTGGTTTCTAGTCTCAATAGCAACGAAATCACTCATTGATGGTAGACAATAGCACCTTTCAACAGACGAAATCCAAATAGGATTAATCATGAGTCATGAAGTTTGCTGCTAATCACTGCCCACAATAAGCATCATTTTTAATATATTTAAAAAAACAGATAGACAAAATCAATGTAGAAACCGGCACAGAAGTAGATCGCTTCAAGTTCCCAGCCGTACATCACAGTAACATGCGAAAATCAAAAGTTTGTAGGAGGAGAAAAAGCTCGAAAAATGAGACGATACTTAAACTTCAGACGTGAATAGGTGAGTGCATCTGTGACACTGTGACTGAATTTCAGTCATATCACCAAGACTTTATTCATATCCAACATCTCGTGGATTTTCGACCGGCAGCTTACAGCTCATATCCAAAGTCAAAGACTTCAGTGACTTCGTCCATGCCTTGGTTTGACCACCTTGAACCCTCCTCTTCCAACTCTGTTCTCCTTCATATAAATCATATATCATCTAGTGAATGTTCACAAACTCATCAAGTGACTTGCTTTCTCCGCCCAGTAACCTTCGCCTAACCTTCTCACAGCTTACTAAGTGATTCCACCATATATGAGCAATACTTTGAAGATACTAATGGTCAGACCTTTTAATTTTTATGCTTAGTTTTAACCGTCATGTCTCATGACCGTAGAATGGTATAGAGGGAGAATGTATTGAAGTAATCTCGGTCTTTAATATAGTTGGCTGGACATCCCACTAGCCTGCATCAGAGATAACGCAAGTTGATGGATGCCTAACGAGCCTTCTGTATCTCAGCTGAGATTTCGTCAATACCTACCCACTAAAGATGATGGAACTACCTAAATAAATGAATTGGTCGACACCTTCCCCCACTTCACTCCCTATCAATTCACTGGGAGTACTTGCACCAGACCAGTCCTGGAGCATCATCTTACATTTGACAGATGATATCGAAACGTGTGCCAAAGATACTCAGCGCCCTCAGAAGACAGTATATTGTGTCAGGGTTGTCTGTATACTCCAAGTCAACCAGATGACCTTCACAGAGTAGGTCAATACACATGAAGTAAGATATACCTAAGCTTATGTTCATTAGTACGTTTATAACGAAGTTAAATAGCAACAGTGAAAGTGGGCATCCCTCGTCGACACCATTAGTTGTCGTCAACTCACATGACAACTCCCCTCAAACTAACCCTTAAACGGCTACGTGATTTCGGGTAGAGAGCTATGGCGGGCATTATACACTTGCTTGGTATCCCCTTCAAAGTCAGGCACTACCACAACACCTTTCAGTCGACAGGGTCAAATGCCACCTTCAGATCAGGAAATATGGTTGTTGGAAAAATACTTTCCTCCTTCTTTATAAACTGGAATGAGTGATTTAACCATTCTAAGGGGATTATTTCTGATTCCCTTACAACACCCAGTAAATTCGATACTCTACTAAGGAATTTTCTACCCCTGTGCTTAAAAACTTAGGGTGGCGAAACGTCAGATCATGATGCTTTGCATTGTTTCAGCTTTGAAACAGCTTTCTCAATCTTAAGAAGAGTTGGACGACGGACGTTTACGTCAAATTCAGTTTCATACTGAGTAACTAAAGCTTTGCTAGGCGGGGGCAGTGGAACTGTACTTCAAAGTGTTCTACCCCACGTACTAGCTATCTGTCGTGGTAGGTTATCAACATCCTATCCTTTTCGGTGATGGTTTCACTCATCATCGTCTTTTCGTTGCCGGTATCCTCAATAAGCCAAACGTTGGTTGATGTCTTCTCAATCTCTCTAGCTCGCTTTCGTCACCCACCACTGCTTACAGTCATTGTCAAGACTCTTTGCCAACTTATGTTTGAGTTGCTTTCGCTCGTCATTGTGTTCAAAGTCAGTTGGAATGAGCCTTCTCGCATTGGTTAGTTCTAATGAAGCTGCAAAAATCTAGACTTTTGGAGATAGGTTACGAACTTTCTACGCAGTTAATTCCCATTCATATCACAGGAAGCAGTAACAACATAGGTGTTCAGATATTTTGTTACATATACAGTTCCTGGATGTAGACTATAGAATTCATTATTGTAAAAGATGCTAGCTAATTCTTGAACTGTACACACAAAAAAGTAGAAATTAACATAAGTATCAAAGCAGATATTTACCTATGCATGCCCATTGACTTTCTTTTCTTTGGTCGAGGAGGAAGACCACCTGTTGTACTGCCTGCATCCTCTCCCGTATCAAAATCAACTTTATTCGATCGATTTGATTTTTTGAATTCGATGTACACGCCACTCTTTTAGTAGTAGTTCCTGTTTCAGAATTAACTTCACCAAGTGGAATCATACCAGGTGTTGTTGATCCAGGCCAAGATTTTTCGCCTACGGTTGGATTGACTTGATCAGACTTTCGAATACGTCCAGTTCCAGTACGCCTGTTTTTGAAATCAAAGGAAAAAAAGTATGAGCAATATATTTAAGAAATTCTGGAGAAATTTCCAATCAATTTGAACAATTTACTTTCAGTTCACCTCCACTTTCCTCTTCTGCATATTTGTTGGACGATAGGTTCTTGGTCGGTTAGTTCGTTGCCAGACCACAGTGAGTTCCTTGTTGCTTATTCTTATTATTCTGGTCATCTGATCTGATCTTCAGAATCGAGTGAGCGAGCGTAGGTGGCATCTTTTGATGATGTATGTCTGCAGTTTGTTTGAAATGATTTTCGCAAGGCGCCAAGTCTCTCAACCACCACATAGAAGCACTGATATACTTGACTGACTTAGTGTTGAAAATCCGGATATTGTTCACGCTTTGTGCTGGGTAGAGTGCAGTAGATCTCCACATTGGTTTCAGATGGATGCCGGAAGGCCTGTCTTGCTTTCTTTCCGATGCTGGCTTTGACATCTTCATCTGTGCTTGTGGCGCCTATAGTTGAAACGATGCTGTCTAGGTAGGTGGGTGAAAAAGACAGCTTTTTTTAGATTTCTCCCGTTGATGGTTGTTGTTGTTTGGGTATCTTCATCACCTCTGTCTTCTTTACGTTCTGTCTTAGCTGTCCTACCTCGCCTCTTCTGCCAACTTGTTAGTTTTCGCTTATAGATCTAGTTTGTGCGACGAGACATGAGGAATAAATCATCATCGTTGGCGAAATCCAAATCTTCTTCTGGGGTCTTTTCATCGGTCCAGCCAGCGTATGCCCATCTTCTCACAGTTTGTTGCATGATCCAGTTCAGTCCAGTCGGCCACAATCAGGAAGATGACCGGTGATAGTAGGCGGCAACCTTGTCTTACTCCTGTCCCGTCTTTACTTCAACGGCGTCACTGTGACTATGAGATGATGTAGAATATGTTTGTAGCTTAGGAGTATGATTTTGATATTGTTGTATTCCCTGAGCTGGGTAGTTTACTCGTGTGCATAACAGAAAGTAAAGAGATTTTGTAAGCTTGTAAGCTACAATGATTCCAAAAGGCTTCAGTCGTCTAATGGTATATATATATATATATATATATATATATATATATATATATATATATATATCATATTGATCTAATGGCTCAGGACCTAATCAGTAACGTTACATTCTATAGAAGGTAGGTTGATGATATCACTGTAATATGTGACACAGATGAGGATGCCGTGCGTTCGTTAAAAAGGTTTAGTAGTGTACAAGACCATATCAGTCTGACATGTGAGGAAGAAAAAGACCAGCAACTTGCATTTCTTGATATACTCTTGTGTTGCAGGGAAGATGAATCTCTATCAGACGATCAATCTATAGAAAGCCTACTTGAACAGGACAGTACTTGAGTTTCTACAGCTTTTGTCCATTGAAATATAAAAGAGGAATAAACAGGGGCGCATATTAAAATTTGCTGAAGCGTTAGTCATTCCTAAACTTAAGCGCCCGGTGTACGTACAAAAACAATTTGTTTCCCTTAATGTATCTTAGTGATCCTTATGTGATTACATTACCAGGGAGTGTGTCATAACCTTTTCATATTCATTATGTTTGACCTTTCATTTTTTTTATATAAATTGACCTGACAAGTAAATCTATGGGGGATCAGACTGTTCGAAATGTATTGCGTAAATACATCACACACACACACACACACACACACACACACACACACACACACACACACACACACACACACTATTCAGATAGTCATCGTCTTCGAATAACGCTACCGAAATTTTATTCTTGTATTACAGCGTGTTTTCGCTCTTTTAAACAATCTTTTGAATACAACTGATTTTATGCGCTGTTGAACTGTTCCTACCGTAGTTGAGGATTTGATCCATACGAGTTGATTTTCTGTATTATTTCAGTTTCCCAACCCCCCCCCCCCTTGAAATCTGTTCTAGTTATCAGAATATCTAAAAATGCAAGTTTGTCATTTGATTCCTCTTCAAATTGTGAATTTTGATGTCGTCGAAAATATTGATGGTTAATTTGTCAGATCTAATACACTCAACTCAGCAAAAAGCGTGAACAATATCCGGATTTTCAACACTAAGTCAGTCAAGTATATCAGTGCTTCTATGTGGTGGTTGAGAGACTTGGCGCCTTGCGAAAATCATTTCAAACAAACTGCAGACATACATCATCAAAAGATGCCACCTACGCTCGCTCACTCGATTCTGAAGATCAGATCAGATGACCAGAATAATAAGAAAAAGCAACAAGGAACTCACTGTGGTCTGGCAACGAACTAACCGACCAAGAACCTATCGTCCAACAAATATGCAGAAGAGGAAAGTGGAGATAGATAGGATTGGATTGGACATGTACTACTGAGAAAATCGTTAGGGAACATGACACGCCAGACCAGGCCGTCAGGTGTAACCGGAATGGGAAACAACGAGTTGGGCATCCCGGGTGTGGGTGACATGGAGGAGATGGTGTGAGGAAGAAATGAAAGCTTATGGGGAGTCGTGGAGCGAGGTTGAAAAGATTGGAGAGAAGAGAAGAGAGTGAAATGGCGACGTGCTACTGAAGCCCTATGTTCCACTAGGAATCCAAGGGATAAATAGTAATAATTTGTCTGAAGAAAACTATTTAATGATTGCTTTCCAGGAGAACGATTATCCACGCAACTTAATTTAAAGACGTTTGCCTAATTCATCCTACCCTACCCTACACGAAGAACGTCTTTGAGATCACGGCTAGATTATCGAAGCCTCTTGGGATTGCTGTAGCTCACAAGCCCACAAAATCTTTTCACCCTCTGTTATGTAGGTAAAGAAAGACAAACCAGACATTATCTACAAAATAAACTGCAGAAACTGAGAAAAACATTACATCAGACATCGACCACCATCTTCGCAATTGTCTACATGAAAATCAAATAGAAGTGAAGCGTCATGACACATCTTCGCTCATATCAACGCGCATAGACAACTGCGATTATTAAGTCGATTAGAAAAATGTGGAAATCCGAGCTGGATAGAGGAAATGCCAGAGAAATCTTAGAAGCTTGGTATTCAAGTCAGTCAGTAATCAACAGACATATTGACATTGACCCAATCTAGCAACCAATAAGAAACAACAAGGTCAAAGTGCAGGTTATCAGGACAGCTAATCGGAATGAATCATACACAAGGTCATCAGGAGAAGCTATTAAGCCACTTGTGGAGAAAACCCCCTATAGCTCACTTCTTTCTGAAGTTTGTGGTGATGATGGTGTCTAGAATGACGACGAAAGCTCCACGATTAAACCATCCATCCAGCTCAGAGAACATAACACCATCAAAACTCTCATACATGTAGAAGAAATGTAAGGCATGAAATATATGATGAATGGAGAACATAGAAATGTAGTGCAGATAACAGTGAATTCAATACAACGATTGTAAAGTATCAGATTACGATTATTGAAGGATAGTGGCCAACAGTGCAATGGACGATGTGTACTTCGTTCTACTAAGGATTCGTCAGCTGAAGAGCGAGACTCGAAACAAGGGCTTATCGTCTCAATCACAAGTGTTATACACTAGGTGAATGAGTCACAACAGCTACTCCTTGTGAGATGAGTGTAGTATAGTTTTTATGATACCAACTTGTAAGTCTTCGATGTTGATTGAACTGAATTGATCGACCACTAATTAGCTGTTGTACAGATGCTTTGATGCTTCCAGTACTTTTCAGTTTAGATATTCCTGATGAATAGTAGATCTTTTAGCTCTAATCAACGACGGAAACTTACAAGTTATGGTATAAAAATGATCAGATTGTCACTATTTTTAAATGACTTTGATGAACGGAAAGCAAACCTGATTGATAATGATCGAAATCGAAATGTAATCAGCAATCTTGTGCACATCCGTGCAATATGCAATGAGCCACACCTAGTGTGTGCATGGGGAGGTGATACTACCTGACTTCTCAAACCACGTTAGGTGGAGCGGGACTCAAACTCATGAAAACCATCTCCCTAAACCAATAAGTCACAACTCCACACTAATAATGATACAACCTGTATTATGTCTAAATAACACCGCCGCCCTCCCCCTCTCACCCACTGACAGACAATGTATGAATGCATACACTTTTATTTGAGGCTACACTTAACATAAGTGATGTAATTATAGTTGACCTCATCATGCGTTAAAGTTCAAATTTCCGAACTGATTGACTGAAATTACCAAATTTCGTCAGCTAAACATCAAACGATGAAGACTATCGAACTTAAATATCACCAAAAAACTTGAGATTATACACTCAACTATAAAATGAAGCGTAGGCGGGAAGGGGAGGGAGTTAAAACCACTTCACTTGATTAATGCCAATAACACTTACTTTTTAGGAGTTGCTTTTTGTCCTAAAGTATCTTTGACAGCTTTTTTATAGATTTCAGAAGCCATATAGCCTTTGACATAGTCTTTGTTACGTAGTTCACCGGGTAAAAATTCAGCTACTGGTCGACCACTAACACCACGTGGACGTACAACAGTCATAACAATCGATCGACCTTGACGTAAAGAACGTCCTAAGTGTAATTGATAATTTGATAATCCATTTGTAGTTGGTAAACCTAATTGACAAGCACCATTCGGTGTAAGAAGTACTTGTTGTTGATGTAAACGACCCATTGAATCAACAAAAAAGGTTGTTTGTAATTGATTAGCACTTTGACATAATAATTGTAAATCTGGTAAATGTGTACCTAACAAATCATCTGCAGCGTCAAATAATGCGCATTCATCTATATTGGTATAGAAGAGGAACGAAGAAAAAGGGGAGAGAAAAAATGTTTTCTAAGTTTAAATATCAGAAACCTACAAACAATTTAGAAATTTTAGGTTGGAATTCATTATGGACTAACATCATTTGGAGAAACACTGGAAGACTGGGAGCACTGGACAACATCTGTTTCGTCCTCGTATGAGACTCCTCAGCAGTGAGCACCCATGACTCTTAATGGTCATAACTTCTCACTGGGATTTCGTGAACCACCCCTCTCGAAGGTAGTCGTCAACCAGTGAGATACAATAAACCAAGAGTGATAGTGAAGTAATTGAACTTTTGGCCAATCAATACCTGGAAATCTTACAACCATCGACCGCTTTCGTAAGCATACATGGTTATACTATAGGAGGAGTAGAATTTTAAGTGGCTGGTTTTACTGTTCAGCTATTTCAAGCTGTTGACTTTGCAAACAAACTTCCCATCTGTTTGAAAAAACCACATCGTCATATCATCGACGTTAATGATCCAAGCTTCACGGACTTTAAAGGCCACCCAAGCAACGATTGAAACAACCAATTAGGCTTTTTCATTTCGGCTAGGAAGGGAAATTTTCACAAAATAGAAACGTCTAATTGGTCATTCCAGGTGTTGCTAGGGTGGCGTTTGAAGTCACTTGAGTTTCACACAATATACATGGTGTATCGAAACTGCGCTTAAAACTATATACTGAGATCAATAACCGAAGCTCATGAAAATTTAAAGCAACCCGATAAGTTTAAACCTTGACACTCTGGGTCATTTTCTTGAGGTATTCATACATATCACAGGAATTCATTTGACCAGCGTGATGTGTTTATTCTACTCGCTACTCGTATACTTAGGATTCGAAAGGTCAGTTCTTGTAGTATTATAGGACTGCTTATTTTATCATAGAATGAAGAGTTCTAATAGGCTGGTGTAAAGTGTGTCCCAAGATTATGACTCGGCGTGGCTAATGGTTAGACTGACTGAGGTATTAAGAAGGGTTTGGACTCAGACACGATAGTTTGTCATCGGTTTTAATTGCTAACTGTCCAAGCCATCAAGAAATCCAAGGGTGGGCATACTACTCTTTAATTTCCAGTTTGAAACATTTTCTGAAATGTTAAACTTCCTGACTGAAGTTCGTCAGATGACAGAGACTGATGGTTTGAGACTGTGTGATAGGACTCAGAATCCATCGCAGAGTACACAAGTGGATTCATGATTTGTTTTCATTATGATTTGCACCTTCTTATTCATTTTGTCCAGTTACGTTTCATGGCTTCCCAAAAGTATCGTTCTCTTTTCTCTGTCATCCTTCTTGTACATATAAGGTGATGAAATGTGTGGCAGCTTGCAGAGTTACACGGTGATGCAAGTTCCTATGTTTATACTTGCTTGTCTGTCTATACAGCCAGAAAAGTGTTGTATATGAATATTGTACGATCCAACTTATTCACTTTAGCGATCAACCTGATACTTGATTTAATCCAACAAGCTCTTAAGATAAAACGACAAAAAGAAGGCTATGTAGCTGCTAATTAAACAGTCGAATGATGCAATTAAAGCAAATAACGAAGGAACGAAATGCACTCATCCACCTTAGGTACATTCATCCTGTAGGCAATGAACCAGAAAGGTAGTTGAGAGTCATCTCTCTACACTATTGAGCTACACAGCTCTACAATTAAAACAGATATAGGACAATGTACAGTAAATCTAAACAAAGACATTGAAACTAACTTGCAGCACGTGCAGTTGCTTCTTTCTCCTCTTCATCTTCATCATGTGCATCATCAGATTCGAAATCGCATACAGACAGTTTAGTGCTCAAATGAATTGAATCAGAACTTTTTTGTTGTGTAGCACCAGCAGCAGGAATAGCACTAATATTAATAGTACAATCAGTTGAATTGACCAACTCATTATTAGTTATTCCTGAAGTTCCAGTTAAAGTATGATTGTCATTAGAATATTCACCTGATTTAACAAGTCCATTTGTAGTAACACCTGAAGTAGTTTTTATTGTTTCAGTAGTAGTACTACTACTATTAATATCAGTAATATGGTTGGTAGTTGAAGTCACTAACTTGTCATTATCAAGAGAATCAACTGCATTCAACAGTTCTGCCCCAGCTACATCGTACAGTTTAGATCGTAGAAATTCGTCAATCGATCGAAAGAGCTAAGAAACAATAATAATAAAAGGTAAATAAGAACAATAATCTTTAGGGAATTTTGGTCTAAATAAACACTAATATGAGTGGAAGTCAGTAAACGTGGTTGAAGTATAGTAGAACAGATTCTTTCCCAACTTTTATGCATAGAATAACATGAAACTTGCCAATGAATAAGTTAATGTCAATAATCATGTGACTTATCAAGGAATATAGAGCAAAAAGGTCAATGCCTAGTGAGAGGAATAAGTCAGTAATTTACTATTTACGGACGATTGACTATTCATTTTAACCAAGTGGAGAAATGTGGATTTGGAGGGGGAAGAAAATTTAGGTTATGTGGCTGTAAAAGAAGGAAATGAAGGATGAGAAGACGAAGTCAAGTATGACGGCTAAAGTGAGGATAACGTCCGTATGCATCTGCACCAGTGACATCGGTTCTGAGCCATATCACATAACTTCTCCAACCACTGGGAGGGTGTGAACACTGCAGGCACCGATAAGTAATTTGGAGCATGGTTTAAGGAGGCCAATGATGTTGTTCTGTGGACTCAGATTGTTGTCGAAAGCTGCAGAGCTAGGAGAAATTAAAGGTGATGTAGGAGGAGGAAGATAAAAAGGTAAGGATGGGAAAGGTGGATAGTGGTTTGAGGGAACTAAAGTACTGACAGAGTTGTGAGCGCGGTTGACACTTACCAGCTTCCCACACCATGAAAGGCTAGGTCTTCTTAAGGTACCTGGAAAAGAAGGGTTAGTGCGTAATCGCAGAGCCCATGCCAGTGATGTACGTCTTTTTGATGCCACAAAAACTGGTCTGTATCACGAAAGGTGCGGTCGGACATACGTCCTATGGTTTTGGATCATCACTAAACATTAGTGACTGATCTAAGCCATCACAATGCATCATTTCACCGTGTAAGAACATGTTGGTCACAATCCAACAGACCTTTCTGGTATGGTAGGACCTCGAGAGAACAAGCGCTTCACCAGCACAGCTCGTTGAGCCATCGTGATATAAAAGCCCAACCACCAAGTGTCAAGGTAGCAGCTATCAACCGGGAAATCATATATTGATATTTTCTGCTTATATGAAGGTTAATACCGTAACCAACGAGCCACATACATTGTAAAGGAACTACTGATATACTAAATGGCCACCTGGACTTAAGAAAACTGGAATGGGCTTCAAACCTCAGGACTGAGTGACCAAAACAAATCAAGTTACAGCTTTACATTAGGTCAAAAAATTACATAATGAATAGACAATGCAGAATAAAAGAATAGAATCTCAACAGAAGGAAGCTGGTGAACAGACGCACAGCAGTTTAAGATTGATTAGTAAAATTAACTTCCTAGTCGTTGCTTAGGCCCTTCTTAGTTTGAAAAGGGTAACACTTTTCCAAAACAGAAGGGAAGCAAATATGTGTAACATCCGGTTTCAGTTATTCTGATTCACGGAAGGTTTTATTGGCAAACATTTCGACATCAAATTAGATACACTGACTAGTGCAAACCTCAAACAAGAGAAGCGCGATAACCCAAATACCGACTACAGTGCATACAAATACATGTGAACATTGATGCATAAACCGACAAACAGAAAGAGAATCAAAGTAGACTAATTTGTATGAGAAAAACAAAAATTTGATGAAAACGGTTAGTGTGAACATTTAAGCCTTAGGAGACATCAGAAAGTGAATAAATCTGCGACATTGTGACCGATTTTCAACTAAGTCACAAAGACTCCTCAACCACTGATTCCTTTCGTCTCAGAGACTCCAACACCCGTGATCAAAACCCTGTACCCGTCCCATGTCTTCTACTTCTAAAGGTCATTTCTCACAGTCGTACAACACAACAGATCGAACTGTAGCACAGTATACTTGTCCTTTGATAGATAGTCAGATATTTCGCCTGTCGGTGCCACAGGTGACGCAAGTTCGCAAATACCAATCGAGACTTCTGTATCTCAGCTAAGATTTCTTCAGCAGCCAGCTGATGCAACTCTTCAAGTAAGTGAAGTAGTAGACACATCCTACCACTTTACTTCCTATCAGTAAATTGGGAGTGGTTGTCGACCAGTCCCGAAGCATCATCTCACATTTGACAGATGTCAGCGAAAACCATGTTAGTCAAACACGCTCAGACTTCTGCTTACAGCCTTCAGAGGACCCTACATTGGGTCAGCGTTTTCATCTAGCTGGAAAATATCGTCTACACACTCCAAGTCAACCACATGACTTCCAGGCGGTAGGTCACTCCATATCTAAGCTTATGTCCATTAATAAGTCTATGATGAAGCTTAATAGGAACAGTGACAGCGGGCATCCCTGCCTGATACTAGTTGTCGTCAATTCACATGAAAACTCTCCATACATCAGCCCTTACACACCTGGGTGAGTTCCAGTAGAGAGCTTAGGTTAGCGTTATGTTTGCTCAGGACTCCCTTTACAGTCCATACACTGCCGCAACATCTCACGGTCGACTGAGTCAAGCGCCGCCTCCAGGTCAACTGGTAAGGCAAAAGTTGGCCATTGGTAGATAAGTATGCCTGTGTTCCAGGCCCCGTCTGAGGGTGAACATATGATCGATAAACCTTCGTCTAGGTTTCAAACCTGGTTGGTTTTCTCGAGCTCCGGTTAGGCATCGGATAATAAAGGAGCCTAGAATTATGGACACAATATTAGTCTAACTAGTTCCTAACTAGTTGTCACAAGAAGATTTTTCCCCCTTCTTATAGACTCAGATGATCAGTGAGGTAGACCACTTTGACAGCACTAGTTCTTTTTCCTATACACTGTCTACTATATTTATCACTCCACTCAGCGATTTCCTACCTCCATCCTTGGAAACTTGAAGTGAAAAGCTTTCAGGTCTCGCTGCTTGCTTTCCGTCATTTCAGGTTCGGTACAGCTTTCTCATTTTCAAGAAGAATTGGACGACTGACATGGACGTCCCATTCAGCCTGAGGCTGAATATTAGGCGACTGAAGCGTTGTCATGGATCACTTGAGCTGTGCATCAGTGTTCTGTCCAATGTACTAGCCGTCTGTCGTGAGAGGTTGTTAGCGTTTCATCGTTTTCGGTGGACTTCACTCACCATCGTCTTCTTGTTGCCGGTATACCTAATAAACCTAGATAGTTGCCGAGTGTTAACGAACGCTGATGCCTTCTCCATCTCTTTCGCTCGCTTTCCCCGCTGACCGCAGTCATTGTGAAGACTTTGTCAACTTACGTTTAGGTTGCTTCCTCTTTTCATTGCGGTCAGAAACAGCCGGCTAGAATCAGTCTTTTCGCGGCAATTAGTTCGGATAACATCGCGGAAATTCGATAATGTTAGTTACCAACTGTCGCTATCGCTGTTTCTACAGCAAACTTAATATTACACTAGGTTTCCTCAGGATGAGTACTGTTGTTACGTTCAGATAAATGTTTCGCTAACTCCTCCCTAAATACGTACTTGGCGTCTTAATCTTCCAGTCGACCATAGACAGGATTTAGCAGTGCTTGCTTTCTGTGACTAGTATTGGGCAGACGTACATTAGTCTGCACCAGTGAGTGATCAGAGTCGAAACAGGTACCCTTGAAAGAGTGACAATCTTTCACTGATCTCTGGATGCATAAAATTCCTTTGTAGACAAATGTGGTATCCAACGAACAAGGTTAATTGAAGATTACCTATTGAAACTTAAACTTTATATGAATCCTGTGCGTCAACCAATGACATCTGTTAAAGCTTTTTTCTCAGTGGTGAACAATTACGACGAATATAGCATCTGAGATGTTAAATATGTACGAAAAAGACTGTGACAAACAGTTAGCGATAATTTGGGGAGCATATTAGCAGCTGTCTATAAGCACTGAATAACTCTAAACATTTATTTGAAAAAAGACTGAATAACTGAATATATATAACCAGTAGTATTAGATAATAACCAAATAAAGGAGGAACAGGTAGGAAGAGGCTTGTCAACCCGTAAATGAACACATTTAGATACTAATGACTGAGAATAGCTATCACCACTCAGTGGCCTAGTGGATAACACTCTGGTGCTTAGAGCGATCAGTTCCGAGTTTGAGTCTCGTTGATAAGCAGGTATACCCAGTTGACGAGTCCCAAATAGGACGAAACGCAAATCCTGCTAGACACTATCCATCCTTACAATTGAAGTGAAGTCATGGGCAATACCGATGGATACACGCAGGAGCCCATGTGCCAATAGAGATTGATCAACGACGGGAATATACTAAGTTTATAATGTACAAAAGAGAAAGGTCACAACAGATATAGTCATAGATTTACTGATGAGTAAATTTTCTTTGAACATGCCATCAAGAAGAACAAAAAAGTAGGCTAACCACCTTGCTTAAAACCTCAAAAAGTATACCAAAAATTGTAATGATAGGGCCTCCTCTGGGATGATAAGTGAAAACAGCAGTCAAGTTTTAACTCAAGCAAAAGACTTTATAATTCTACCTACCAATAAATCTTTATATTTGCTTAAAGCTTCACTAACTAATAGATTACGCTCCCTTATAAGCTGAATCATGCTTCCAATCAATGCCATACGTTCCTCTCGATTCTTCACGAAAGGAAAACGATCAGCAAAATCTGTTTCCCACTTTGAACGTATCTAAAAATGAGGAGAGAGAGAGAGAGAGAGAGAATAGTGGTAATGATGAAGATAATTATGTAAATCAGAAACGATATAGGTGTTCATTTAATAGACTAAAAACTTGGATAATTCACGAAAGAGTAGATTTACAGAGTAAAATAGCCAACTTCATCGACAGATTGATGAAGTGGCCATTGGACCTGTCTTGACTGATATCTTCATGGGTTATATCTTTGTAACAGATGTGGCTGAGTTCGGTCATCAGACGAACAACTTATTTTAGCAGGTACGTTCACGACACCTTTTAAAAACATGCGAGTCATTTGTTTGACAAGGTCAATGAGGCTCATCCTAAGATTTAATTTACGATGGAATATAAGCTTGAAAGTGAATTCGGGGTTTTTGACCTCAACGAAAGAAGAAAAAATTGATGATACGACTTAAAAGAAACCATCCATAGAAAAGACAGATGGACTGGAAAAAATACCTTAACAGTTTCTGTCCTGGTAGCTATAAGCGTAGGCTGGTCAAAACGCTTTACAACACAGCTAGAAACGTATATTCTGCGGGTAAGGTTAGAGAAAGAACTAAACTTGTTATGAAAGTGCTTTTGATAGAGAATGGATATCCATCCCAAGAGGTTTACCATAAAGTATCGAAAAGAACAGGTCGAGAGAAAATAGAACGTTTTTTATTCACATTAGTTCAACTGGAAGAGCACTGGATCAATAACAAGTAGGAGGTATATTCATCTTGACGACTGGCAGTGGGATCTAGGATACGCGTTCCGTCCTGTTCTGGAGGCGTCAGCTAGATGGGTGAGTGATATTATTCCCACTGAGACTCGAACCCAGTGCCCACCACTTAAAGAGGTGGCTATCATATCCCAGTGGATAACGCTTCGGCGTTCGAAGCGACGGGTACTGAGTTCGAGCCTCGGCGGGAACAACATCACTCACTGGGGTGCAGGTACACCCGCTAGCTGATGAGTCTGAAATAGGACAAAACGCGCGTCTTGGATTCCACTGCCAGACGCCAAGATGAATACAACATCATGAATATACAGTAGTATCAAGGCATCCATACAGGTCAAGCAATTCGGCCCTGTATTGGCAACGGGTAATCACAAGTACCATAACAAGTAAGCGGCAAGTTTGGAAATAACAGCTAGGTACTTTGATAAAATCCATGTATGCTATGAAAGTACGTGGTCTGGAAAAACTCCTTCGTGAGTGACATTTGCATTCTGATGTAAGGACATTAAGTTATTCAACAGATAGTCTTTATATACGCCCTTACACAACTATTTTGTATCATTTAGCTTATTAAAACAAGGCGTCATCTAGGCAGTAAATGTACTGATTTGAATTTAATCTCCTTCTAAACGTCCAATGACTTTTCAGTCAACTTGTACAGCCTTTCCCACCTACCAAACTATTTAAAAGAAGCACCAGTACACAATTATGTGAACCAATCGTTTAATGAATCGCTTGAGAGAACTACGTTCCAAAGTAGTAACAAGATGACGTCGTCTATAGTCGCCGGTTAAGTTACTGGTGAATAACACCTCTCTCTTTCTCTCAAAACCCATATGTAAGTTTATGCACTAGACGATGAGTTACACACCTATTGTACATGGGCTAATAATATCACCTAGTTGTCTAGTTCTTTGTAGATGAGGCTGAGTTCGAACCCGCTAATATCCATTGGTTGAAATTCGCCTACTTAGACCAATGAATCACAATTCCACTACTGATGTATACATATACTTATTAATGGCTTTCTGCCTTGATATATATATATATATATATATATATATATATATATATATATATATATGCTATTGATATATAGTAATGAGAGGACAAAACTAGACAAGAAACAATTAGAAGTACTCACAATTGGTTCTATCATTGATCTAGCTTCTTGAATAATACGAACAGTGAAATCAGTTAGCATCTCTTCAAAGTATATCCCATTGATATATTTAAGTTTTGGACAGAAGTAAGCTAACATTTGTGGATTTAATAACTAAAGTAGAAAAATAACTAAGATGAGGACAATATAAATAAATTAATGTATCATGTATGCTGCTAGTTCAACTCCCAAAAGAATTAGTTTCTTTTTAATAAGGTTTGGAAAACGTAACTGGTCAATACAAAATATCGCTTCTATCTAATGACCTGGCTTGATTACAAAATACTTAGGAATGTGTGTATTACAACTTGGATAGTGATTTTTATCTGTATTCAGATTAACCTATGGGTAGTAATAATTTCGTCTGGATACCATAACTACTTCATCAACAAAGATTCAGTAATCAATCCACGTCTCTCTCCACCTAATTATACTGTTGCACTTAAGTAGAGTGGTTTTATCTCATCCATTCTATTGTGTGGTTGTGTGTTAATCCATGCATTGCAATAGCCGAGTCTCCTTCTAGATTACTGATCTTATTCTGGTCTGTCATTCTATATTTAGCTAATCTAACACCCCGACTAGCTAGTTTGATTTATGTACTTGACCTGACTCGCAATCATTGCATGGAATTCGGTTGATTGGATTAGCTCGCTCAATTGGTTCAATCGGATCCTTAAGCCAGCCAACAAAGCTTACCTCTGAGTAGGTTTGTCGGTCTAAATATTGCCCTAATTCCAGCATTGTTGAGGATCCTACGTAAAGTTTCGTATGTTCCTTATAGGGATAGGGTAACACAATGGAGGCCGTGAACTCCTTTCTACTCATGTTGTCGTTATTATTTCATTTCTTGTATTCATACGGAATTCTTGATAAACTGTAGAGGACAATTATTAATTTTTAGTGTCTCTTGTATGTGTTTCACCTCCTTGTTTAGTTGCTTACTCTAGCTAGTTAGTTTTCTAGTTCTGTGATTTAAACATCTAACTAAACCTGACTTAACAGACATCGGATGAGATGACTTGAAGTCTAGTTATTAATTATCCTCCACAGTTTATAAACAAATTTGTACGAACACACAAGAAACGAAAAGATAACAGTAACACGAGTACGAATAATAACGACAACACGAGTAGAAAGTAGTTCACAGCCACCATTGTGTTACCCTATCCCTATAAGGAACATACGAAACTTAACTTAGGATCCTAAACAATGCTGGAATTAGGGAGACATCTAGACCGACAAACCTATTCAGAGGTAAGCATTGATGGCTGGCTTAAGGATCCTATAAAATCGATTGGGTAAACTAATCCAATCTATCAAATTCCTTGTAATGAGTACCAGGTCAAGTATATAAATCAAACTAGCCGGTTGAGGTCAGCTAGAATAGTCGAACATAGGAATGTAGCTGAATATAGAATGACAAACCCGAATAAGATCAATAATCTAGAAGGAGACTCGGCTATTGCAATGCATGGATTAACACACAACCACACAATAGTATGGATGAGATAAAACCACTCTACTTAGGTGCAACAATATAATTAAGTGGAGAGAGACGTGGATTGACTACTGGATCTTTGTTCGTTCATCAAACCAACACCCAGCCAGCCCATTAAGAGGAATGATGTAACACCTACCCATACCACAGATATGGAAAACTTTACTGTCAATGAAAGCAAAGAATACGAAGTTGGTGGTAGGACTATAAATGTCAGATGTTGAAAGTAGTATGATTACATTGATGTGATTATGAGGAATAATTTATGCTTGAAACGTTGTCATCACGTAAATAATACTAGATCACTTTGTGTTATAAATCAAATAAACAAATCTGATATGGAACTAAATTCCACCACAGTGCCCAAGTTTTACACTTAAGCCAATGAGCCATTGTGTGGTTGTTCACTTAATTTTCTATATGAGTGGAAGCGATACGGATCAAGAGGTAAATACTCGAACATTAATCACTTGCAACTGAATCCTTGAGTGAGTATTACTGTGATACGAGATAGTGCTGCTGTTGTTCGGATTGGCTCAGTGACAACGCTAATTCAGTTGGTTAGCAGTTCTTCGCTGAGTTGAAAACCGATTCATGTAAAGATCTACATGTTTGAATGTTCATTGTGTGACAGATGCTCAGTTTAGGTATTTAAAGCAGCACTAGGACACTTTGAGTCATCTGCTTTACTCAATCCCTTTCGAATGTCTACAGATGTATGTATTTCTCAACGTCGAAATTCATTCGAAAACAATGTTAACTGACAATATCTCTTTGGCCCACAATCACAAAATACATCATATTAAATACTAAATTCATATGAACTGATGAATGGAACACCGGGAACCATTATAAGCTGATTGAGTAACATGGTACTGTACTCATTCAGAGATAATGTCAGAAGGGTTCCCCCTGTGACCCAGATGTAAACATTTACGTTGATATAAAGCAATCCGCATGAAATCAGTTAGTAAACCTTTTTCGGTTATGACATGCAAATATGCAGCAGAATATACTGGAGAATAAAAACCCTAGAAAAAGTAATTACATACTAAAGTAGGAACATAGACACAGAAAGACAAAAACAACGTACAACCTAGCACACAGGTGCATCGACTCTGGTTCCCACATTTCACAGTAGTATACAAACAACAAGTGGATAGAAAAAGGAGTGATATCAAAGCAGACAAAGTTGTGTGAAGTAATAAACAGTTTGAAGATAAAAGTTAGATGTCAAGGAGTGAATACATCTATACCATTGTGACTAACTGATTTTCAGGCATGTCATCAAGAGTCCTTAACCACTGATTCTGATCGCCTTGGGGATACCAACCAGGTAGTTTACATCTCCCTACACTTCTCAGACCAACAGTTAGGGACTTCATCGCTTGTTGCCACGTCATAATCTGGCCACCTTGAACCCTCTTCCGACTCAATCCAACTCCCCCTAGCATAGCACGTTGAGGTAGGTGATGGCTCACTCGGTATGCACGGTACACGTCCAAGACATCTCAATCACCGAAGGTTCGCAACATCATTGATGGACCTGCTCTCCTTCCCTAGGACCCTTTTACCTGACCTCAACATTGTTCACACGGTGGTATAATTCCACCAAACGCGAACAATGCTACTGTAATCAAAATCCTGTTACAGCTTCATATCGTCTACTTTCAAAGGTCATGTCTCACAACCGTGAAGATGGTTAGCTGATCATTCTAGTGTGAAATTAAACACCGGTAAGATCCTTCATTGAATTATTGCTAATTTCATTGGTAGTGTATTATGTATGTGTGTGAGAGAGAATCAGTTGTACAAGTGAGGGAATTGAATTAAGAAATTAACAGTGGGTTACACAGGAGGAGAATGTCAATAAAGATTGACAAATGTCTAAATAATATAGATTTGTGCAGCTTAAGATGTGAATGATGACTGTTTGATGTATCCTGTATGCTAAAGATTTGAAAATATTCATGATAAGTGGTCTTTGACGGTACACCGCCTGATAATGGAAAGTGAAGTGGTTGAGCGCGTTGAACACTTCACTTACTAAATGGGAAGTTGGATCAGCCCTTCCCTGGTGGCTCAGTAGCCGATGAAATCCCTGTATGGCTTTTGCCAACTTACGCCATTTATGGCGCCGCCACAAAACCCGATTGTCTATTAAGGGTAGAGTGTACTGTGATGCAGTCCGCTCTATTCTACTCTATGGCTGTGAAACATGACCATTAAAAGTAGGTGTGAGAAGGCTTCAGGTGTTTGACCACCATCGCCTTCATAGCATAGGCTATATACCGTGGTGTCACCCCGAGAGTAACGCAGGAGTCAGGTGTAGAGTTTTAGAGAGAAGAGGTAAGTCAGTTGACGAGGTTATGAACCTTCATTGACTGAGATGGTTGGGACATGTGTTACATATGCCTCGTCACATAATGTTGGTCGAAGTAGGTTCAAGCCGGAAAAAGGCTCGGGGTGGCCAGACTAAAACATGGGATCAATGTATCAAGTCTTTGACCATTGTTTTGAGCCATGTGGGGCGATGCAGACTAGCCGGTTGGGGTCCGCGGGACAAGAGAAAGCAGTGGTTGGAGACTGGGTGATATGGCTGAGAACCGATGTCAGTGGCACAGACGCACACACACACACACACATATTATCCTCATCATAACCGCCAAACTTAACCTCATTATTTTCTCATTCTTCTTTCCTCTCTTAAACCACTTTATACTTCTACTTCCTTTGACCGGTTTTTCTTTTCTTCTTCATCTTCCATGTTGTGTCCTTGTTACTTGATTTGTTGATATGAGGTGATGAGGTGCGGGAACTTGTACCGTTAGGAAGTAATGCATGGTCCTTTGTTGATCAGGTGATCTTTAAACTTGCCTCACCTTTTTACAAAGCTACTGATTATCATATCACAAGAATTGATTCTCGTGTCTCATTGGCCTAGCAGATAACGCTTTATGTGTTTGGAACGATAACCACTGAGTTTGAGTCCCGACAGGGACTACGTCATTCACTGGGTGCAGATACATTCAGCGGACGAGTTCATAATAGGATGAAACGCGTGGTGAAAACAAGAATGACATGATCATCTGTCTAAGCAATCAGTTAAAAGTGAAATAATCTTACACACAATATAAAATGTTAAAAATATTGCACAGCAGACACATACTTGTTTCAACTTTTCGTCTAAATTCAATCGAGTTAGTTTAGGGAATTGTTCAACTAGCGGTAAGTGTATAAATCTATTCCCTGTAATACTAAGTTTTGTTAATTGGGGTAAATGTAAACGTCTAGGAAATACACGTAAAGCATTCTCTGATAAATCCAATTCACATAGGTTGATACATTTTGCCAAATGACTAGCATTTATACTTGTATATCCAGAAGCGGGTACAGATAGAACACGAACACGATCTAAATTTTTTGCTTTGGTCAAATAAAGCATTTCTTCTTCATCCAAAGGTCGATCATCTTCTTCCACAGATAAACTTAGCGGGCAGTTGGCTTTAAACACAAAAATTAAAAAGGATGCAAGTTTACGCATGCATTGAACAGGATTTGCATAGAATAGTTATAAAAAGTATATTGTGTTACTTAAACCTAAAAGAAAAATAAATACCAATCCGTTGTGTCAAACAACCATGGTAGAGGTTTAAATCGAACAGATTTCGGTCAAATATTATGCTCCTGAGTGGATATAATACGCATGCTTAACTATCAGCTAACTCGTACACCAGATACCTCCGACTCCAAACCCTGGAATAAAATAGGAAAGACTGGTCAAGATGGGAGAATTTATTGTCCCCGAGAAGACTCGTCAGATAACCCGAAACAAGCATATATATATATATATATATATATATATATATATATATATATATATATATATATATAGGGGGAATGAACTACTGGCTATGGAGTAAAAATGGCGCGAAAAAGATGGTTTAAAAATGTTCAGATAGACAGATTAACTTTACCAACATGTAATTATTATGTGATGAAGATCATAAATGGTATGAAGTTATTATTGTTATAGGTCAAAAGTAGTATCAGAAAGTGAAACGAATTATCATATGTAGGTAATTTACTTATAGTCTAAACTTACCCAATTCACTATCAGTCCTGGGATCTACAATGGTGAATTGTGCGCGACCCAGCTCTTCTAGTTGGCTATCTGATAGTTGGGCAATAGCTTGGCTGCCACCCAAAAGTTGGACAAGTTCATTACTGTCTAGTCCTGAATGACCTAGCTCATCATCGAATCCCAGCACTCCACCAGCACCACCACCACTACACAGACCTGAATTCCCACTCATTGAATCCACATAATACGGCACACCGGAAGAAGAAACGCCACCATAGCCAGCTAGTCCACCAAACATGTCAACACCAGCTGCTCCCAAAGAATCACCATCTGGATAGGAGTCACCTTGTAAACGGATTTGTACAACTTCATTGGATGACCCTAGAGAACTGCCACCAAGCCCGTATTTGATGCCAAGTCCACGTGTTGACCTAAAATGACAATATTTATTTAAAATCACATTAAAACTACACTGAATAGTTGCATATAACCTGCTGAAATATCTGTCACTAATCAACTGCTATTGAATATTCAACATAAAGTCTTTATACATATAAGGAAATTAAACCCTTAACACAAACAGCAAGTCATTATGAGTCAACATCGAATATAAAAATGTTACTCTAAGCTTAGCCCTTGTAAGATCAATACAACATACAACGTAATTCAATCCAATGCAGCTTTATATGCTGGGTTACGAGCTATTTTTAATGTGAAAAAATTGTAATTCTTATCCCAGTTGTTGCCCAAGTCGAAGTGAACGGAACGAAGTCTGAATCTATGACCATTCTATTGGAAAATCGAATCAGTCAACAGTACATTTCATTTGAAACACCCTAGTAATCCGAGTCCCAACCGATAGCTGCTATCTTGACGTCGTGTTCGGGGTTGCATATCACAATGACCCAATGAGCTACACTAGCGGGAACGCTCGTTCCTTCGAGGTCCTACCATCCCATGAAGGTCTGCTAGACACTAGTAAGACGAAAAGCAGTTATCGTTGTAGTGGAAATAACTACAGTATAATGGGGGTCTGAGGGCGCAGTCGTACGGCTGCTAGCTAGCTAGGGTGACAACAGTAAGGTGTTTCGCTTGGATGACTAGCAGAGCCATGCTGATGCTGCCTTCTCGATGGAACCGAGGAGGTTAGAAAAACTCGGGACCAAAATAACACACTCCACCCTCCTCTACGATCTTCCGGTGCAGGTAGTATCAAACCAATCGAACCTCGAAACATCCCCCAAAAACGCAGTGCGTGTGACTGGCCTCAAGCAAATGTCCCATGGGCTCTGCGGACACACATTTTTTCTCATTCAGGTAACTTACGAAATATCCCACAACGGTGTGGGCAGCCCGGAAGTGTCAACTGCCCACACACTTCCACTAACACAAAATACAATCCAACATAACCCATCCTGATAAACTTAGTCTCCTCCTTTGAATCTGGTGAAAGTCTTCGGGAAGCCAATTGACCGACGTATCTTCTCTCTCTCGATGAAAACTAAAGTAAACGTGGGGACATGGAATGTCCGCACTATGTTTGAACCTAGCAAGGTTGCTCAGATTGCGAAGGAGATGAGAAGGTACAGAGTTGAAGTGCTAGGAATCTGCGAAAACAGATGGAATGGAAGTGGACTCTCCAAATTGTCGACTGGAGAGTCAATAATCTACTCCGATGTTGTCACCCAGACGACAACCACGAGCACACGAATGCAGTGGCCATCTTGATGTCCCCAAGTACATCGAAGGCTCTCATACAGTGGGAACCAGTCTCCTCCAGAATCATCACAGCAAGGTTCTCAACTCAAAAGGAAGGAAAGTCACAATCATTCAATGCTACGCACCTACAAATAATTCAGATGAAGAGAAGAAGGAGGAATTCTACAGACAACTGCAATCAGCACTGGACAAGACATCAGTCGGCGACATCGAAATTCTAATGGGCGACATCAATGCCAAACTCGGAGTGGACAACACAGGAAGAGAACTCATATGTCATGGGTCGAGAAGCGCTCGGTCAGGTGATGAACGAGAATGGAGAATTGTTTGCAGAATTCTGCGCATTCAACGATTTGGTGATTGGAGGCACTGTGTTCGAGCACAAGGATATCCACACAGCGATATGCATTTCATCAGATGGACACACTGAAAATCAGATCGACTTCATCCCAATCTCAAGAAAGTGGAGACGCAGCCTACTTGACACAAGGTCAAGAAGGGGAGCAGATGTGGGCTCAGACCACTATCTAGTGTAAGGAACCTTCCAAATCAAGTTGAAAGCCTTCAAGGAAGTGGTGATAGACCACAGTTCAAGTTCAACACCCACAACAGAAACTGAAGGACGAAACTACGAGTGACATCTTCACGTCAGCCATCAGGAAAAAACGGAAGACATTGAGCGACATCCCTGATGAAACCTGTGTGGATGAACACTGAACACTCTTTGAAAGAGATGGGGAAAGAAACCCGCATGACCGTATTAGGAAGGAAGAAGAAAGAAGATAAGGAATGGATCTCGACGGACACATGGAAGCTGATAGAGCAGGGAGAGGAGGATGGCGAAGCCGAAAATTAACCAGTGCAAGGATGAACGACGAGAAGAGGAACTGAGTACAACGTATAAAACACTACACTGGACAAAGAAGTGAAGAAGAGTGCGCGCAAAGACAAAAGACACTTCCACGATACACTGGCAAGTGAAGCAGAACAGGCTGCTGGTAGGAAAGACGGAGACCTAACAACATTATATCAAATAACCAGGCTACTATCTGGGAAGAGATCAACACAGATGAAATCAATGAGAGATAGTGGAGGAAACCTAATTATCAAAGAAGAGAAACAACGAAAACGATGGGTTGACCACTTCGAGAAGGTCTTGAATCGATCACCATCATTTCCACTCCAATATTGTCTTCATAACCAGAAACTAAATACTGATCGGCGAATGGGCATTCTACAGCACACCAACTGGATACGATGATGCAACCGAAAACAAATTTGTTCACTGATATCCTTATTCTCTTATAAATCAGTGGGACTATTCAAATAAAACAATTGGATTTTTGGAGTTAAAATTAGAATTGAGCCTTATTTTCAGTTTGGGAAACCTAATACTAAAGAATAATCAGGTGTGAATGTACCTTGTCTACAGTTTCATATATTTTTGGGAAATACAGGTACATGTAAAACAGCTCAGAATCAGCCAATAGCCCAAAACGGTTAGATGCGATAAAATCCCCTATGGTTTTATCGACTGCATCATAGTATAATTCGACTGGAATCTCCAGGTCACCAAGCCAACCACTCATTGATGACAAGAATTTCTAGTTAAACCAAGCAACCCAGTGGAAGTATGTTGAACAGTAGGGGAGGGGGGATGGGGCAGAAAAACATAATAAACAATAAAGAGGAAGCATAAACGTATTTCTTCGAATGCAGTGAATGTATACTGAGATATATCTCAGTATTGAGCTGTCATTCATTCTATACCTTCATGTCTCCCTAAATAACTTTCCTGTTTGACAAATAAACATTATTATTGAATGCATAGTCATATAAGCTTGTTTTAGTCTAAACTTGAACCTAGTTATTTGCATTTTTGTATGTCTGATAGCACTAACATTACAAAATAGATGGCAAATTGTCTCGAAAGTACTCTCTAAGGAACACATCCAATACATCGATGAGTTATACAGATTACAGTTTACAAAAGGAACAACATAACACACAGAATTAAGGTAGTGGAAGTAGTAACTTACCCTAAAAGACCATCCATCTACAATGACCTGAAATTTTAAAGTAACGCCTGAAGCCTTGAAAAGTTTAAAAGTATGTAAATAATTCAAATTCAGATTCATGATACAAAGTCTTCATTGCATGCTTACGTTCGTTTCTCATTTTATTTTAACACATTCGAGTCTCCAGTCTCGGGCCGCTGAAAGTTATTAGGCGGTAAATTCATTTGTTGCTTGCCGTTTGGTTCGTGATGTGACCGGTATTTAAGTACTTATTTCTGAGGGGATTTCAATTTCACGAAACAGATTTCAGGTACAGGCAACTAACATTTTCCAAATGATTAGATGTTCATCTAGGGTTCCAATATATCCAATACTGATAGTGCGAGCGTAGAAAACTGGTAGTTTTTGATCTCTCGCGTCTAGTTCTTAGGGCTTGGTTCCAGTTGTTCGGTTTACTCCTGCAGTGGACGAGGAAATCCCCTCTGCTTTCTTGCTTTAGCTTCGGTGAGGTGGATGTTTTGTGGGTTAGTAGGTTGTAATTTGTAGAGTGATTAGGGAGCTACGGGTTGCTGGGAAGTTTGGAGAACAGCCGTGACTCCTGTCTGTGTAGGTACCTGAAAGAGATAGTAAGGTGGTGGTAAAGGAATGAAGAGAGAATAAAGAAGAAAAGAAAGGAAAATAATAATAATATAGGGAAGAGAAAAGGGAAGGAGAAGAAAAGGAGGGGTGAAGAGAGAAATGAGAACGAAAGAAAAGTATTTGGGAATTGCCCGAATGGTCGCGTGGGTTTGGTTCCTACAGAAGAATTAGTAGGTAATGTGGGTGTATTAAGGAGAGAGATAGTGAGTGGTAGTTAGGAGGGAGTTGGGGGTACTGAGGTTGGTGACTACCTGAGTACGTCCGTGGTAGTCCATGCGAGGTGACATAACTGTCTAATCGCCTCTTGAAAGAGTCGATTGAAGGAGCTATAACGATGTGTCGCGGTAAGGCATTCCATAAAGCACATACTCTTAGGGAGAAAAATTTGGACCTGAGTGTGGTGTTGGCTCTCTGGTGTGCTATCTTAATGGGGTTTCCTCGTGAAGATCGTTCAGTTGCAGGCAAAATTGATTTGTTTGCATGGTCTGCCTGATGGGCGATCTTGTATGCCATAATGAGGTCACCCCTTTTCCTGCGATAACCCAAGGTAAATAGGTTGAGGTGTTTAAGTCTTTCAGGATACGTCTTTCCCCTTAGCCCCACAACACATTTTGTTGCAGTTCTTTGTATTCTTTCAAGGAGATTAGAGTCTCTCTTGAGTGTTGGAGGAGCCACCGTATTGAAGACCTCTAGGTGCGGCCGCACGTAGGATTTGAAAATGGTGAGGAAGAGTTCGGGAGTGAGGGCGCCAAGCTGTCTACGCAGAAAGTGTAGAATGGCGTTCGCTCTGGTTGTCATACCTTTGTAGTTGGAGCTGGTGTCCAAGGTGTCGGAGAAGTTGAGCCCCAAATCTTTCTCCATGGACACTCTGGTGATAGCACGGTTGCTCAACATGTACTGGAAGTCGGTCGTACTTGCCTCATTTTTACTGATGTGCATTACTTTGCACTTTTCCAGGTTGAAGCTCAGGCCATTTTCCGACGACCAGAGCTCGAGTTGCTGCAAGTCCTTTTGTAGTGCTGCACAGTCGGCTTCTTCGTTTACCACCCTCCAAATTTTTATGTCGTCAGCGAAGAGGAGGATGGGTGAGGATATTTTGTCTGGCAGATCGTTGACAAACAGGAGGAACAGAAGCGGTCCTAGGATTGCTCCTTGGGATACTCCTGACGTCAGGGTCTCCACTCCGACCTTATTCTGTTCACTTTAGTGCAGAACTGCCTCCCTTCCAGGTACTCCTTGAACCAAGAGAGTAGGGGTCCACTTATACCAGCTGACATGATCTTGTGAAGCAGTACTGTGGGTGGGACACTGTCAAATGCTTTGGCTAGGTCGAGAAATACAACATGTACAGGTTTTCTATTATCCCAGCTTTGTGTCCAGTCGTCCCAGGCGGTTAGTAAGTTGGTGGCACATGAGCGACCACTACGAAAGCCGTGCTGAGCAGTATGGACAGTGTTTTCTCTATTGAGGAATTCCCAGATGGTGTCAGCTACCAGGCTTTCCAACACTTTCGACACAATAGGGAGTAGGGCAATGGCCTGTAGCTGCCAGGGCTTTTCTGTCTCCTCCCTTGAAGATGGGTGACAAGATGGCACTCTTCCATTCTTTAGGGAGTTTGCACGAGTCTATTGAGTGCTCAAAGAGGTTGCGAAGTGGTTTAGTAAGCACCTCGGCGCAGTTTTTCAGAACCACTGGTTTCAGGTTATCGCAGCCAGGGGACTTGCCCGGACGTAGCCTAGATAGCTTCTCGAACACCTTTTTCTCTGTAATAGAGACGTGACAGAGGTATTCGTTATTTACGACCTGGTTGTTGTCGTAGCAAGTCGGTGTGGATCTTGTGTCAGTGTTAGTTGGGCTTGGAAGTGTGACAAGATTCACTGCCTTACTGGTCGACTTTCTTCTCGACATGAAGTGGTACAAGTTTTTGGAGTTGCTTTGTAACCTCGCCGCCAAGTTTGTTTGATAGGAAAATCTGTCGCTAAGCCCTCTAATGTTACAGCGGTTGCAAATCCTTTTGTAGTTCGAGAAGTCAGACTCCCTGCGTGAAGTAAGCCACTAGAACCAAGCCTGCTTCTTGCTCGGGATAAGCCTCTCTGTCCCACGCTTTAACCATGAGGTTCTCACTGATTGTCTGCGTGTTACTTCTAGTACACTGTGACTGATGGCTCCAGTGATTATTTTCTTCACCTCCAACCAGTGTTCATCTACTGTGAGATGGACCCAGTCTACCGGCCATGATGCATTCATGAGATAGTCCCTCATGGTCTCACAGTCGGCCTTGCTGTAGCAAGGGAAGGTGTTGGACGTCTCCAGTTGCAGAGCCTCCTTAAAAATCATGGAGAAGGTGATTACAGCGTGGTCACTGAGGCCAAGGGAGGTTGGATGCATACGTCCTCAATGAGAAGTTCGTCGTTCGTCAGAACGTAGTCAAGGCGCGATGCGTTTCCTTTAGGTCTCCAGCGTGTAGCATCACCCACTTTCTCTGAGAGGCCAGCAGTCTTAATTGCATCCTTCAGCTTCTGATTGAAGGATCTGATGCGTCTCCCTTCCGTCTCGAAGAGGATGGACGGGGTGTTGAAGTCGCCGGCAATGACTACGGAATAGTAATTTGCAGAGGAAGTCGTTAAGATCGCCTTGATGACCATTTCCTTACGTGTAGGGGAGCTGATGGGGGACCGACATATGACTCCGAGCAGGTATTTGGTACAGTGAGGAGTGAAGTAGCACCATAGAGACTCTGGGAGCTGGGTTAAGGCCGTATCGCTAACCATCCTTGCCTTTAAAAAGGAGTTTACGTAGATAGCCACTCCCCTTCTGCTCTATGTTCCCTGTCCCTGCGGAAGAGTTCCATGCCAGTAACATGCATCTCTTCGTCGGAGATGTCTGGCGAGAGCCAGGATTCGGTGATGAATATGATGTCGGAGTGCTGATGTTCACGCAGCGTCCTCATTTCTGCTACCTTCCCTCTTAGCCCCTAACGTTGCTGTACATACATATTAGAGTGTGCCTGATGAGAGAGGAGGTCTGGATGTGTATTTTGCGGGATGAGCGCTTACGTGACTGGATCTAGCGTCTCCAGTCCTCATAGGACTGCATTGTTCCTTTTTTGTGTTTTGTTGTCAACTTGGTGGGGGCTGTGGCAGTGGTGGCTTCACTTGATGTATCTAACTCACTGGTCAGCGCCTGTGCGACGACCACTGACTCCAGAGGTCTTGTTGATTGCCGTCTCTCCTCCCGCCTTGTGGGTCTAGGCTTACTTTCATACATACGTATTGAGCCACCCATGCGATCTTTCGCATTATACCATGCCTGTAGAACGTCTGTGAGGGAGGTATATGAGTCGAACTGGACGGCCAGTAGTCTGGGATTGGGTATGGTCTTCAGGTGCGCTGGCCTTGGCAGTCTACTGACGCTGTTGGCCGGTATACTGTGGAGACCAACTTTGGTTGAGAGCCATTGCCATTGTTGGATGTCGTGAAAGTACCGATCTTTGATCTAGCGGTCACTTGGCAATTCTGGAATCCCATGCACAACTATAGTGTTGTTTCTGTCGGGATCATCAAAATTATCATTTGATAGCAAATGGGAATCGAATTGGGATACAGGTTATATAATAATTATAAAGGAATAGCGATGATACCATTCGTATACTTAGCATTCAAGTTTTGTAGCAATTTAAACTCCTTCACACACTGATGTGCTGGCTGAACTGCAGGACATGGAAGGTGTTTTCCGAATTCAATCTTCCGGTTTAGTTTCGTCTGCAAGGCGATCATCATCCTCAAATGATTACTGAGTTCATGACAGTCGGCTGATGTACACTACAGAAGTGTCATGCAGATACATTTCGATGGGATTGCGTCCAAAACTCTGAGTACAGTGGTGTAGTCGGAGTAAAAATAGGGAGGTGATGTATACCTAGATAGTCAAAAACGCTGACGAATCGCATGCGGAAGGCTTTTTCATGCTAGTAAGTAGCCTATATACCTTTTGGACTCACTGAAAAGAAGCATGCCAATGCAAAAGGCAGCTATGTCAAATGAATCTTCTCCAGCTAGGTCAGTTTCCTAAGAGAATCATGGCGATTTGTGCATTGATGGGCAACATTCGGATTTGTTCCGAAACATCTAAGCGATAAAGGTATAGAAATTGAGAATACGATAATGACGAGCACAAGTGTCAGCCTGGAAAGGATTGCCACCACTCGAGATCAAACGGTACATCACCGAGCAAGAACATCAGGACGGTTGACAGCGGGAGGCTGTGTTTTGCGAATAGTCCCAGCAAAGCTAGACGAATGGATGATGAAGAATAAACAGCTCAATGTAGTATAGCGTAATGAGTGGTTTGTGCACTTGAATTTCTGCCCCCAGCTAAGCAAGCCCATCGAGGTTATTTA